AATATTTAATTAATTAAAAATTTTTTTTTATATTTATATTTATTTAATATTATATATTATAATATAAAATTATATATTAATATTAATATTCGAAACGATTAAATTATTTTTTAAATATATTAAAATAAAAAGTAAAAATATATATTAAAATATTATTATTAATATACTTATTATTAATAACGTTAATTACGTTAATATTAAAATTATTATTAAACGAAAATAAAAAAAAAATATATATTTATTTAAGTTATAGGTTAAAAGTTATGCTTAAAGTCTTTTATTATTTAATTAATTATTATTATTATTAAAATTTTTTTATTTATTAATTAAATATATTATATGTTTTTTATTAACGGAAAAAATTTAATAATATTTATTATTAATAAATTAAAAATTTTACGTAAAATTATTATTAAAGGCCGGCTTAAATAATTAAATTTAAAAGTTCGATTTAATTAATTTATATATTATTTTAAGTTTTTTATTAATAATATTTAATTCGCGTATATAAATTTTAAAATTTACGTAATAAATTATAAAAAATCGTAAAGTTAATATATTAAAAATAATCCATATAAACCGAATAAATAAAAATTCGTAAAAAAAGTTATAAAATATATAATATTTACGGTTATATTAATATTTATGTTTAAAAAAAATAAATGGTTCGAAATATAATAAATAAAATATTAATTTATGTTTATTTTTTATAAACTTAAGGAATAAAACAAGCTTTTTTTAATTAAACATATAATAAATATCGGAATAAAATGTTATATTATTTATTAAATCATTTATTAATAAAAAATTAAAATTTTTATAATTATATTAATTTATATTATTTATATTAAATTAAATTACGTAAGCTTTAAAAATAATATAAGTTTATTAAATGTTATAATATATTTACGTTATTTAATAATATTTATTATAATAATACACGGTATTATAAATTAATTTTAATATTATATAAACTTTAAAAACTAAAAATAAAAAAATAATAAACGATTATTAAAAACGAGGTAAATTTTCGTAAAGAAATAATTAATAATTAAAAATTAATGTAATTATATATTATATTAATTTTATTTTAAAAAAATTAATAATAAATATATAAATTTATAAATAAATGGAAAGGTTTTACGGTTTAAATTATTTAAAATAAAAAAAAAATATACTTTTTTATATAATATATTATTATTAAGTTAAAAAATAAAAATTATATTAATAATAACGAATTTCGTTAAATATAAACATGGGTTATTAAATTATATATTTTTAATTAAAAAATAATAAGTTAAATAAATAAAATTATAATTAATATTATTATTATTAATAATAAAAAAGTAAAATAACGGTTTATAATTATATAAATAACCGGGATAAAAAATGTAAATACTTAATAAAATAATTTAAACCGTAAAATTAATATTAACGTTATAAATTAATATTAAAAATAAGATTATTAATTATAAAAATTCTTAAAATTTTATTATAAAAAAATATATTAATTATATCGAAAAATAAAAATGCGGGAAAAGTAAATAATAATATAAAAATTAAGTATAAATAAAATTACGGTAACCGGAAAAAGTTTTTTTTTATATTAATTAAAGTTAATTAAAAATAATTTATATAATATATTAAAAGAAATATTAATATATATTAATATTAATTTATAACGTTTTTTTATATTTTTAATATTATATTTTAATTAAAGAAATAAGTAATAATTAAATTTTTATTTAATAAAGTTATTATATAATAAATATATTTTATAATGTTTTATTATTTTATATTATTTATAATTTAATTATATTAATTAATTAACATTTATAAATTATAATTATAATTATAAATAATAAATAAAGTAGCGTTTTTTAACGATAATTATTTATTTTTATTTATTATTTATATAATTTTTTATTTTTTAATAAAATGTTTAAGTTTACGAAAGATATTATGTTATTTAAATTTTTATGGGGGGTTTATTTTATCCTTAATTTCCGAAGCGGGTACGAGCCTTTTTAAGCCTTATATCGGCGTAAATATATTCCGTTATTTTTCGTAATTTTTTACGTTTAATTAAATAAATAATTTTTTTATTTATATTAAATTTATTATATTATTTTATTTATAATAAAAAATTATTATTTATATATAAATTAATTTATATAATAATATTATTATTTTATTAATATTAAAAATTTATTATAAATTTAAATTTTTCGGTAATTTATCCGCGTTTTATTTTTTTATTTTTTTTAACTAGGTTTAATAAAATAAAACTTTTAAAATAAATCAATATATATTATCTTAATTATTTTAATTTTAATTTTTTTATTAATTTAAATGTTTTTAATAATAAAAATATCCATTATAATATTATATATTATGCGTATTATATTATAACTAAAAACATTTAAAAAAATAATTAAAGGAAAAATATTAAAATTAAAGTTAATAAAAACGAAGTTATAATATATATTAAAGGTTTTTTTTTTATTAATCGTTAAATTAAAAATCGCATTCGAATTTTATTTAATAATATTTTATAAATATTAAAATATTATTTTTATATTTTACGTAATTATTATTATAATAAAAGTAATTATAAAAAAAATAATTTATTTTATAAGGAATTTAACGTATTTAATGTAAAAAGTTTTTACGTAAAAGATTTATATTTATAATATAAAGTTACGTTTTTATTTATTAATTAATATATTAATATAAATTTTTAAATTTACGAATTTTTTACGTTATTATTTTAAGTTTTAATTATTAATTATTTCCTTTAAAAATTTTTAAAATTTAATAAATTATTTATATTAAATTTAACTTTAATATTTTTAATTTTCGAATTAATTTTTTAATTTAATATAGGCATATAACGTTTATTTTTCTTATTTAATTAAATTAATTATTAAACGAAATTATATTTTTTTTATTACACGTTTTATTTTTAAATTTTTTTTAAGAAATTAATTTTTTTACGTTTATTATTTATAATGAATTTTATCGTTTTATAAGTTAATTATATAATTTAAAAAAGGTTTATATTATCCCGAAATTTATTAAAAAATAATTTAAATTAAATCGTATACGAAAATATTTAATATTTTTTTTTTATTTATATAATTAATAATTATAATAATAAATTACGTTTTTATATAAATGTTTATTAATTTTTTAATTATAATTATTTTACATTAATGTTTAAATTTATATAAAACGAATATAAATTAATAATATATATGTTTTATTTTTTAATTAAATTATTTATTATTAATTTTTTTATTTTTTATAAATATTATAATTAAAAATATTTATAATTAAAAATAACGTTTCCCGAGTTTCTTTTCGTTTAATTTACGTGGTTTGTTTTTTCCGATATTATTATTTTATTATTTAATAATAAAAGTTAAATTTATTTTATTAAAGTTTTAAAAAAAAATAAAAACGGAAATTTTAAATAAATTTTATAAATTTAAATTAAAATTAATTCTTATTAATAAAATAATTTTTAATTTTAAATAATTAAGATTTTAATTTAAATTATCCGGTAATTAAATGGATTTAAATTTAATTATTAATAATATTTATTTTAAATCGTGGTAATATTTTATACGAAAAAAATAATTTATTTTTAATAATAATAACACGATTTTATTTATAATAAATTTATTTTTTAAAACATTTTAACGATATTTAATTTAACGAAGTTAATTAATTAAAAAAAATAAAAATTTATATTTATTAAATTTTAATCGAAATAATACGATATTTAATTATACGGATTTTAATAATAATAATAATTATTTTAAAAATTATTTTTTTAAAAAACATTTTCGTTTTAATTTTATAATTAATAAAAAAATTATTAATTATTTTTTTAAATTTAATTATTTAAAATAATACGATAATTTAAAATATATTAATTTTTTTATTATTAAAAAAAATTTTATAATAAAATTATTTATATTTATTTTAAATTTTAATAATAATAATAAAATATATATAATAAATAATAATAAATAATATATTTTAATAAAACGTTTATTTACGTTTATTATAAACGTTAATAATTATAAATATAAAAATTTTTTTTATTATTATAATAAAATATTTTTATTTTATATTTAAAATATATAAATATATAATAAAAAATAATAATAATAAAAAAAATATAAATTTAAAATAAAATAAATGAAACGTTTTATAATATAATTAATAAATTAATTTTATAATTAAAAAATTAAAATAAATTTTTTATTTAATTATTTAATATATATTATAATTTTAATAAAAAATAAATATATGTTTTCGAATGAAATTAATATATTTTAAAAGTAAATAAATGTATGTTTTTAAACGAAATAAATAAAGGATTATTTTTAATATATAACGTTAAATTTAAATTATTTATTATTTAAATTTAACGCGTTATAAATAATATAAATTAAAAAATATTATAACTTTTTATAATTTATAATGTTTTTTAATATTATAACTTTTATAAATAATAAAATATAATATTAATAATTAAAGTTTATTATATAATTATATTATATATATCGTAATATATAAAATGAATTAACGGGTTAACGGATTCGGTACTATCGTCCGCCGTCGGAACACCGCAGGTCCTACTGTGGGTTGTATTACGTAATTGATAACTAAAGCAATATGTAGTAGTATTCTGATCTTTGATGGGCACCTGCAATTTTAGAAAATCTCCCTACTACATGGAACATCCTATTATCAACATACCATCAGTACCTTCATTAGGAAAATTTTATAAACGAAAATTCTAGACAGCTTCTTATAATTATAAGCGTATATATTCTGAAACACATAGTAGAGAGACCAGAGCCACAACCACGCCATCCATGCTCAGCAACGACGTCGCTTGATACATTGTCGACTTCTAGATCCTACAGCACCAGAGGCTCTGCGCGCAATAACGATGCTGATATTCATCATGGTGGCGGTCCCACGAGTGGCCTATAACGAGCAACTGCTCGCATTTCTATCCCAACATACTCAAAGTCGTCCCTGCGAATCGCCTTTCTTATGCGGCGATGAGACCTGGCCGGTTCATCCTGGTTGACAACGTATGGCGTCGGCCCCCATGGTCTAGTCCAAGAGACATCGTAACGGTCGTAGAACCCGGCCGGTTTGGGTTCGGCCTTGCCAGCGCCAACTTCAAACCTGCCCGAAGTAAATAGAGCTTCGTATACAAACTCTTTGCTTGGTACGCTGTTATCTCTGTTATTGATCTGGTTGACATCCTCCTGCTCTTGGCTGTCCCATTCGAATTCCTTGAGAAGGCGCATGAGAGCCTCCGAATAAGGTTGCCCGACTGGATCTGCATTGACGTCGTCGAGTCGCCTGCTATCCGGACGATGAGCCCATCTCTGACTTTCGTCTTTGTATTGGGCAAGAGGAACACGATCCGCAGGCTCATCCTCGTCTTGGGGGAATTTAATATGTGTCATGCATAAGCTACGTAGGACGCAGCCAAGCTCGTACAAATCTTCCCATAAGTTTGGCTGATGTTCGTATGGAAACTGGCCTGTTTGCAAATGAGCCGGGTTATCTCCATCAACCGCCGCGCTTCCAAAATCGCACAGTACCACTCGCGGATAAACATTGCGCCAGTTTCCACTATCTGGTCTTCGACCTCCATAGCGTGGCTCATAATTGAGCATTATATTCTCCATGGAAATATCTCGATGATAGATGCGACGCCATCCTGGTGGAGGCATTTGAACATCCCATAGGATGCCATCATGACAATATAGAAGAGCTTTACATAGTTCGGCAGCAACATGCCAGATAAATGGCTCCGGGACCCTTTTGCGCTCCTGGTAGTGCTTGTCTCTCAGTTGTGCTAGGCTACCTCCATTCAGATACCTATAGAATTAGCTGCAACTCACCATCACAAGAGGGGGGGGGGCCAAATTCGGTGACTCTTACTCGAAATACAGCTCCCAAACACGCCGCTGTGGGGGGCCAACTTCTATAAACCTCTGATACCATTCCAACCGAGAGAACTGAGGCGATAAAGGTAGAGGGAAAGTATTGTTATGATCAGTCGAGATTCTGAACTCGGGAGGATGCGCGTGGCCGAACTCAAAGGGCAAGGTCGGATTATCCACCCCCTCTACCCTCTTCACAAAATATAACCTCTTATTCCAGTTTGACTGGACAAGGTAAGTTCCTTTTTTAAATACTTTAACAAGTAGGAAGCCCCGCTGAGCGATTTCAGTATTCTCGCCCTCGGCTTCGTCTGGGGGATCACCTATGACCCACGGAATGTGTACACCTTGGAGTCCGAAAACTGTCCCGTTGCCGTTCTCCGCCATGGCTAAGATAGGTGAATATGAAAACTTGTATTCGATTTGGGATTTGTTACAACTTTTCTTTCTAGTAACGGCTGGACAATCTCTTCAGCGGACTATCCCATAGTTGTACCTATAATGCTTCCTTTGTTTTCGACATACTCGAACACAGAACGCATTGTGAATTCAGCAAGTAATATGTAAGCTAACCATATCCGTTTGTATAATCGTACATAAAGGACGTAGGCGCTTTCTTTCAAATAAGTATCTATCTGGGTACATATGTAGCGGTATTGTTGGAGCACGACTCCTTACGAAAATGAAATTTCGAGGGAATTGAAATGGATAGGATCCGGTTTGGGACGAGCAAATATATTTGTTCATAGATGTTACTCTCTAGCTATTATTAGTAAGAATAAAGTAACCCCCCCTTTTCTCAAGCGGTTGAGAGCTCATACAAAGCAAGAAATGTGCAATTCCTAAATATCTTAGGACTGTGTATAGCTTACCTCGGTATTCGAGGACTCGCATAGGAGACATATTTTCGTAAAAGTATTGGTTTATCTTGCTACGTCGAGTTTAAGCAACTTTGTCATCGTATTCCAAGTCTTTCTGTTCAAGATAGACCCTATTATTATATGCATTGTCCAACTCAGGTACCTACCTTAATAACAATGTCAATAGGTAGATATCGGTCGTCACTTTGATTGGCATATGAAGCGACTACCTATTAAAGATATCAAAATTGGTTAAAGCTAGTAGGTACCTACCTAGGTAGGCACTTATCAGAGAAAAGCCGGTGGTTTCATACACACAGCTTCAGAAGAGGATTGGTAAGTTTGTAAATATTAGCCCCTTAGCGATAACAGAATGCTTCTATCCCTTAATTCAACAACAGAAGAAATGTGATCATGACCCCTTTTCCAGCCAACCAAAGCCCGCAGATACCTACCTACCCATACATACAAGAACTCCAGATAGGTAAATACACAAATCCCGTTATTCCTCCCCTTTAACAGCATTCCCGCTCACAAGGCCGCTCTTCTCCGCAATCTTATACGCAAGAAGCTGAAGCGAAGAAGCCTGCAAGATCTCAAACACAGGCACATCCGCCTTGACCTCCCTGAGCAGCCAATTCCTCACCTCGACCGCGACCAGCGAGTCGACGCCGTACACGGCGGTCGGGCTCGCAGCGTCAATATCTTCTAGCGCGATCATAAGCGACTTAGACAGCTTCCGCACCAGCGCATCCAGCACGATTCCCGCCGCGCCCGAAACCGACGGCGTCTCCTTTAATTGCTGCGCCAGCGAGGGCCCGGACAGCGTGCTAGCGTCGACGTGGCGCGCGCGCATGTTATGCAGGTGCGAGAACACCGGGTCGCGGAACCAATGAGGCACGTCGCCTTGGCTGCGGTCGAAGTCGGCCTGCGTGCCGACGCCCGTGACGATCTGGCACCGGGCGCCGCTTTCCATCGCGATATCGAGCATCGCGAGGAACTCCTCTTCTTCGATCTGCAGGAAGCCCCACCGCGCGAGGTTGCGCTCAGCCGCGCCCTCGTTCTCGGCCACGTACCCGACCGACTTGACCATGCCGAGGTCGATCACGGTTGCGGGGAGGCCGCGCGAGACGCGGTAGTGCGCTAGCGCGTCTTGGAATGCGTTCGCCGCGGCGTAGTTGCCCTGAGATGTGTCGCCCACCATGCCGGCGGCGCTTGCGAGCATGATGAAGAAGTCGAGCGGTTGGTCGATTGTCGCCTCGTGAAGATTCCACGAACCTTGAGCCTTTGGTCGAATGACCTTGGTAAATGTTTCGTGACTCATGTTGACGAAAATTCGGTCTTCTAATACCATAGCCGCCTGGATGACACCGCGAATTGGCGGCATCTTCTTTAATGTCTCATCTAGACTGGCCTTGAGTCTATCCCCGCTAGTGATATCGACAGCTAGAACCTCTACTGTGACGCCGGAACTTTGGAGTTCGTCCACCAGGGACTTGGCTTCTGGGCTTTTGTCCCCGGATCGAGACACGAAGATCAGATTCTTGGCTCCTTGGGACACCATGCGACGAGAAAGGCTTCGTCCAAGTCCGCCAAAACCTCCGACGATTAAGTAAGAGGCGTCGGGTATGATTCGATACTTAGAGCCTTTCCTCGCTGCGACCTGTATGTGTTTGTTAGGTATGACATTCACTAATGTCGGGGATAAGGGGACGACTTACTGGTACGACATCATCCTCGCTAGGAGTAAGGACAATCTTGCCCATATGCCTCCCAGCCTGCATGTATCTAAAAGCTTCCTCGATCTTGGAGAACGGGAATAATGTGATGGGCGAGACTTGGCCGATGCTTCCATCTCGTAGAAGCTCCATCACCTCGGAAAGAAGGCGGGCGCCAAGATCCTTCCTTTGTCTGAATATAACTGTCAGGTCCACCGACGCAAATGTAACGTTCTTAATGAACGGTGCCATCCCGAGACGCGTGTTATCCTCGATATCTTTCTTGCCAATCTCAATAAAACGACCAAACGGCGCAATCACTGACCAACTTGCTTTCAAGGCTTCTCCCGAAAGGCAGTTGAGAACAATATCAACGCCTTTCCCCCCAGTAAGTCTTCTAATACCATCAGCAAAATTGAGGTTGCGAGTGGAAAAGATGTGGTCCTCGGGAATCCCGCAGGTTGTCATCATATGCTCCTTTTTCTCCTTGGTTCCCACAGTGACGAAGATCTCCGCGCCGTATAACTGGCAGAGCATGACAGCAGCTTGTCCCACGCCTCCGGCGGCTGCGTGTATGAGGACTTTCTCCCCCTTCTGGATTCTTGCCTGGTCGACCAAGCCATAGTACGCGGTGCAATAGACGATTGGCAGCGAAGCCGCGACCGAGTACTCCATATCATCAGGGATGGGCTGGACAAGCTTGGCAGGATTTTTCAGAGAGCTACAGTAAGCTCCTAGAGTCCAAGTGCATACTCTATCGCCTACCTTAAGATGCGATACCTCTGCGCCAACCTCAGCAACGATGCCGCTGCATTCGCACCCGAGGAAATTGTCAACAAGTTGACCCATGCAGACCATGATGTCGCGGAAGTTCAGTCCGACAGCGCGGACATCAATCCTAACATAGTCAGATGGCAGTGGCGCCAGAGCCTCCGGATCATCAACGAAACATAACGTATCCAAAAGGCCGGGTGTGGCGATTGCCAAGGTTAGCGGTCGTCCAGGTTGGTTAAAAGGTTCCAATTCCCGAGTAGAAGTGGTCGTCTGCCCCACCGCCGCGATTCTGTCATTTAGCTCGGGGGCAGCGATACAGCGTTTGATATACACCAGGCCCTCCCTTTCAGAATATTCGCAATCTCCTAGGGTTTCTTTGGAGAATGTCCTCTGTAATACCGGTATGAGTTTATCGATGCGCTGTTCCCAAGAAAGCGGGTGCTTGGCGTCGAAGTCAAATGTCACGAGGGGAAAGCCTTCGTGTTCTGCTCGGAGCGTTCTTGCCAGACCGTGAATTAGAGCGTATTCCGGGTGGACGGAGTTCTGGGTTGCACCTTGAGTCAACCAGAACAGACCTTTGGCTTGGTGCAAGATAGACTTCAGCATTTCAAAATCGTTCGGGCTGATGTCCTTCAATAGGGGTTGTCCAATCTCCGCGACGCAAATGCATGTCTTATTAACCAAATCCTCTTCCGTAAGTTGTAGATAAGGCTTTATTGTTGCCGAAACTTGCATGCTCTGGAGTTTTTGCAGTAAGGCATCAGCAACTACTTGATCTTCGCCAACACCGTACAATGTCGCGATGGTAATAGACGGCAACATATCTGCGGGGTCATTCGGTTGAAGACTGGGATCAACAGCTTCAGCAACCATCAGTCTACCTGTTTGGTCGCGCGGGTTTTGGTGGTCTGGGGTACTCGATTTTAGCTCGCCAAATCCATTGCCCTTCAAGATAGATACCCAAGTGTCTTCGGTCATTGTCGGACCCCATTGTCGGAATGATTCCTCAGACATCCACCAGCCAGGGAGATTGCCAAATGGAAGGAAAACTCGATTGAGTACATGTGTAATCTCAAGAAGCAGCAACTTTCCACCCGTCTTTAGTAGTTTTCGCACATTTGAAATGGTCTGATTCATGTTCGTCGTCGCATGCAGAACGTTGAATGCAATGATAACGTCGAACTTCTCGTCTTCTTTGAAACCTTGAGCGGGAAGATCTTGCTCAATGTTCAACTTGCGGTAGTCTATAAGACCGTTCCAGTCGCTAAACTTTTGCTCGGCCTTTTCGAAGAAACCGGATGAGATATCCGTGTACGTGTAAGACTCAAACCGAGGATACGTGCCATTTCCACCACCCAAAGCGTTAAGAATTGGCACCGTCGCACCTCCTGTCCCTGCACCTATTTCGAGGTACTTGAGACTAGGATCTTTATGCGAAAGCATCGAGATATACTTCTGTAAATGAGCATATGAAGTCGCAATTCCTAGAGAGTTGGCATAATAGTTGTAGAGGAGCTCATTCTCAAGCATCATCGCGAGCGGATCAACTTCATTCCTCAAAATACGAGATAAGCTTCTGCCCATACGGCATAGGAGCTGACCCTCGTAGTCGGTTCCCTCTATCTGCGAAATGAGCTTCTCCATCTTGTCTTTCATGCTTGGGGAGTTGAACTGTAACCATTCAGGGGTCTGGTGTTCAATTGCGCCTGCGAGTACTTGTTCGCGATGGTGCTGCATGTAGCGGAAGAACTTCTGATGATGCGGATGTACAACTTGCTCTTCTGATACTTCTTCCAAAGCCCGGTGGTAGAAATATGATGCGACCATCTCCAGTGTTGCAATATACTCAGAGGGTGTATCTTCAACGCCAGTGGCTGTGAGCACGGCCTCGGTTTCGGATTTAGACAAGAGATCAAGATCTGGCTCCCACTCAACATCAAAACAAAGCTGCTTCACGTCTTCGTTTTGCGCTCCATCCGTTAAATTGGTGGACGTCAGTGCCGTGCATTTGACGCCTTGGATCCTGACTTTGGGGGCTTCTCCTTGCTGGTCCCGAACAATGATGCTGGCAGTAGCTTCTCGGAAGCCAACAAATGCTGCCTCTGATATTACATGAAATTGATGACCAGGTTCGCTAGAGATATCGCTTGAGACATGCATTTCCTGAATAAAGGTCGGCATGTATGGCTCCTTAACATTCACGGCAGCATGGGTAAGTGCCGGGAATAAGATCTGCAGGAAAGTATCGAGGGTAGCTGGATGGACAAGATGGTCGTACTCATATTCGTACGGCATGGTGGATTTGGTGTCGGGTATTGCGAGTTTCCCTAATGCCTTCCCGGGTCCGTAGGAGATCTCCATCAAATTGCGGAACGTTGGTCCGTACTGAAGACCCGCCTTAGACAAATCTTCGTATACCTTATCTGGCGTGGCAGAAGTCTTGCAAAATTTCTTGGAATCTTCAAACTCATGATCATGGCGAGAAAGAGCCTCTTTAGCCTCTCTACCCGCATCTACCTCGCTAATTTGTTGGGTGTAATTGATTGAAAGGAGACCACGACAATGTTCGTTCGGGCCAGTGGAGGAGTAAGAAAATACACGGAACTCTTTCCAGATGTCTGACGATGATTTGCTGCTAGAATTGAAGGGCCTCGCTTGGAAAATCACCTCAACTCCAAGTTCGGTTTGGGGCACGACTAATGCCCTAGTAATGAGCATCTCAGTGATGGTATATCCGAGAACTCTCCCGACATCAGAAGCGGGAATCATCTGCTGTGCAGCCTCAAGAGCCATAGACACATATCCAGCAGCTGGGTAAATGATTGAACCTTGAACCTGATGGTCTTTGACCCACGGCTGCTCCGATACCCGAATGAAGTTTCGCCACCGAGGCTCAGCGGGGTTCCAGTCAGCTACAGGAGCGCCGATGAAATCGTTTCGAGGTGTGGGACGGAAGCGATAGTTAGAGCTGAGGCGTGATTCAGCCCAAAATTGTTTGCTATGGTTCCAAGGGTACGAGGGTAAATCTACCAGTACCTGTGGGCGGGGACCGCTCTGGACAGGTCGATTAGCTCTCTCTAGCTTAGCAGGTACTCCACGAGCCCAGAGAGAGGCCGTAGCCTCCAAGGCTGTTAGACAGGCATCTTTTTCTCGAACAAGTGCAGAATGATAGGCGATAGAGCTCTTCTGGAGTTCGTCCGAGGCAAGTATCTGCTTGATAGGGCCAGCAAGAGCAGAGTGCGGTCCAACCTCAAGGATGATATTGACAGAATTGGTAGTATGGAGCTTCTTCGATCGGCCTTTAGTGTTTGATTTGTTACTGCAAAGGAGTTGCAATCCTTCTGAGAACCTAACAGGTGAGAGCATATTATCAACCCAATATTTGGCGTCAAGTTCTGTATTCGCAACCGAAGTGCAAGTGACCGTAGAAATCATTTCGCTAACAAATCGTGTGTTATCTTCAGGAGCCTTGAGGTCCGTAAGATGTTTAAGATACTCGTCGGCGACTTCGAGCATATGGTGAGAATGATAGGCTGTCTTGACTTTCAGCGTTCTAGCGAACACCTTCTCTCCCTGCAACAATCGCTCCATTTCCTCAATGGCAGCCACATCACCAGAAAGAGTGACATTAGACGGACTATTGACACAAGCCACCACGACTTTTCCGAATGAGGAATCGAGAAGTGCGAACCGAGCTTCGGCATCTTCTTTGGAAAGTCCACAAGCCAGCATAGCACCATCCCTTTGTACGTGACTTGAGACAAGACCCCTGAAGAAAGCTACCTTTAAAGCCGAGTTGAAGGTCAGTTTACCAGCTGTATACGCTGCTGCGATCTCACCACTAGAGTGGCCAATGACTTTCTGAGGCATCACATTCCAGTCGGCCAACAGATTAACCAGAGATAATTGGACTGCTGTGCAGATAGGCTGGCTGATCTCGGGTTCGTTGATTCGGGAGGCGTTCTTATCCTTTGCGAGCTCTTCCATTAAGGACCATTTACATCCAAACGACTTAAGAGTCTCGTCGGCAGATAAGATCGACTTCTTGTATACAGGATACATCTGAAGAAGCTCTCTTCCCATGCCCCACCACTGCGCACCTTGACCGGTGAACACAAAGGCCACACGAGGAGCCTGCCGGGCCTATTTTTATGTCTTGTTAGAACCCCTTTTCCATATCTCACGGGAAATAAACTCACATTTGAACGGATTGGCTTTTGTCGGGTATTCTCGAGTTTGGTAGCCAGGTCATCAAGTGAATTCGCGACAATGAAGAATCTGAGTGCCATGCGGGAACGCCTCTGGCACAGAGTATAAGAAAGATCCGCAAGAAATCGGGTTTCAATCACGTCTTTCCGATTCCTTAGCTCTGTTGCATAAGCTGCGGCGCTGTCCTTGACGATGCCCTCTTCATGAGTAGACCATGCAAAGATCCGGTACTGGTTACCCCCTGCGCCAGCATCGAAGAATTCGTCACTTTCTGCCGACACGTAACCGGAACTCCAACCCGGTGTATCAAGATCAGTAACAGAAGAATGGTCCGGATGATGAGGTATGATCGAAGTACAGTGAGACGCTCTCAAAGCTCGCGCCTTCAAGTAATGGTAAGCGTCGTCAAGGATAACATGTGCATTTGTTCCCCCGAAACCGAATGAGTTAATACTGGCCCTTCTAATTCCGTGCGTTGGCCACGGTGTCAGTTCTGTAGGCACGCGGATATGCCAACCTTCGAAATCAATAGCCTCATTCCCTTTCTCAAAGTAGAGGTTCGGCGGGATCAGGCCTTTTTCTAAGGCTAGAACAGTCTTGATAATACCTGCTAATCCGCTAGCACCTTCAAGATGTCCTATGTTCGTCTTAACACTGCCGACATAGAGACGATTCTCATCTCCTGGACCACGGTGTTGACCTAGTGTTGACCCGATGGCGCCGGCTTCGAGAGGGTCACCAGCAGGTGTGCCTGTGCCATGGGCTTCAAAGTAACCAACAGCGGCTGGGTCGCATTTAGCATTTTCATAAGCCGATCGGATCAAAGACTCCTGTGCTTCTCGAGAAGGAAGCATTATACCAGCAGTTCTCCCGTCCTGATTGCATCCACAAGTTAGTAACCACCTAGTCTTGATTGCTATGGGTGGGTTATCTGAAATATATCTAGGTACCACATTAAGGGGCGGGCCGCTTTTGAGCGGCCTTTTATAGTGAAATAGCATTATTACTTACCTGATTGCAGGCGGTCCCTCTTATGACTGCGCGAATAGTATCATTATCCCTAATAGCGTCCTCTAGAGGCTTAATGTAAATCGCTGCTATTCCCTCCCCGCGAGAATATCCGTTTGCGCTAGCGTCGTAAGTGTGACACTTTGCATCTGCCCCTAAAAAGTGTACGTTGGACATAGCGATCATAACATCCGGGTTAAATATAAGATTGGTACCCCCAACGATAGCGGCCTTGCTTTCGCCGCTGCGGAGACTTTGGCATGCAAGATGTAGAGCAACGAGACTGCTACTACAGGCGGTGTCAACTGTCAGACTGGGACCCTTAAGATCGAAGAAGTAGCTGACACGGTTTGAAAGTATAGCGGCTCCATTTCCAGTCGAGACATAGACGGGTGATGTCTCAGGATCATGAGTCAACATCTCATTGTAATCTCGAGAGAAACAACCGACATAGCAGCCGGTGTTAGATCCCGATAGATCCTCCATCGGAACACCGGCATTTTCAACCGCTTCGTAGGCAGATTCCATCATCATCCGCTGTTGAGGGTCCATCCCGGTAGCCTCTGCAGGGGAAATAGAAAAGAATGCCGCGTCGAAAGCGGAGATGTCTTCCTGCAAGAAATGAGCAGCTCGGATGTTGAACTACATAATACCTATGTAAGCATTTGTCATGACTGAAGTTGCTCGTCTCAACTTACTGTACCATTTCTGTTTGGATCTGGGTGATAGAAAGCATCAACATTCATGCGACTCTTAGGAATATCACATCGTCCTGACTGCTTCCTAGCGATCATATCCCAGAGTTTGCTCGGACTAGAGGCGCCGCCTGGGAATTTACATGCCATACCAACGATGGCAATAGGGGGAAGACCATCTTGGCCGATAGCGTTGAGCGCCTCGCCTCCTTGAGATGACATTGTGTTGATACAATGGTTGACCGAGTGAGCTAATGGAGGAAGATGAGTGATATAAGGAGGTTGAGTCACATTAGAAGCATGATTCGTAAGTCCAAATTCCCTTCAAACACATCGGAGACCACGCCGATTATATGGCTGGTCTCAATATCTCGTTATGAAGTCCCATATCAACTTACACTTCCATAGGAACCATCTCAACCCAGTCTCGTATGTTCAATAAACTCTTCGTCGCCGCCTTCCGCCATCTTTCGATAACTGGTGTTCGCCGCCGCGGATGTATCATTTCCTACTGGTACTTTGAAGGTACTCGTCTAGAGGATGAAGGTTCCTAGGATGAACAAGACAATTCCCCTCTTCTCTGCTGGAATGACATGAGTCCTAGCATAGAGCTTTCGTTAGCATATGTGCCGTGGAGGTGATAGGAGTGACAACGACATCTAGCATGTATCCAATCATATCGGCAGCATCAGCTGTGCCCCCCCCCCCCCCAAGCCAATGATAACCTATGTAGGAGCAGGGGTAGTCAAAGCTGGATAGGATCTGATAACCATGCTCTTCCTGATGTTACATTGTGTAGACATTGAGGCTGTTGGCGCGTGGCCCCCTTGCTTGATTAAAGATCTTACGACACCGCGTAGGGAGGGTATCATAGTACTTTAGAAGCTTGGCAGACTCTTCCCGCAAAGTCGTACCACCGCTCCCCTTCACTTGAAGCTGAACTTAGATCTAAGCAACTAACCAACCATTCATCTTCCAATCATTCGATAAGTCCATGAGGTGGCGTGTGGAATATTTAAAAATACCATATTTCCCTGAAGACTAGCCCGCTAGCTTATCTCCAACATTCCCAAGCCTGTTAGTAAAGACACAAAGGACGACGCCACGAAGGATTCTACCATTTATACTGAAATTCAGCTATGGCTTTTACATCGGACGATGACCAAAGTGATAGAGCTGGGACCAATACAGCTATACTTTTAGTTGTTGGGACCGGAGGATTTACGCACGCGGGTTGGTGTCTCCCGTTCTAACCCCTGAGATATCTCACGCTGACAAGTAGTCTCATCTCCTTTGGATCAATAGCGCCCGTCCTTGAGCTGGGTCGCATCTTATCAGCTCGTGGTCATCGCGTGGCTTTAGCGACTCACCAGGGTCAGGAAAAATGGATCGAAGGCACTTCGTTCGGCTTCTTGACCAGCGTCTACACCATGGGACCGCCTATGGATCCCGAAACTGAGGCTGCGCATTACCTGCAGATGCAGAATTCCGACATCAGGAAGAGCTATCGGGACTACTTCCGCCCGAAGTTCAATGTGGATGCTTTCTGGGCCTCAGACTATTCTTTTCTCAAGGATATTTGCGAAGCATTCAAGCCCGACATGATAGTGGCTGATTTCTTCGTTGATTCTGCCGTCAGGGATATCAAGTGTCAGGCCGGAATCCCCATCACTACCGTCTGGCCTCAAATGCCGTACGCTATGGTTGGCGCATCGTATATCCCAGGGCTTCCTGGATTTCAGGTAGACGCCCTCACAAGCGAGTATGCTTCTCTTTGGACTAGGATCCGTGCCGCCTTCCGACCCTTGCGAGCAGTGTCAGCGGTCATTCCATATCTTAGGTTCATACGAGAAATGCGGCGGAAAGCTGGTGTCAACTACACCTTGCCAATCCTGAAGAAGCCTGACTACCTTGTGCTCGTCAACTCTTTCTGGGGCCTCGAAACCCCGAAGGACCTACCCCCACTTGTTGCTCCTATTGGGCCTATTCTAGCCGAAGAGTTCGAGCCCCTCAGTGGCCCTCTAGAAGCGTTCTTCGCAAACCATCGTCGTATGATGTACGTTTCTTTTGGGACACATATCCAAGTAGCTTCACATGATCTCGAGAAATTCGTTGGGGCATTCTCTGCACTTCTCCAAGAAGGACTCGTGGATGGCATCGTCTGGGCAGCTAATGACGTCCAACGCAAGCTCTTCGACCGTGATCAGACGCTACGCTACGGAAATATCAAGATATGTGATATTCTGGATAATCGCGATCGGTCATGGTTCTTTACACCTTTCGCGCCTCAACGAGCCATCCTTGCCCGCCGTGAAACCGTCTTATTCGTGACGCACGGAGGCGGCAGCAGCGTGAATGAGGCTACATTCCACGAGACTCCCATGTTGAGCATAGGTTTCTTCTTTGACCAGCTACTCAATGGGTTACGCATTCAAGAAGCTGGGGTGGGTCTGGCCCTTGACAAGGCAAATTTCTCCGAAAATGAGATCCTGGAGAAGTCGCGCGTTCTGCTGCGAGATGAGAATGGTACGATCGCGCAGGATGTACGCCGCATGGGCCACATTGCTCAAATCTCGGCCCGGAAGAAGGAATTCGGAGCCGATTTGATTGAGGAGGTACTCTATGACCACCGCTTTAGCCTAGTACCGCCCGGGGCCACGGCTGGTAAAAGTGGTCACAGGCGTCGTCCGATGCACCTGCAAACTGCCGATGCGAGAATGTCTGCATGGAAGGCCCAGAACTGGGATTTGACCAGTCTTGCAGTAGCTTCGGCTGCAGTTGTGGGATATCTAAGCTGGACGATGGTCGACGCACTCCGCACACGAACTTAGAATGTCATATACGCACCCGTGTGGCGCCGATGGAGTATATCACGTAAATTTTGATAGGATATAACAGCTAAGCGAGAAGGATTTCGTTGTTTGTTGTATGCAGGCGAAAGGAGAAAGAAATCTTGGTCGAATGATTCTGGAGCGATGAATGGATTTAATAGGATGGTGGCTGAGAGCTAGAGCTGTTAAACTATTACCCGCGCAGCTGCCGTGTAACAAATACGGATACCTACTGATAAGGTGGACCTTCGATCCAACAGCATCTTAGCCCAGCCCTATTTTGACCCACTTACCCCTTTAGGCAGTTTTTACAAAGTACATCCTCTATTACAGGGGTTCTCCATGCATTTACGTGTAACACAGCACCTAATATACCTAACTAACATACCTACCTACCTAGTAATTCCAGTAAGTGATGGATTCGTCGACCAGCTGAGGTCTAAGATGCTATTCCTTTGAGGATATCCTATAACCTCTTCTGTCACCCGTGCTAAGTCACCCGCACAGATCCCAACTATTAGGTACTACAAGAAATAGTGAAGAACAACTTGACAATAGCACGTAAAAATGAGGTTTATTTGCTTGCACGGTATGGGAACGAGCGCTGACGTAAGTTAAGAACATGGAAATTCTTCATTTCTTTATTAACACACGTCTGATAGATTTTCGAAACTCAAACTGGTGAGCACACGAGCCCATTTTCTGAACCACCAACGCAGATACTGACAGCTGCAGGACCGCTTCGACAAGCCCTTGGCAACAACCACGATTTCGAATTCTATGAAGGCGAATATGAAGTTCCACCAGCACCAGGTAGATACATAAACATAATTGTGTTTTGGTACATAATATCTTTACTGAGAGATCTATAATAGGGATTGATACAATATTCGACTGCGAAGTTTACAAGGCGTGGTACGACCCCTGTTTAGGAGCATCCACGCACCGCAAAGCCTTAGAGCTCCTAAGTGATATAGTCGAAGAAGACGGACCTTTCGATGGCTGTATAGGCTTCTCTCAAGGTGCAGCCCTCCTTGCATCCTTTTTACTCGCACACCAGGCTCTTGACCCATTCTCTCCGCCGCCGTTTCGCCTTGCAATCTTCATCTGCGGTAGTAGTGCGCTATCCGTCTCTGAAGATGGTCTGTGGAGTCGCATTGACCCACAAATAGTCGAATGCAGGAACAAGAGAATAAAGATCCCCACGGTCCATATTTATGGCTGTAAAGACCCAGCCTACCAGGAAAGTCTGAATTTGAAGGACATGTGCGAGCCGCGAAACATGTTGGAATACGACCACAGCAGTGGTCATGATATTCCACGGGGGATATCTGTGACGAAGGAGATGGCAAGGACTGTGCAGAAGGGTATAGAGAGAGCCATGTGCGGTCATTAAACTCCAAACGCACGTAGTCAATAGTTTCATACCAAATTCTTCAAACACGAAAATATAATAGTAAGGGATAACTATCACATCCTGAGCCATCCAATGTGTCGCCGCAAGGACTACCTGAGATGTCTCCAGTTCTAAGGTGGTATCGTAAGATGTGTACCTATTTATATATAGCTCATTACCTAATTAAGCTCTCTCTCTCTCTCTCTCTCTCTCTCTACTCTCACCCGCCTCTTTTTTTTTCAGCCATATCCTACGGGAGTCAACCTATTAGATCTTAACATATTTAATTTACAAAGCATATAATTTCTCTAAAATTTGTAGTTCATAACTTATAGGATACCGTCGGTTTGTAAAAGAGATCAATTAGGTGAGTGCATAAAATAACATAGAACTAGAATACACCGTGGACATCTCCATATGGGAGTGAGTTCATTCCTCCTGGTACCTGTTACCTGACCCTTAGAAGGTTGTATCAAATATTGGGCATCCATGGCTATCTGCTGCTCTCTATGCTGTGCGTCAAGTAAGTCCTGTCAACCTAGCTCAAAGGCACGAATGACGTGACCTGCAGCAATATTACATGATGGCGATGAGGAATACAGGATGCAGCGAAAGTAATACTTTCATTCAAAGAAGGGACCTGGATGCACGATCGGATTTAGACAGGCGTTGTACCATGGAAGCTTATCGTTGGTTGTTTTGACATGGTAAAGGCGGCCGCCGATTTGGACCAGGGCATACAGCTCGCCTTTCGAGGAAATCTCGGACCGAGAGTGAAAAGATAGACAGGAGGCGGGTGGGATATTCTGAGGGAATGCAACGCGCCCGATCATGTGCCAGTCGTTCGGTGCAGATTGCATGCGAAAGAAGTGAAAGATGCCCCCCTCTGCCGAGGGCACTAGCAGGTCAAGCTGAGTTTCGCTAGTATCATAATTAAGACCAGTGATAAGCACGGGGTTTCCTGTCACCTCGCCCGGATGTAGAATCCTAGTAGAAGTCTTGCCTTCCCACTTCCAGTCACTATCGTAACCGCCCCAGCGACCAAGGTCCTCGTTAAGACCGAAGGAACCCTGAACGACGTTGAGTTGACCTCTTGAGATGCAGGCCGCCACGAGTTCTGTCTTGAAATTAATGGAGCGGTCGACTAAGCTGTGTACCGCTGTGACGGAGACGGCTGAAATTATACCCAAATCAGTCGCGAGATGATCTACAGCCCCCCACACTGTTGACATAGAGTTATCATAAGAGGTGGAATATGTTGCCGACGTATGAAGCAGACCACCAGACTGGCATGGAACGACCAGGCTCCATCGCTCGCTGTTGCGAACATTCTTACTTTGCACCACCGTTGGCTTGCCCGTAACCCTGGATCCTGCTAGAGGAGGCGAAGTGTCTGCTAGAAACGAAGTATTCTTATCGGTGAGATAGAAACTATGTAGGTCACCGCCCGAAACGCAGTATAAGTGAAGCCGCGATCGCTGCTTGGAATCATGGGCTGGGTAGAGCGCCAGGCCAGACACGGTTGACTGATTAAGTGTCACTCGCATACTAGGAAATGGGCGAGGCTCGGACCACGGTGTGGCGGCGTGGTCGTGTATGCGCCTGAAGTAGAAAAGGCCGTTGGGACCGGCGGCAACGACCTCTTCTGAATCTGTCATGGCGAATTGCCCAACAGAGGGATACGGCTGTCTCCACGAAGTAGTGCTCAACATTGTAAGATTCAATGGACCAGATGGAATGTTTGTAGAACTAGACCGACTGGTGCTGCTTGCTCTCGATGTGGAAGGCGTGGGAATCACCGTGCCTGATTCTGTCGACGTGGGTGAGCTAAAGTCGTAGCCCGTCGAAGATGCGCTATTCATTTTGCACTTTCAAGCCTGATTCCTTCGTACACAGCGGTTTCTTCGGTAATATCCAGTGTTGGAGTGCCGCCTATTTTCCTGTGGGCGATTACAGAGCTAGGTTGATGATTTGGTGTGATGCCTTAGGAGAAATCAATAGGTATCATTTTGTGGGGGTGATGACGTAATCCAAGGATAGATTAAACTTTTCAGTTTCAGTTCAACTTTAAAAACTTAGAAAGTACAACATCATTTGCTCCCCTAGGTACAATTTGTATACAACACATGTTTACAACCATCCCCTAAGTGGTCCTTGTACCTCTATCGTCACTGCTACCAACGAATAACCCTAGAAATCTAAGAAGACCATTTCGGCAATGACCTAAGAATGGGTTGGTGCCCATGAAGACGACATTGTGGACCATTTTGCTTTTCTTCTGCATTCTGAACCCCTCCTTCAACATACCCGCGGTGTAGTCATCTAGTACAGCTGGAAGTTCATTGGTGCTGCATGCATTTAGCCGTCTAAGGTGTTCAGCTAATGACAGCGCGTCGGCGATGGCAGAAGTGGCGCCTTTGCCAAGGTAAGGGGTCATGCTAAGACACAATGTTAGAGATGGGATAGAACACGTTGTTAGGAAATACGCACCTATGTGCAGCATCGCCTAATAGGGCAATATTCTGAGACTTCCAAAGCCTGAGTTTGTGTTGGGTCTTGACGTGAGCCACATACACAGAGTCGGGAATGGACATTGATATTAATGATCGGAGAAGGGGATGCCAGTGTTTGGTCCTGATCATCCAGTCTGCTTTCAACTCCTCTGGGCTCATTTCATCGGGATGTTTGCTCTGGTCAATGAACTCGTTTGTGTAGCACCCCAATCCACACATCAAATATGATCCCTCAGGATCGAGAGTGTCGAGATCGTAAGGTCCATATGGCAATTCCTTGTCCTTGTAATATGAGACAACCATTGAACTTCGCGGGCCCATGATCTAATAGGATGTTAATTAATAGGCAACGACACGTCTTCTCGGTTCAATATGTTAAAACTCACGAGGCAACCTGAACCGAACGGCATCATCTTTTCCGTCTCTGGAGTAAAGGGCATCTTGAAATACAAGACGGTGACACCAAGTGTGTCCCTCTTCGAACTAGGGAGCAGTTGCTTTCTAATTTTGCTCCCTGCTCCGTCAGCTCCGACGAGAAGATCGCACTCAGTTGAGGTTCTATCTGTAAAATAGACCTTCACGCCACCATTCCCTAGCACTTCGAAACTTTCGAACTCGGTCTTCCAGTGTATCACATTGTCTAGACCCTCGAGCAAAGCGGTCCTCAATTTCCACCGCGAAACACAGCTTGCATCACGGAAATCCGGTGGGGTCATACCCAACTTCACGCGACACTTGTGATCTAGCAAGGCGATATGCTGACCGCGAGGAGGTTGAATGCCGACAGCCTTCTCTAATAATTCTGTGACAGATGCCGGAAGCTGAGTCCGCAATGCGGCGAGCATTTCCTTTGAAAGGAGGATACGGAAACCAGTCAAAGAGCTGGCTGCCTCATCTCGACCTCCTCGTTCATAAACAGTGACAGAAAACTTAGGGTCTCCTCGAAGTAGCTGGGTGAGGACGAGACCTCCGATTCCCGCTCCGACAATTACTACTCGGAAGGGGTTTGGCTTCTCGAGGTCATCAACGCTGCTTTTTGGGGCCATTGTTTTTCGAAGAGATTATTCATACAAACGAAGGCTAATACGTGAGTGTTTTTCCACGGCTACTTGGCTACCAGTGACTTTCTACGGTTTTTAGAAGCCATTTTCTCTTCAAAAGTGAGCCCCTTTACTTCCTACTATCGTACGTTGTCAAGCCAAATGTTGGTATAGTATGTTGACGAAATTAAAAGTACTCACAAAGTACCGAGCCTTGTAGCTACTTTCCAGCTACAACCAACGTCTTCGGAGACGTCCACGTACGGCGCAGGATCTCTGATCTGATGATAAAAGTTTACAGGGATCGGTGGTCCGGTATCATTCGATAGATTTCAGCCTCATGTAAGCCAAGCTATTCGTGTTTATTTCGAAGGACCTGGATCATGATCCCTCGATAATTCCGATGCAGCTAACTTCAGCCCTTCTCTGACCACTTAGCACATGTGGAGCAAGCACTGAGGCGCAGATTTCCACAAGGTGTATCGAGAAACATCGAATAGTCACAACCGGAACAATGAAGTCCCTAGATATTGGATGAAGGGGCGCTTGATACTTCTTGGACCTCCTAAGAGCTACTGGGAAATATAATCCAAGTATGTATGTGCTATGCACTAGCCAACCAACCACCAGGTAACACAACAATCAGATTCCAAACGTTTTCTACTAAAAACAAAACCCTGTTACTTCCCCCCTTCTCTCATGGACTAAAGCGACCTACCGCTTAGGCTAAAGATTTTCTATAGCAAAGAGTAGCAATTCAAATCTCATAATCATCATGACCGAATCAGAGACTAAGATGGACTCCCCGGAACCTCAAGCCAATGAGACTACGATCATTGCCAACCACGTGCCCGATTCCACAGAAGTCTTGCACAATGCCCAACTGAGCCTTGTTATTCTGGGGTGAATTCACAGCTTCGAAGGTTTTGATAATATTACATATTAACACGCTTATAGGCTTTGGCTATCACTCTTCCTATGCTCTCTCGAGACGACCATTGTCAGCACATCCCTCATCCATATAGCAAGCGACCTTAATGACTTGAGTAATTCTGGATGGATTGTTGTCGCATATCTTTTGACTTTCAATGGTAAATATATCCAGCCTCTTTCATCTTCAGAATTTTAAACATATATTAATCCCTGTTCTAGCATTCATACTCATATGGTCTAAGTTAAGCGATACATTTGGGACGAAATGGCTCTTACTCTCCGCCAATACCGTCTTTTGCATCTTTTCTATTGCTTGCGCCGTTTCTAAAACGATGGTCCAATTGTAAGTCATATGTACGCTTTATTATAATCAAAGACTAATGTGATATTCCTGTTAGGATTATCTTCAGAGCGTTTCAAGGCATTGGTGGTTCCGGAATGTATTCTCTTACCTTCGTCATTTTGGCTCAGGTAGTCCCGATGGATAAACTTGGGATTTGTACAGGCATTCTCAGTTCTGTATTTGCTCTAGCCAGTTTACTTGGCCCGATTCTTGGAGGAGTGATATCAGATAAGAGTACTTGGAGAGTAAGTTACCATGCTATCATTCGGGATATATGTGAGGAACTATACTAATGCTACGGCAACAAAACAGTGGATATTCTGGCTCAAGTAAGTCCAATTCCCTGGATGTATTATCGCTGAGAAACAACTCACTGACGACTTCTCAACAGCGTTCCTGGGATCGCCTTCGCGTTCGCAATCCTCGCTAAATTTATGAACAGCGGAAAATCAAGCCAGCAAGTCCGAAGATCCATGAAGGCCATGGATATCGTTGGTGCCTTCTTGTCTCTAGCTTGGGCTATTTTGCTCATCTTCGCGTTACAAGAAGGCGGTAAGGCCTACGAATGGGACAGTGGTGTCATTATCGGAACTTTAGTGAGCGGCATCGCAGTGCTCATTGTATTCGCTTTGTGGGAATGGTGGACATATCGTTACACCAATACGGATAGTCTGTTCCCAGTTGGCCTATTGAAACGATCGGTGGTTGTATTATTGTTCTTGTAAGCATTCGACGAGACGTGTTCTTAGTCTACGGCGCATAACTGACTTTAGAACATTGAATAGGAACCTATTGCTTCTCGGCTTCACCTTCTACGTCCCAGTCATTCAGATACCTCAACGCTTCCAGTACGTTAACGGCCAGACAGCGACACGGGCCGGAATTCTCCTCCTTCCTTTGACATTAGTATCTCCCACGACAGCGTTAGTTGCTGGCTCTCTAGTGGGGAGACACCGACTCTGGGCCCCAGCCTTAACAATTTTAGGAGGTTGTTTAAATCTTGTTGGAATTACCTTGATGAGTACCCTGCCAGTCGACAATGCCGTGCCAGGTGCTCAGTTCGGGTACCAAGTGATCATAGGGATGAGTCTCGGGCTTATGACACCTACGCTGCTATACATTCTCAAGGTTGAAGTTCCCGAGAAAGAGATGGCTGGAGCAATGGGAGTCGGGAACATGGGTCGAACACTAGGAGGCTGCATTGGTTTGGCAATATGCGGATCTTTGCTGCAGTCAGAACTCAACAAAGAACTTCCCAAATTTCTCACTCCTCAGCAAATACAAGCCATTACTGCGTCCTCGGGGTCGGCTGCCCAGGTACTAACCCCTGAGCAGCTAATTCGAGTTGGTCGGGTATATGGTGATGGTTTCGACCTGGAATTCAAAGGATTGATCGCGTTCGCTGGACTTAGTGTCATTACTGCAGTCCTGTTATGGTTCTCTCATACGCGTTCATTGAAGAACAGAATCCAAGGTGAAGACCGTGAGAGGGGAGAGGCATTTAGGGAAATGGCAGAAGCATAGCTTTCGGAGAATGTAGGGTCACCAGCCCTCGTTACAATAGAGAATGAGTTACGAAATAAATATAAAGAGACTTGCTAATACACGTTGTCTATATCTACCACATCCCTTGTATAAAACTATCAATGCATTTAACCCCTGTTTGATGGGAATCGTCTTGAATGGCTACCCCCTTTCTTTCAAAGTGTACCTAGGAAGGCTAACATATTATTACTTTAATATTTCGAGTGTTTAGTATAATTATTTATAACACATGGTTGAGATTAAAGAATGATAATAATAATATTTTAACATTTAACACTTATTCTCGTTAGAATATTCTGCTCCATCCAAGAGGGTGACAACGTAGTTCTTACATCAGGTTACTTTACCTATGCAATCGGCTACGCGTCATATCACGACAGTACCATCAAGCTACATGCAAATCACACCAAGGCCAAGATTTTCAAGAGATTACTCATCCAATCATGACGGTTGAGAGCATTCACTGGTAAACTCATCCTATGATCTCATGACTAGAAAGCTTGGTCAATATAACGTCCCATCTGCCAAGCAAGACAATATGAAGGTCGGGCTATTGATCAAAAGTACATTGCTTGAAACGCCAATTAACTCAACAGTTGGCTTGTATTAAGATGTCTGTAATATGACTTCATTTGTTATCCGTCAACGATATTAGGTAAGTTAGGTATGTAGTCGTGAGGTACCCGAGGAATCCAGCCGATCTTAGTCATACTAACGCTTATACGGCACCATCCTCACTCGTCATTTTACTTGGGTGCTCAGAACTCATGTTCCGCGAATTCCGGGGGCGCTTGAGTTAGCTTTGGATTACTTTGCGTGGCCCCTTTCCTAGCAGCGACGAGTAGGAGGTAGCTTTCCCATTTACCTAGTGTGTAAACTGGAGAAAAAGATTAGTTATATAATAATCACCAGTCAGTTTTCCTCTTAGGTAGCTACATTTTCATATCTAGGTACCTAGGTAAGAGTGCGAATACAGCTGAGCCCCTATTTGCTTTCTACCCAAGTACCTGACAGGATACCCCCTGAGTAAAAATGTGTCGAGAATAGGTAGTAATGAAAAGAATCAAGTCGAGAATGAAACCGGAAAAGTGAGCTAAGGTTCGTGACTTAAAGATCAACCTTGCCGTTATTCCCCGTACACGTGCTGTGGTAACTGGTTGTGCTCGTTCATCAAGCGCTGGGATGCGGTACCACATACGCCTTATTTGCTAGTGTTATTAGTTATGGGCGTTTATTTGACAGGCGATTTATATTGGAGCGATCCAGAAAGGTGGCACATAGGGCTAAAACCTTGTCTCGAGCTGCCATTAGACATAATGATAATTAGGTAAATCATGGTTAGGAAATATCGGCGCCCAATCGTAGATGCGCATGACCCTTCCCCATGGGGTGATCTTGATCTCCAGACTTGGCAAGATTGCTGACTCCCTGTGGATTCGCGATTCGGCGGTGAGAGGCAGTACCTAGTCATCTCGTCAACTAATCCCTAAAGCGGGAAAACTCAAAGGGCCGCTTTCAGTGGTACGCTTATCCCATTGAGGTTCGCAACATCCCAGTGGTTTGGATGAAGTGAGCCGAGATATCCTAGCAAAGTAGATTATAGATATCCATAAAGGTACCTATATCCAACGTTATTAAGCATGTTAGGCGAACTATCGCATCCTATGGTACCCCTCAAAGCTGATGATACGCTGGATCGGCAGTACGAATACGTGGAAGATATACATGTAATCGACGTCGCTATACGTCTTGTTATGAAGGTGCATGTATACCAACTGCAGCGCAGGCTGTAAGGTGACCTCTCTAAGCTGCTAGTCCGTCACATTCGTTTCGCATTCTAGGTGAACGGACAGGGCCTGATTGGAAGAAGCTCGATAGAAGCGAGAATGGAAACATTCCCCTTTTGGACAGCCAGGATCTCAGCGGCCATTCATATTTTCCTATTTTATTCACCACCTCATTGTTTTTTTCTATTCTGTGCTCCTTTTCCGACCGCGTGACCCTTAAATATTACTCCGTTCAGAGTGATGCTGACGATCGACTCACCGATGATTGGCTCTTTCAAAAGGAAACCGGCGAAAATTCATCAATCGACGGAAGGTAGATATTAACTGGTCGTGCGGTGTGAAGTGTGTTCACACTTAACTGGCATTCGTCACATGGCGTTGGCGCATATTTATGTGATGATGGCCGAGAAATTGCCTTGCTCCCCTCTGGATAATATAGAGAAATATGTAAGGGGAATTGGTCGGTCGCTTCTCGTTAATGTCTGGGGTAAAGATATCGTGGCTGAAGCCGAAGAGACATAGTAATTGGTAAAAGCACTGTACATAGCTGTTACATGGCGGGTTGTAATAGTATAATATCCCCGCTTTCTTCTCCTTTCAGCGGTAATCCCCGTTCCCCCAGATCTGGCCGGTTTCCACTTGCAGGAATCGTGGTTCCTACTTAACTATTTCCGGCAGGGTGCTATCGTTCTGACTAGGCATATTAGAGTATCATACACGTCTCTACATAGAAAGAAGGGGCGTCAATCACGCTCATCTGTGTGCGATTAATTGGCAGTCAGCTCATCTTGATCCATCATTTCTAGTTTTATGATCCTTATGTCAGTGGGATACTACCTACCCATATCAAACGTCTTATGCAGAATCCCTTGCTCTCCAAGCAGACGGGAGTAATTACTTCTCCTGGTTGCTGCTGTTTCGAGGCGCGTTATTACTTATCACGACATCCGTCAATTGCCTAAGCCGAGAAGGACACTGATAGTACGATGTAGGTATGTGGTACACACATACCTACCTACCTACCTACATATGATATATGCGACGTCGCAACCTCGTGTCGTCGCGAAAACGAGGATTGGTGAGGTAGGATGTGGGGAAGGGAAAAACGGATCACTTTGGCAGGGCTAGGGACAGCCAGTTAATCAATACAAACTCCGGGGAATCAGAAATGCAGGTTCTACAGTCTTTGCCCCAGCCCGGTCTGGGATGACAAGCAGGCACTGTACATACCCAGTACACATGCTAACGAGCAGAAAAGAAAATCATTATGTCTGTCAGGGGGGAATTCGTTGGCTGGCATCGCTGCGCTTACCTATCCGCGCACCCGTGTGCCGTTCCTTCAAGGAATTAAAAGGTGATTGGATTTCGGTGAGTCTAGTACTAATTCGTTGACCGTTCTGTCTCTCATGTACATACCTCCATCTATGGATATGGCTGTAATAGGTGAAGTTGATCAAGAAAGGAATGCAAGCGATCTCACGATATTACCAACAGTTTTGCTGCAGCTTCTTCTTGGCCCGTCATCTTTTCTTCAACCCAAGACTTGACTTAGCAAAAGTTTCTAGGAACGGCTTCACATTGCAATCGTCTAACAGCGACCTCGATTTTGGCGAGGTCTCTTAAAGCCGCACATACACAGGTACTAATACGGTTTATCTGGCGGATACAACCCTCACGACCTGCCTGCCGTACCTATTTTATTGTTAGTCCCTGCATATGTACCAATCCATACTTGGGAAAATATCCCCGACTTTGTTCACGAGGGGGAGAGGGAAAAAAAAAGACGTGTAACCAATAACCCATATGGAACGTCGGGACTATTGTTCAAAGTGACCGTTCGTCACTTATTAATGAATAGAATATTATTTCCGATCTTACGATTCCGACCCTTATTCCGCACCTTTATTTTCAGCGACTCACGTTGCGTCTCCATTTCATCCGCATCCACATCCACATGATTCGGCCTTCATGTGTATGATGCGCAAGAGAGGCTCCTCCCTCTTCCTCCCCGGCATCATTCCGGCAGACCAAGCCCTACACCAATGAACATACTCGTCGCATTCCCACCTTGTCCTAGTAGGGTTGGTACCAGTCAAAAGCCACCTCAGCGTTTGCAGATACACTACTACCAACGGCTCTCCCACCGGAAAAAGGAAACCTTTCGCTGCCAAGATAGTCGCCTGACTGCCGCCGCGATACCTAACCCATCGTACGCTGACGCTGACGACGACTTCGGTCCTTCTCGATTGCTAATCTGCTTAGGGCCGTGAGTTACACAGCTGATTTCTCGTCCATTTGCGTTCGCATAGAGGCTGACGAGACCCAACTTGTTCGAAGTACCTAATCCACCCTTCTCTCACTCTCAACCCATGCCCGGATCTGCGCCTCGTGCCACTTGCAGCATGCCCCCTAGCATAGCCTAGGATAGGTAGGTACTTCGTTAGCAAGGGGGCCTGGGATACCTAAACTAGCCTACCTAACTAGCCTAACTAGCCTGATCCGTACGTAGCATTTCGTAGCTTGAGGCGAGCAGCAGGAGGAAGACGAGAGAACCTGACAAGAAACCAAAAGAGAGGAGAGAAATAAAAGAGAGAAAGCGGCACGGTACCGCGGTCGGGATCGTCCCGCCCCCGATAATATCCACCAACACTTCCATCTTAAGTATTTACTGGGATTTCCCTTCCCCGGGTTTAACGTAGACAAAAACGACGATCTTCAACTTACCTACCGTTCCTCTGTTCTCTTATTAAGCGGCCCCAGCCAATCTCACCTGTTTCGGCGCCTGTCTCACACCCCGTCATCCTTTGGCTAACTACACATATACATTTGTGTACCTTCAACCCGAGAGCTGGCAGTCGGCGACGATAACTTTTGTACGCTATACAAGCTCTAATAAATCACTCGTTCAATTGGTACGCGCGCGGAAGAGAGGGCATCTGTCTAACCTTGGTGGCGTTTCGAGTTTGATGAGATATACATGATCTCAACCGCCGGAGTTCCGCGACTCCTAGGACGTTCTACGATAATCAAAACCTAATAAAACTGTTCCGATCCGGGCGCGGCACAGGTGTTAGTTTGCGAAATATTGTTGAGAGCATCGCCTTACCCAAAAGACCGGAGAGGAATTTTGAGATCTAGCTTCGCGATCATGACATACTTCCCAACCTGAGCTAGACCCTTCCCCTCTTCACGACAGCTTCCATTGTTGATCGTTTATTTAGCGATTGCACCATTTCATATGGTATCAGCCGGGTTTTTAGCATTGGGCAGACAGGGTGACTATGGTCGTCAAGCTAGATGCGCACCAGACGTCCCTGGAAGCCTTCGGATTACCTTGGACCTCCCGCCACGCGCATCGTCCGGACGATGAGCCGGGCCTAGTGAACAGCAGCAGATCGCAGTACTTCAGAATTAGCGCGTCGGCGCCCCCTTCGCCACCGAGCGTCTACCAAGTTTTGAAAGACGGCAATGGTGGTAGCGGCGGAAGCAGCGTCGGCGGGACCAGCGGCCATAACCATGTGGGACGCAGGATAGCTAGCTCTAGGCCGCGTTTAGCGAAGATCCAGATAGAGCTTCAGCCGTGCCAACCCCCGACATCGAGATCGGTATCACCATCAGCGACGGCACTAGCCGATAGTCGGCCAAGCCCGCAAAAGGCAAATTCGGCCCCTGTCATTCTGCAGTCTCAATCTCAGCCTAGCACTGACAGCGAAGAGGGAGAAGAGCGCAGCAACAGCAACCCATCATCCCCGACTAGGGTAGACACGAAGTCTTCTACCCGTCCCCTGAGGGCAGCTACACCGGATGCGATTTCGCGGGTGGAAGGTGCGAAGGTAACGCAAGTCTTCCGCTTTCCCCGCGAAGCATTCGCCGCGCCGTCCGCTCTTGCCCTCCGACCCGCAAAGCGTGGGCGGGCGCCGAATGACGTAGACGGGCCCGGCACCGGAGATCTTCCGTGCAAGAAGCGGAGGTTGCGACTGCACTTAGTGACGAGCCGGCTTTCGCAGCCGTACAGCTGGCCCGCGACGCACATCCTGAACCGCGAGAGCGGCGACGACTTGCCTGTACTCAGCCGGTTCCTCAAGTTCGCGGCCGTCGGCGCGTTGAAGAAGGCCGGCCACCAGAGCGCGCTCGTGCGTAAGGCTGCTATCCTTAATAGGGTGCGCATCGGCGTGCGCCACGCCGCCGTGCTTAGGGGTCACGCGGTGATCGCGGGGATGGCTGCCAGAGGAGATTTGCTGAGCCATGGCTTGCAGATAGTGACCACTTCCAATAGCACGACCGGAGCGCGGTTCCCCGGCCTCGCACCCAACCCATACGATCACCCGATACCGCCGGCGTGGCGGCCACACACGACGACCTTCCACCCGTCGCCTCCCAGCTCGACCCCTCCGGATCGGGGCGGTTCGGCAAGCAGCTCAGAGAATACGACTCCTAGCCCACCGGCGACATCTCCGCTCTCTTCGTCGACGCGATCGGGTATCCTCGGAAGGCCCTCCTACCTACCGTTACAAGCGGATGAAGAAGAGGAGGTTGCATTCCCGTCGCCAGATCTCGAAACCCGATATGCAGACCTCTCAGATGACGACATGGACGACGTGTACGCAGATTTTGGTGTTTTGTTTGGTTCTGGGGCGCGATCATCGGAGAGTAGTAGTGGAAGCGACGAGGCGGGTGGTGGGGAGCACTTCTATGAGGAATACTTGGACGAACTGGATGGGATACGGTGGATAGCATAGGGAATATGGAATAGGGGTCATGGTTATTGAGATGTTGATTTGGGGGATCCTTTGGGGCGACCTGGTGTTTTTTGAACCCGGACGAGGGCATAAAAATGGCGCTATGGTTACTGAGCGATGGATGCAAGATTAGGCTGAAAAAAAAAATTTAGGGATACCCAAACACGTCGTTCGTGGGTATAGAAGCCTACTGCGACCTCATGGCAACTTCAAATGAATCAATGTTTGAGTAAAAATTTGCAAAACGGTGCTTCAAAAGATAGGTATATGTGGTGGAAATACAGCTACTATGATGGCATAGGGTTGATAAGGTTGTTGCTTGTGCTTTCCCCGGAGTCCAAATGGACAACAATATACAAGAGCATCCCGAACACCATAGGGCTAATTAGATTTGGGCGTGCCCAAGCAACTCTTGGTGCGACGTACAGCAAAATAAATATGTCTTTGCATACTAGCTGAGATGGGGCTTGATCTCTTCGCTTGACATAAAGCCAAACATGAGCCTTACCCACCCCTTAAGAGCATGTGCACAGGAGGAATGCATTCCCTAAGTACCTAGTCAGGCACGACTTAGATAGCGCCCTGCAGCTTGTTCGCTCGATCTAGAGCAATGTCGACCATCGCCTAGGAAGGGGGTTCACGCCCAAACCTGTCAGCACATACGGGCTTCTTACAGCTACAATCATGTCTCGGTAGGTATGCTTCAACCTACCTGGATAGCTTCTAGTTCTTCAGCCCGGATATCACCACGATCGATACGTTCCCGCATATTCTGCATGACAACCGCTCGGCTCCGACCGTTCACAAACACAACGTACCGCAACCCGGGAAACTTGGATTCGTATTCATCGTTCAGGGCCTTAAGCTTCGTAGCCTCTTCTTCCTTATCCTTGGAATTGCCCGTGTTGAGATGCGCCTGTTCAGCACGACTCTGGGCGCTCTCGACTTTCTTCTCGCCTAAGCGCGGGTGCGAACCTAAGACCCCATGGAGCTTCTCCCGCGCATCTGAACTCGAGGATTGCGCGAGCTGCGACAGAATGGCTCCAACATGCTTAACGAGAGACTCGTACGACGAAAATGGAGGACTGTCGTGGATCGATGGTATCGCTAAGTCGTGGAGATCTGCGGATGGTTCAAAGAGAGCGTCGAGAGCGGATTTTATGATTTCATCATCGGCGGTGGGTAGCGAGGTAATAGGCGGTAAAGTTGTTGTAGACGCCATTCTATGTAGATATTCGACTCTGTATTTTATTCATGAGTAAAGACAGACACTATCGTACTTTGCGCATAAAATAAGGTTGCCACGGTTTAGAATTGTAGGTAATAGTTTTAAGTAGTATTTTCATATTGCTAAAGAGCATTCAACTTATAGTGGGTTATTTGAAGCAGTCACTAGACCTTGTTATGTGTATTGTCCATCGCGGAGTGCCGCGCAAAACTTCAATGTTGTATGTAGTGGTTTAAGTAGAACTCGAGCTATTGATTCATGGTGGGGTTTGATGTGGGACACAGGTGTACATTAGCACTACGTACGAAGGTTCGGGCCAAAAGTTTGGAAACAGAGCCACAGGCTTTGCACAGTGTCCGATTAAGTAATCACCCCACACACTGTATTAGCTTCATGCTACAACTTAGACCTAATAGTGATCTAACCGCTAAATTTTAGTGGATAGCTGCTATAATCCAGGGAGCTAAGCCACTAAGACAATACGCCACACGGTGCAACTATGCTTTAAATATACGGTCTCAACCCATCACAAAAATTTCCAAACTTTTGGCCCGAACCTTCGTACCTGTGTAGCCCATGCATGTGATTGGGTCCCACTTCGACAATTGGTAGAGCCGATGCGAGCCTAGTCTTCGGATAAATAACGGTCCTTTTTGCGGTCGCTTTTTCTACCAGTTGAATTTCAACGGACCCGACAAAATTTAAACCAATCAATTCAAAGTCAACATAGCGCGATTGATTTTGAAGCTTTTACATGTACCTGCGCATGCAAGGCAACATTTGAACCTTGGATTTTTTATCAAGTTCAGCCTTGCCAGCTAAACCTTGACACGACCATCACCAAGTCACGGTTTCTCACGATGTTGTGTGCTCGTAAGTTCCTCATACAGTATCAATCGTTATTAAAGTCACAAATCTAACATGAAATAGTTTCCGGCGAAGCTCCTCAAGAGCCCGTCGTCTCCAAGCTATCTGGTAAGTCCAACAGCGATAACCATGCGTCAGTTTGTTTCTTTAAAAAAAAAGCGTGTTTGTTGATTATCCTCCACAGGCGCTGTCTTTGAGAAACGTTTGATTGAGAAATACATCGAGGAAAATGGAAAGGACCCGGTGAGCGGCGAGGACCTAACTCTCGACGACCTTCTTGTCATACGATCGCCCTCCGTTGTTCGACCCCGACCGCCTACTCTGAGCTCTATACCCGCCATGCTTGCAGCTTTCCAGAACGAGTGGGATGCCGTCGCCTTGGAAACCTACAGTATTCGGCAAGATTTGAACAGAGTGCGAGAGGAACTTGCGACGGCCCTTTACCAACATGATGCTGCCGTTCGCGTCATAGCAAGACTGATGAAGGAGCGTGATGAGGCCCGGGACGCGCTATCGAAGGTGACTGTGTCAGCAGGCAGCGCAGGTGCAGGTGATGCCATGACACTTGACCCCGAGTCTCTGCCTGAGGACTTGGTAGCTAAGGTGGACGAATTCCACGCTCGGTTCGTACTATGATTTTCTATGATTAATTTTAATATGACTAATTGGATTTCGATAGGTTGTCTAAGACTCGGAAGAAGCGAACCATTCCTCAAGGAACGGCAACCGCAGAGGACGTTGCTTCATTCGCCGTCAGTGCTACCAATTCTCTGCCCGTTCCCCAGGCTACGACAGTTAGTGTCTCGGAGGGATATGCTGCCGTGGGCGGATTGCAGGGTGATGTAGCAATCTACTCGATCGATTCGGACACAGTCGAACGTTCGTTACAAGTTAACGAGCCCGTGACAAATTCGATATGGGATGGTACTAGGGTCTATTTCGCAACATCCAAGGGCTCTGTTAAGGTCTTTGAGAATGGCAGTGAAATTGCATCCTTCTCGGATCACGCTGGCCCTGTCACTGGTCTTTCAATTCACCCCAGCAAGGAGATTCTAGCATCCATCGGTTCAGATAAGAGTTTTGTCTTCTACGACCTAGTCAACTTGCGCCGTGTTCGACGCGTGTTCACCAATTCTGGTAAGTTTAAGTTTATGGCAATATATACAATACACTTTGCTATTAATGTTTGCTAATCATTTTTTAGTCTTTACTACCTGCGCATTCCATCCCGATGGTCATCTCTTCGTTTGTGGCACCAACTCTGGCGAGATTACGGCCTATTTTACCACTACGGGACTTGAAGGTGCCTCGTTCACTCTAGGCGCACCCGTTCAAGCGATTGCTTTCTCTGAGAATGGCTACTGGTTTGCAGCCACGGGCAAGGGACAGACAACTGTCACCATATTCGATTTGCGCAAGTCAGGTGACGCTGCACAAGCCAAGGTTCTCGATACCGGCAGTGCAGTGCAGAGCCTGGCATGGGATGAATCGCAGCAGTTCCTCGCGACAGGCGGCCCTTCTGGAGTAACGGTACAACACTACAACAAGTCTGCCAAGTCCTGGTCCGAACCTTTACGCGCGGCTGTCAGTGCCATTGATGTTCAGTGGACCGCGAATGCGAACAAGTTGGTGGCAGTCAACGGGGATGGAGTAATCAGTGTTCTCACTGCTAAAGAGTAATGATTTGGGCTAATGGCGTTCATATTCGAGAGCTTAGGGTACAATGAGAAGATGCGGGAATCAAGTTCGGACACCAAAACAAGAGATTCATTGTAGCCAACAAGATCACAGCTGGTAACCCAGGCTTTTTCAATGTACATTACAAAAAAAAAACAGCTAATGGGTGTAATGAACTGTAATACCTCGATAATGAATGGGGAGTTTTCTGAATATTTGATTACTGGCGTGAATAAACCGCCACTGGAATTTTAACATTCAATATTGAATGAGAATTCTATGTCCTTATGTACCTGTGTACCAATGTACATCCATGTACGAAATTTTAGGCGCCGGAGTTAAGCGGATAGAAGACTTATGTAACAGGCGTCATCTTTGCCATCCTTGCCGTCTCTATCCCGAACTTAACAACAGCAGCTGCGTGCAGCAGGCAAGGACGACTGCAAGGCTTCGCGTTATGTGAATTTCGCCATTGCATGACCCATTTGATTACCATAACTCTAAACCTTCATAACCTTTTTGCCATTGCCAACCCCAATGCGCTTTAACCTTTCTTTAATCCTCCTCCCAATTTCCTACAGATATCTTTCAAATTGAATGCGACAAGCGTTTCAATTAAACGTCGCCTTATAAGCTACGGCATCCAACAGCAACCACAATCTTCTCATCGATTATAGCACTACATTAGTACTGAACACTCCAGTACATCCGAACCAAAGACCACGGTGCAACGAGGCATAAATGATAATCGAAGGCATACTCAACAAAATGATTGTCCGAAATTAACTGTGTTGTCCATATATACATGTTCACGCAGTCACAATTCAATCAGTGCTAAGTCTGGTTGTTGGTACGTTCCTGCATAATTATGGCTCAATGGGTTCACATGTTTGCACAGTTCACACCTCGACACCTTTTACTACAGTACATGATTTTTGCTTGTCATGTACTTCCATTCACTGACTACTGACTAACCACTCACACAGTCACCTCGTTGCCTTGGCCAGCTGGTCCAATTTAGATCAGCCCATACTTTAGCCCATTTGATATGGCAGAAATACCTAATTCTGATTCACCGGATCCTCTATCGTCGACACCCCCCCGACCAGGCCGACTTGTCGCACCTTCTACCACTTCGACCGTTTATACTACTTCTACGCCTTCTTTACCTTCTACACCCTCCACCAACATCGACTTACGCTCTTCGCTATCCGAGTCGCCTAGCCGACAAACACGCAACCATCAACACCAACGTCAGCATCAACGTCAAACACCTTCGAACGATACCAGCTCTGCGCCCGCAGCAATACCCCCTCCCATGTCGTTCAACAACCATGGCGAAGAAAGAGCCATGTTGAATGAGCTTCTCGGCTTTATTAGAGAGGTTGACAATGATGAGCTCTTTCCTTTTGACCTACCCGACCGCGAACTGGACGAGGAAGTGGAAGAGGAAGGTCTATTCGTGAGCGATAACGACGATCTTGACTATATTGACGCCGATTATGACGGCGACGGATTCAATGCTATCGAGGGAAATGCTAGACCTGGGCAGCCGGATGATCTTCCTTGGGTAGATATTCCTTCGGATGATTCCCTTGAGGAAAACCAATTCTTGGCAAGAATGAACCATCAAAGAGATGCAGGCAACAACCCTGGACAGTCGGATGAGCTTGTGGAAATGGAAGTAACGCAGGCAGGAAACCCCCGAGGCAACCAGGGACATCAGCGGCAGCAGCCTCGAGCAGCGCCTGAAGTTATTGACTTGACAGGCGAGAATGATAGCCCTACGCAGCCCGCTCAACCTGCGCCCCAGAATCATTCTCAGAATAGCCGAAGACAGCGATCACAGCAGCGAAACGTTCTACCGCGACTGGCTCGTAGTGATGCTAGCTACATGGAAGCTCGCAACGTCATCAACTTGATTTCAGACTCAGATGACGAGGATCCTGCTGTGTTGCCACCTCCGAGACGTAACGAGCCTCAACGTCCGCACCAGGGTCCTGCCATCCAGCAGCCTCCTCGCCATCAACGACTGCGAGATCGCGCACAGCCAGCACCGGCACCGGCACGCTTCGGCTTACCCCATCCCCACCACACCTTCCATGATCTCCAGGAGTTTTTCAACAACATACCTTTACTTCGGCTGATTGGCAACCCGCCTGGGGCAGACAACCGTGACCGCAATCGGGGCGACGAGGATATTGTCATGATAGGACATCGCAATCTCACGCCTAACGTTCTGCCGGCGCCAAATCTCGCCCCTGTCAATCTAGATGTTCGCGTCCATCCTTTCGCCGTTGCGGCGAATGCGCCACATGCGCCCGGTGGTCTCGGTGCCAAGCCCGCGCACGAGCCCCCTAAGGAGACGAGAGAAGGTTTTACGCGAAACACGGCCGAGGACGTAGTCGCCATATGTCCGAGTTGTGAGCTCGAGTTAGCCTACGACCCGGATGACGATGACGCTTATCAAGGACCCCCGGCAAAGAAAGCTCGTACAAAGAAGGACAAGGCTGAACATCATTTTTGGGCCGTCAAGGCTTGCGGACACGTAAGTTGCCGCCCTGCATTGCTCTCTTTCAGTTATTTGTGTTAACCCATGTATAGGTCTACTGCCGAGCATGCTACGAGAACCGAAAACCCGTGGGCAAAAATCCAGTCCAAGTAGGATTCCGACGGGATCCTAACGGGCCCAAGAACCACGTGCTCTGCGCCGTCGAGGATTGCGAAACGGACGTTAGTGCCAAGTCGGCCTGGGTTGGCATCTTCATGTGATGTCACCTTAGCCACTTCACGATCACAGATTTTACTAGGCTTGACCGGAGCCAAATTCGGGGAGGCTGGATACCCGATTTGAAATTCATTCGATACTACGACGGTACTCCGGGATTCACATTTGCATGGCATGGCGTTACGTCTAGGAATGGCACAACAATCGGCAGGGTTGGTAGGAGGTATGATTCCCATGGGTTTTGTTTTCCGCGAGATTACGGTACATCATCATGAACCTGGCTTGGTTGCATTTGGTGGTTGTCCCGTCCTATCTGAAGGGTTGGGCCGGTCGGCGGATGCGCGGTGCATCCGAGATGATCAATTGCCTAGGTAGCTTACGCGCGTTCTCCTCCACCCTGATACGTAAGGTGGGGGCTTACCTATTTATATAGGCAACGCAGTGCTTTCAAAGAACACATCTAAGGCAAAACGTATGATTACGGTGTTTACCATTCTTTGCTTATGTGAAATGTCTAGCAGCCCGATGTTATTCCCTACCCTACCCTTCCCATACCTCCTATCTAATAACTGATCCCCTACATAATCCCATTAAAATCAGCCACCTTAATATCGCCGCTATCATCGTCAACAGGAGCTACCTAGGTTATCGTCAACGCTCCCTCTAATTTCTAGGGCATGTTCAGGTATAATATTATCGTAAAAGCGAGTGATGATTGCTGCTCTATATTAACATCGTGAGTTAGTTATCCGTTTCATTACTTCGAAATGGCAGATTTTCTCCTGTTGAAAGGAGCCCCGACGTAACCGTATACCCCGGTAGACATACTAGTAGACGCCAATATGGTCAAAGTATCACATTATCAACTTGCAACTATAGTATCTACCTGTGTCTTTCCTCACCTTGATATCTCATATCCTCTACCAAAGCCCGAAGCGAATAACCATTTACCCCTATTGGGAGGTCTCGACGCGCCGGAATCAAATCCAGATCTTTTCGAGAATAAGAACCCAAATACTCTAAGAGATGATCATTAGAGATGACATAGGGTTATAGAAAAGAACTTTTGACGAAATAAGGATATTAGTCTTTCTGTTCTGTTGAAGGCTTTAGCACGTGGCGAGTTTGCAATTTGTGTAACCCTCCCCTTTTCTCCGGACCCATCCAAATCAGGGGTGCGTGAAACGTATTTTAGATGTACGTATCTATATATTTTATATACGCTATCTACAATCTCTACATATAAACCCATATACCCAAACCCCTTCCACCCAAACCCCAACTAACGCAGCAGCGTCAACACACCAGGCCGGTAAGGCAAAAGCCCGTAGTCGCCACCACTCCCCGGCGCCCGCCCCTGGTACAGCAGCTCGAGCCGACACGGATCCACCGTCATCGTCTGGTCGGGGTTCTCGCGGACCAGGTCGCCGTGGCTAATATCATCCGTCCACGCCGCGCCGCTATTCACCTTTCCGGCGAACGGCGCGCTCTCCGTCGCCGCCTGCGGCGTCCACTCGCCATCTAGGCGCTCCGCCGTGAACGAGCGGAAATAGCGGCCGTTTGCGCCGATCGCTTCTACGAGCATCAGGTACTTCTCCTTTTTGCTTTGCTCGCTCTGGCCCCGCAGGGTGTACACCTGCACGGCCTCGAACAAATTCTCCGGCGTCGCGTCGCTCAGGACGACGGTCGACGCGCGCCCGAAGTCCGCCGGGAACTGGTCTATCGGCATGCTGTTGGCGCGGTACACCTTGCCGTTGTCGGCCGCGAAGAAGAGGTACATGTTCGTCGCGTCGCCGACGAGCGTCTGGTCGATGCAGCCCGTGCTCGACCCGGCCACGGTCCCGGAGAACAAGGGCCGCGGCGCGGACCACGAGTCCACGCTCGCCGGGTCGGACGACGTGCGGTACGTGAACGCGGTGGGTCCCCACTGGTACGCGAGGACCCAGATGTCCTTCGGCTGGAAGTAGAACAGCGTCGGGGCGACGGCGGCGAAGGCGGTCATCGCGTTCTGCGGGGCAAGGGCCATGGCCGTCCAGTTGCCGAACGGGGCGAAGTTCATGGATCCCCAGCCCGCGCCCGAGTTGTGCGTCGTCCCGTACACGAGGTGCTGGCCCTGGTACATCACGCTGGTGAAGTCCTTGAGCGAGACCCAGCCTGGTTTGGGGGTCGCTAGCGCCGGGGTCGACGTCCATTTGTAGGATGATGGGAGGTCGCAATCCTGTGCTGCTGTGATGCCGGCTGCGGATGTGAGGAGCGCGGTGATGGTTGGGAGGAGTCTCATCGTGGTGACTTCTTTTCACGGGGGTAGGTGGAAGCGAGGGGTTGAGCTTTGAGGCCTTGAAGCTCGTGAGTTTGGGCGGATGACCGCCAGATATGTATACCCTCACATAGGGATGATTATCGTATGAGATGATCGAATATGAGTAAAGACCGAGTCGCTCAGCAGTTGCGGGCTTGATGAATTTCTCCGTTTACATATTAATATAGGTACGCCCATGTAATATACCTGCCACGATCAGATAAAAAGTCGATGTATCCCTCCTAAGGGAAGTATACAAATTATCCAATCCAACATGTGCTTTTTCAAGAAATTCCATTGCTTAGGAACTTGGCCTTAGAAACTTGTTCGACACGTCTAGAATTTAATATATTCCCGTAGCCGCACGAATGAGAACCCAATCTTCATATAGCCATGCGGATGAAATCATATATATCGACTATATCTCCAAAAAGGCCTCATGAAACAACAGGATTATCCTGTTATAGGTAGGCATCGAATTTGTATATGGATAGAAATCATAAATGTGAACAGAGTAATATAGGGTGTCCAGTTATACGTGTTTTTCGTCTATCCCCTTTTTGAATCTCATTTATGTCGCCTTTTACTTCCATGTATTTGTATAGACAACAATATAATAACAAGCACGTATAAGCAAAACCGCATCATCAAGAAATGACATTTTGCTATCTCATCACCGTAGGGAAAAGAAGTCGGGATTTATATTGATGGCCTCTATGATTAAAGGAGGTATTTTGGCAAATGACACATGATACCTATCCAGATAATTGCCTGCAGACTTAGTATAAGCCGAACTACCGTCACACGCGCACCCCGGGTCCGTGCCACCCATTTTCCCATATAAAACTGCCAAAACAGTATATTCATAACTAATTAAATAAAATACCTATACATATACGGGTTGAAATTCTGATTTAATTATATTAAGGTAGACTTATATAAAAAGTTTAGAAAAATTAGAAAATTTTTAAGGTGGGTAAACGAATTTTTGAAGTTGAAGATTTTCGATTTATATGGGAATCCCATACATTTTCTCGATAATTCTTTTAAAATTCATAACTCAACCAAATTAAATGCTTTAAATTTACTTTTAGTCTTATTAAATCAAGTAAAGCATAAAGTACCTACTACAAAAGTGGTTTAGTTATATATATTTTCTTTATTTAATTATAATTAAGTGAAACTTTTGTAAGAAAATTATATTTATAAAATTTCCCCACGAAATTCGTATCTAAATAAATAAAATACATTACACTTAGATATTAATATAGTAGGTACTTCCTATTTTTCTAAATTTAATAAAACTGAAAGTAAATTTAACGGATTTATTTTGGTTGAGTTATGAATTTTAAAAGAATTATCGAGAAAATGTATGGGATTCCCATATAAATCGAAAATCTTCAACTTCAAAAATTCGTTTACCCACCTTAAGAATTTCCTAATTTTTAAAGGCTTTTAATATGAACCTATTTCATTATGAATACCTTAAAAATTTAGACCTTATACTTGTAGCTATTTTATTGAATTAATTATAGGTATTGTGTTTTGGCGATTTTATATGGGAAAATGGGTGGCACGGACCCGGGGTGTGCGTGTGACGGTAGTTCGGCTTATCATCTCCTTTCCAGCTCTGATCTTACCTAATATTGCTATATTTTTGCAGTAAAATCCTACATAATTGTGTATCCAATTTTGGTCTTAAGCCAGCTACCACTGAGTTGTCGAGACGTACGTACCATGCCAAATCCCACTATACAGAAATAGGGGTCGCTCACTAAGAGAACACAAGCAGTACACACGGATACAAAAGCATAGTCATAACATACTAAATCAAACACTCGTCAGACCAAAAGCGCCCTATATTCTTGCCGAGTCGAAGTAGTATCCCGTAGGTGAGTTCGTATTGTAGCCCTGCAATCCGGCCTCAGTGCCCGCGTAACTCATCTCCGCATGCGGCATATAAGTTGCGCCGGGGCCGTCCTAGATCCGCAACTCTGCTCTCAGCGTTGTTATAAATACCATCATGATCCGCATTACGTCACAAGTCAAGCAGATGGGTGTGTTATAACTAACCACCATTCAATGTCACCAACAAACCCATGCAAATAGATCAGATGACCACCCATGATGCTCTGTGGGGTCGGTGCTACTACAAGGGTTCAAGGTGAGATCTATTGAATATCGTCGATAGTACGTAGATCCAAAGTGGCAAACTGTGCCAAGGAAGAGGGAAAAAAGCTTTCTGGGATTAGTCTAACCCGTTCTCAGCTGCCAGTTCTGCTAGAGCGCATCTAGAAGCTCGTTATCTGTGAACTTCGGCGGCGCCAACCTGATTTGGAAGATTTGCGAAAATATCTAAAGGCGAGCTACCAACACGGCGGCTCGTCGTCGATGAAATGCTGAAAGCTTATGGGCCCTTTTCTACCAAAGTGGGATCAAACCATAACATAAATGATGCCTGTATAGCATAGAAGCCTCGAAGACTGAGCGTTTTGAGATCCGGAAATGACTACAATGATGCGCTAAAACCTCTGTATATCTAATTCCTAATAGTGAAAACTTTGAATGGGTTGAATATCGCCCACCAAAAGTTTATTCCTTAGCCGCATGGAAATGGCAGGCGACAACAGATGAGCTTACAATATTTCAAATCTGCCAAATCCAGATGCAAAAGCCATAATCATATACAGCTTCCACCCTTCACAATGTCTTCCTCTACAGCATCTAAAAAACCATAATCCACTTCGCCTACTTCTATGCCATCAACGTCGGACAAAGAGAATGCCGGCTCCAAGCAAGAAGATCATAAAAAAGTAACGAATGAAGATCTCGACAGATGGGCCCGTGAGGCTAGAGATGATCAGGTGCCGCCGGATTTTGGGGACGAAATTTGGGGCCGCGGTGATTATTATGTACAAACATGGAAAGAGATAAATGGATAAACTAACCATGATTGCCTTTGTCTGACATCGTATTCAGCTCGCGAAATAATGCTCGGTACGGAAGCATTCATAGATCTTGACAGCTCTCGTATCGCGATAAACGAGATGTATAGTGGGTGGTTGTTAGTCTGTCGCCGCAGGATGCACTTGCTTACCTTACCCTACCTGTCCTAGCTACCAATTAGCTTCGTGTGATATCAACATTCCTAACATCCTTTCCGATGAAGAGGTTGCCCCCATTAAGTGCGTTGCTTGCCTTGCACCAATTTGCTGTCGTGGAACGATAAAATCTCAGCGAACACGCGATGAGCGGATAAAAATGAATTTCGAAGGCTCTACGCCAAGATGAGCTAGAATATGGGGAATACCAAGTCGGCGGTCCTTTCATGAATACCTTCTTGTCTAGGTTCGGTCATCAGCTTACTGGCGTTGGCTTGCTTCTTTGTTTTTAGCTTGTTAGCTAGGCCGACGGCCAACCATTCCGTATATGAGCTAACTACTAATATGAGATGCATAAGGGTCTCGTTCTTGGGAACCTTAAAAAGGCAGCTAATGTTACTTTACGCCGCTAGCAGTCTTTCTAGAAGATTTTCACGGAGACACGATGTAACCAGATCGTGTAGCTCTTAGTAGGTGGTGAAGACTCACGGTTAGAATCTGTGTAGCGTGGCTGGATAATACTGGGCAATGCCCAATCAGAGCAATGCCGGGTTGTTTCTCCTCTTTCGGTCCAAGCTCTCCATGTCTAGAGATTGTTTGATCGTCGAGCCGTTGCAATTTTCCTTTGCTCCATCACCGACGTGGTCGGACACTTTGTGTGATAGATGGTATGATGGGTGACCTAGATAAAGTTGATGTCGCGTGTATGCTCAGCGTCTAAGCGGGGAATAGTAGCGAAGGTAAACGATAGGCCCGTGGTGACATGGCATGGTATGGCCTGGGTTAGGCGACTTGACTCTATTGAATATTCGGCGGCGTTATCTTAGGCTTGGACTAATCCGGCCCATGTCGCCTTGGCCTGAATACCAATCCCTGGAGCACGCATTTATTCGTAGAGAGCCAATCAGTTAATTTTCCCGGGATGGGATGCTGGTCAACCTAATACATAATAGGTTTATTATGACAGGAGGCAGGCTTCGGCTCATCACTTAGTTCGTCCAAGCTAGAGGACTTTGTATAGAGATGTCAGGGTAATTGGTGGTTATGTTTGCGCCGATATTGTTAGCCAAATCAAATAATGGGAAATGCTTCTGAAATAGAGGAGTCGTCGATCCGTATATACTATGCATACGCATTTGGCGCAAACTTCGAACAAAGGCGAAAACACGGCTAATTGCGGTTAATTCTCTTCCCGAGACAGCTGGACATACATACCTGGGAAGTGGTAGCGTGGAAGCATGTGCATCTAGGGTATCCATTTGAGCTGATTGCTACCCTCACCTTCCCGATATGGCTCTTAAATCCTTATTGTCCGTTCTCTATCGACTGGACCAGATTCTTCGGGGAATACATCGTGTGGTTCTAATGGGACTCGTATCTGTGGATCTTGCACATGTCCTGGTCCAGGGTTGGCAAGAGTCCTTGTGAACGTTTCACTGCTTATCTCTGGAGGTGGATCGGACTAACATCTGAGAGTCTAGACGGCGCCGTCGTGCATGACACCAACGGCCCCAACCGAAACTTAGAGCATACCTTGGCTAGCTAAGTAGATTATATCGCAATGACGGCTGCTGCACGGTGCTTCCGGTGCGACGTGAGATATGGGGGGAGGGTAATCTTGGTTGGCGTTGGGCCATATTAAAGAAGCGCATCATCCTCTTTCGCCAGATGCGATACGACCAGTCCTCCGTATCTCGATTCACCCAATCCATCGGGTCGCTTGGCTTTTGTCTTTAGACTTAAGCCACCTTCGTGGTACTCGAAGGTGTATCTGGGCAACTAATTTGCTGTAGTCGCACGATACGACACGTAGGAAAAGGACGTGTGTATCGATCAGTCAAGTTTTACAACTTAGGATTTCAACCTTTGAAATTTTCAACCTGACAACAATTAGTCGACCAACCTATCTTCATACTCGACGTTATCGACAGGAACCATGGCTTCGACTGAAACCCGTCCGGCGGACGTCGCCGACCCTACGGTCAAGACGGCGGCACTCGAGAAAGAAATCAACGAGAAAGTCGATGCTATAGATATTGACTCGGAATCCATTGAGCCTGAGCTTGATCTCTACGTGCCCCTGAAGATGGACGGCAGCATCGTCGACCACCGCAACCCTCTCACGATACGCGCCGTCATCGTCGGGATCGTATTAGGTTGTCTTGTCAATGCTTCTAACTTGTACCTGGGTGAGTATCTTCGATTCGAAAAGTTCTCTAGCTGTGTTGTCTCCTAACGTGCCCAGGTTTGAAAACTGGGTTTACCTTCGCGGCTTCTATGTTCGGAGCTATCTTCGGATACGGCATAATTAAGATCTGCTCGAAGACCAACCTGCCTATCATCGGTGGTTCTTTCGGACCTCAAGAAAACTCAATTATTCAAGCCGCGGCGACGGGTGCTGGCGGAATTTCTGGTATCTTTGTTGCCGGCATTCCTGCGATGTACCAACTTGGGGCAGAAGTAGGCAATCCCAAAGATGACTTCGGCGCTATTCTCACAATCACTCTCGTGTGCTCGTTCTTCGGCCTCTTCTTCGTCACTCCTCTTCGAAAGTTCTTTATCATCCAGGTCGCCCGAGAATTGAAGCTGCTTTTCCCGACCGCCACGGCTGTAGCTCTAACTATCAGATCGATGCATGCCGGCGCCGCCGGTGCCAGGGAAGCTTTGAGTAAACTCAAGGCGCTCGGCTTGGCCTTCACTGTTGCTCTCGTCCAGCGCGTGGCATCTTACTATGCTGTCGGAATCTTATACGACTGGCACATCTTCACTTGGATTTTTATCTGGTCCGATTATACCGCTACTACGGCGATGACCATTGAAAGTTGGGGTTGGTGGTTTGAGTGGACACCTGCTTTCATTGGCAGTGGAATGCTCATCGGAATGAACTCGGCGCTCTCCTTATTCGGCGGTGCCTTTATCGCATGGGCTATAATAGGACCTGTTCTCGTCCACTACGGAACATGTGTCGGTGTACAGCAAGTTGATGATCCGCAATGGGCTTCTTGGTACTCCTACGCCTCTCTGAGTAACTTGGGACACACGACTCCTAGCCCCAGATACTGGTTACTTTGGCCTGGCGTGATGATAGTGAGTAAAACAATTCCATATATAAACAAATATACGGAGGCAACGGCCGATATATTCTAGAAATTAGAAAGGGGGGACAAGAATACCTACTAACATTACTTGCTAGATGGTTTGCACATCGATGGCCGAGCTTTTTGTCCAATACAAGGTAATCGGATACGCGGGCCGAGTGATTTGGCAGAAGGGTTGTGCCAACATCAACACCCTTTTAGTCAAGCATGGCAAGAACTCGAACTATTTTGCCTCGCGTGCGGCGAAGGAAGTCAAAGCATCTGAGACCATCATCGAAGACCCAGCATCGCCGCAGGACCAGGTATCACTATGGATGTGGGTCACCGGCCTCATCGTAACCATCGCCGCCGCTATGGTCATCTTCGCTCTGCAGTGGGGAATGAATCCTGGCTTGACAATTCTGGCTTGTCTGTTGGGTTTCATGTTCTCTTTCCTGGCCATTCAAATCGGCGCGGTTACTGATCAGACACCATTGACGGCTGCATCAAAGGCCAGTCAGCTGATTTTCGGTGCTGCCACCAAGAATAGCGGGTTCTCGATCAAAGATGCACAACGAGTCAACTTGGTTGCTGGTGGTCTCGCTTCTGGAGGTGCCGACGTGGCGTCGTCACTCACAGCTGACTTCCGCACCGGTTTTTTGCTGGGTACACCACCTATCAAGCAATGGTACGCGCAGGGTCTCGGAACGATGATCTCGATCTTCCTCGCTCCTGGCATGTTCGTCCTGTTCACCTCGGCCTATCCATGCATTCTCGATGCGGAGGCCAAGCATTGCGCTTTCGCTGTGCCATCAGTTGCTGCTTGGGCCGCAGTTGCACAGGCTGTCACCGACCCAGCAGTCAGCATTCCCTTAACATCGGGAATATTCTCTATCGTCATGGGTGTCTTCTGCATAGCGCAGGTAGTATTCAGACACTTCTATTTAGTAGGCGAGCGCGAGAAGTATCGCGAGTATCTTCCTAACTGGGGTGCGATAGCCTTGAGTTTCGTACTGCCGAATGTGAGTGTTTTATCCCCCTTCTCTAAGCCTCATATCGAGAAACATTTGCTAACTCGTTATCCCAGCCGGTGTTCACGACGGCAGCCATGTTCGGTGCCATCGTGGCTTGGATATGGCGAAAGTGGAAGCTCAGCAGCTTCGACCTGTACGGCTATGCTGTTGCTGCTGGCTTCATTGCAGGCGAGGGTCTTGGAGGCGTCGTCGGTGCGGTTCTCCAGATTGCCGGTGTGTCGGGTGACGTTCTCGGTACCAGCATTGCTTGCCCTGCTGGCTACTGCTAATCATTTTTCCTTTATAAGCCTCTTATACCCCTGAGAGTCAGCGGATGTAGCCAATTAGTAACTACAATAATGAAGATACCCTAGTTGAATGCTAGTTCATACTAGTAGGTATTATAACGATGTTTTCTATGAACGAAAGTAAATTTGTTGTATTTGTTGTTTAGCTTGAATTTTGTAGGACTTTCAGGACCTTGCAACTTCCTCGAGTCGGCTTGTTCGGCTTCCCTATCTGATATATGATATGTCATTTTATTATTCCGATGAGATATGATCTATTTCGATTGGCTCCTGCCGCATAAGCACGATACAGTGTCAAATCTTGCTGATGTACCCCACTGAACCCAAATTTACTGTGCGCATACTGTACGCGTAAAGTGGGACAACTCAGAAGTACCTAAATTGGTTACACAGTTACACGCTACGGATACGTACCTAAGTACTAAGTACTGCAGCAAAAGACGCGCCGCGGTTCGAAATAATTCACATCTTTCCCCCCCCCACCTGTTCATAGTCGACGCCTCTTTGCTGCAACTATCCGATCAGCTACCCGAATTCTATCATCATCGATATGATGTTGATCAGAAACGATCGCGTGGGGTACGGATAAGGTGCAATTGAAAAATGGCTCCTGGTCAGAACACCTTCACGATCATCCCAAACGCGCCCGGCGCCATCAATGGCGACTCGGACACTTCTCAGTCCCGCTCTAATATACGGCCCATGACCACCAAGCAAGCCAAAAAGGCCTATCAGAAAGCGAATAAGGGACCGAAGTTATCCAAAGCCGAAAAGCGACGCCAGGAACTCTTCGAACAAGATCGTATACGGAAAGAGTTCGAAAGGGAGAAAAACCAGGCTCGTGCGAAGGCTGCGCGGGATAGGAAGAGGGAGAAAGAGGAGAAAGAGCGCGCAGAAAAGAAGAAGAAAGGATTGCCGCTAGTTGATGTCCATCCATCACAGGATACAATTGCCTGGTTTGTTCGTGGCAAGAGCAAGAAAAAACACGACAATTCGGTAGTAAGCTTGCCCGCTGTCAGTAAACATGACAGCGATGATTGCGATGGCCGCAATGACCGCACCTCGTCATCCGATGAGAATGAGCCCGAGCCGCCTCCGAAAAGGCAAAGGACAGAGTCACCGGCACCGGCTCCGGCTCCGGCTCCGGTACCTATGGATGCAGATCTAGGTGTAGATCCAGATCCGGATCATAGTCCGAGCCCTGCAGGGGTAATCGGCGATTCAATGTCAGCAGCCCAAACAGCCCAGATAGCTCAGGGTCTCGACACCGCCGGAGAGACACCTCAACTTCCGGAGGTGGACGATTTAGTCGAAAGATGCCCGACGCCGGACCATCCAGACATCGATATAGATGAACCTGAAACGATAGAGTCGCTTCCCGATGAGCTATTCAATGAGTTAATTGATGCGACTATTAGCTCATCTAGAGATGAGGCGGGTGTTCCTAATACAGACCTCCGAAGGCCCTCATCAAGGGAACACGAATCCTCAAACAACAAACCATCACCAAAGCCATCCAAAGATTGCATTCGATCACCGACCCTAGTCAAGGATTTGCCGCTAGAACAGAAGGCAGAGGATAGTGCATCGCTGTCTCCTATTCAACGTCCACTCCAAGCATTAAGCGCAACGAAGGTCAATTCAAGAATAAGCAATACGCCTAAAGAGCCTACCCCCGATCGGGGAAATTTGGTGAACTCGCCAGCTCAAGCACCTAGGAGAGACCAGCTGTCAGCGTCAATATCACGATCTTTTCATCACCCCAAAACCCCAATGGGGCCACCCCCTATTCCACCGAAATTCAAATCACGTAGCCCTGCACCATCTAGAGACCTAAAGACACCAACTTTCTTAGTCAAACAGACTCACACGCCTAAACCCAAGCCCAACCCTCACGAAAGCTACGCCTATCAGAAAACACGAGAAGAGCTTCCACCGACGAGTACGCAACTATTCATGCTTGGTCATCTTGAAGACTTCTTCCCGAGTCCTTCTCAAGAAGTAAGAGAGCTCTTCGAAGAACCAAAGTCTGCTGGCATTGGAATAGGCAGCAGCGCATCTAAAACGAGAACCACGTACCCGACTCGCTCATCCCCTAGCAACAATCGGTCTACCAAGTCGATATCAAATACGTCGGATCTCAATCGCTTACCACCCATTACTACAAATAGCAAACCCAAATCACACCCTATCCAAGATAATGCTTTTTCCACTGACGCAAGTAGCTGGCTTCCGGCTCCAACTGCAAACGTTCCATCCTCGGGAAATTATGATGCGTTTGATATGCCTTTTTTCTCGACGCAGGATTTTGTTCTCTCGTCACAAGACATGAAAGACCTCGAGAATGAAACGACGTCACCATTGAGATCCAAGCAGAAGAATCATAGTCTTCAGTCTGACAATGCAGCTAGTAACCCTGGCCGATGTTTGCTTAATGTGACCCAATTTGGTGTCAACACGTATTCGACAACCTCTATATCCCTATCGCCTAAAAAGAATATCAAAGAGCTAGGACTCATCTCGAGAACGGTATCGGCCGGAGGAAATCATCAACTAGCTTCTCCTTGCCCACCAGCTGGAACCGTTGGATGTCCTAAAGGCTCGAGTCCAATACGCAGGAACGCCACATCGTCCAACCCCCGGATAGAAGACGGAGTGAAGCCCCTCGAGAAAGCTGGACACGAAGTACTTCCTACGACTCATGGACATCATCGATATAAAGCACTTGATACGCTGCATATCAAGAATGATGCGGCACAGCCGCGTAATTCGCCGAAGCCATTTTTCGCCTCGAGCGGTCGGGAAGCGCACTACAAATACGTCATAGAGAGGAGCAAGACAGCCTCGTGGGAGGGTATTTCAACCCGACAAACGGTCCAAGCAGGGCTACAGCGTTTCCAGAGATCAGAGAACGAACGCTCCGACAAGATATTGACAGAGCGCATCACAGGAGATAAAGACGGACATGTCATCGACAATTGCACTCCTAGTTCAGGATCGAGACCAACAGACTCAACGCCCAGACCAAAAACCCAACCGAAGAGTCAATCACAGCCACGATCTATCAATCAGCTGTCAGGCTCGGCAGGAAATGGTATACAGAGCCCGAAGGCAGAAGAAGTAGTCGAAAAGCGTCCGCGCCAGAATAATTCTCGGAGTTCATACGAGGAAATGCTAGAAATGCTAAAACAGAAAGAGACCCAAAAACAAGGGCAGCAAGCAATGTCGGCGTCGCAAGAAACGGACTACGGAGAGGCGGGGCTAGACGATGTGCTTTGCGAGATGCTATAGCAAATAGGCTCTATCTTGGTGATACCAGATGGAAGTGGTTGGGTATTGATGGCCCGGAGGCGAGTCTGGCATGTGAGCCTATTCTATGTGAATAGGACATGATAGAGCATAGAGGGCGCTAGCCATACTTATAGCATAGGAAATCACGAAGTTTATGAATGAAGCTGAATTAAGACCAAATCCAGGATAGTACGCTCAGGTATCAATGTCGAGCTATCGCCTCGGGTCTCGTACTAGAAGTTCTGGTCCTCTGGAAAATACAAACTTTTGCTATCCCACCTAGATAGTCATCTGAATGTTCCCCTTTTCGCTTAGCCTTTCATCCTAGTCGACCCTCACTCTCATACAACCAGATATTTTTCTCATCGCTCTAAGCTATTAGGTCTACTTTGCGTAGAAAAACTTCGTGAGGAAGACGCATATACTTAGTGAGTTATTGAGATCTCTCGTTGAAGATATGAAATAGGGGGATGTGATACAACCATTAGCCTTGCAACATGACTTAACATATGTGAACCATAGACACCCAATTATGACTGTTTTAGGACGGTATCTGTGAGACTCGAGGGACAACTCACCTCAGTCACTGCAAATTCAATCCTTTCAAAGGTAGCAACATAGCTACACGTCTAACAGATGAATAATTATTTTCTCAGTTCGTACATGCTTATGTCTAGTTAATACAGCAACTCACCAGCAAGGATGACTCGATCAGACGATCCCATCACTCGTGATAAGAAGCCTTTATAAGCCTTGCTCTTTGCTCTTCAATCTCGACAAGTGAACGGTATCAGACGACAGGCGAGAAAAGATGAATCTACGTAAAGGAACCGGCTGCCTTGTAGCAAAGACATATGCCGAGATCGATCTAGTCACAATATTTTCAAATCCACCCTAGAAGTGAACAATACGAGCTCCTTCACTACTTATCATCACAAGCAGCCCATCTCCCCACCCAAAAACTCTGCTTCTTTTCCTTCACCTTTCTCTAGGTTCACTTTCCTCCTCTCCCCCTTCCCAACATCCGCCAAATATCACCATGATCTCCCCTCCCCCGGCCCCAAAACTCTCGCGCTCCTGGAGCACACCCGTCCTCCACAGCACCACCACCACCACCACCCAACCCCTCCAAGCCACCACCGACCTCGAGACATACACCTACACCGACCCCCACCAGCGCACCATCCTCCGCTCCCTATCGACCACGTACTCAGACCGCAACAGCAGCACCGTCGGCTTCGCCCCCAAGTACCGCGAGATCCGGCGCAACGGCGCCATCATAGCCTTCGTCGACGCCGCGCGCGCCTTCGACCAGGAGCTTCTGGCGCTGCGCTTCGTGCTCGCGGGCCCTCGCGCCGTGGACTACCTGGCGCCCGCCGACGTAGCGAGGGCGGAGACCGGCCTGCGCCGCGCGAACGCGGTCCTCGCGCGCGGCGGGTGGGTAGTTAGGAGGTGCGAGGACCTTTGGGCCGCGCAGTATGCGTGTGAGAGTCTTGGCGAGGTGATTCGTGATAGAGAACGTGAGTTACCTTACTTAGTCCCCTTTTTTTCATTGCTTGTCTTTGGGTGTGGTAACTTCCTAGACACTCCTAAACTTCATAAACCACCTTCCCCGAGACCAAAAAAAAAAGAAGAAGAGAACCTGCTAACCCCTTTCTCACAGTCCTCGCAGACGTAGACATCGGCAAGCAAGACGCAGAGCTAGCATGCCACCGCTTCTGGCAGCAAGCGAAGGAGCGCTTCATACCGCTCATCTGGATCCTGGACAAGGAGGCCAAGCGCATGAAGCGCGTCGTATCGCGCCTCGAGCGGAACCGCGAGCCGCCGTTCCTGCGCGAGCTGCGCCGGAAGAAGGTGCGTTCACCTCTTCCTGCTCCTATTCCCGCCGAGTCCGCGAGCACGTCAACTAACACCTTGTCCTCCTCCTCCTCCTCCTCCTCCACCACCTCCTGCAGCGTGCCTCACTATCAAATGCGAGGCGCTCTCCCCGTCGTCGCCGCCGCCGCCGACGCCAAGACGACAACTCGGCTCAACAAGCTCCGGGCTCAGCTCGCCAAGTCTAAGACGCGCAACGCGCTCGGGATCGACTTCGCGTATCTCGCGCTCAAGGCCCGGTACCGAGTTCTCGAGACGCGCGACAAGATGAGGGGCGGAAGGGACCCGGCGGCATCGCGGGCTATGTGGCTCGCGTTTCGGGAGGCCTTGCGGAAGCACCCGGGGCCTCCTTCTTGCGACTTGATTTGCCTGGAAATCAAGACAGATACTATGGTTCTTCTCGCGGGACGTCGAATAGGAGGTGACGAAACTCAGGTTGACTGAGCCGGTTTCGGAAACCACAGATGAACAAGTCGTCGCGAGCTTCGGTAATAGTATATGATTAGTTGATACTCTGGTATATAAACTGTCAGCTAAGGTGACGGGAGTACGATGGTGCGTAGTCATCTCGGCAAATTCATCGAAATTCCACAAACCCATAACTCGTGAGACTACGTTCTCTTACAGGATGATTTCTTACAATACCATGTCACGTCATCTAAATTGGCATCTAGGATGCCTATGTTCACAATATCCGAAAACTGTTGCTTTTCAGTTCTTGTTTATTCCCGATTATTACGCGTATTACTACCTATCCGATAGTCCGATAAAGGAGAGGGGATATACTAAAGCAGAATAACAATAAGAGGTATCATCACCGTCGTGCTACCGTCATTGTAGCTTTTCCAAGTGAAGTCATTCTGAACCCCTGGGTATCTTCGGGTATAACCATCATCGGATCCCCCGACGCAACTGCATGATCCCTATTCCCTTGCCCCAAGTTTCCTTACTTTCCCTCATAACTCATAGACGTGCCTAAAGAGAGTCGTGGCATATACGTTACGCCTTCTAGATCGTAACAGTCGGAACGGTCGTGCTAGTAGGTCCGGTACCAGACACATACTTGCCATTTGCAGATTGACCGTTAGTGAGAGTGCCGTTCGTGTAGTTACCGTTCGTGGCGGTATTGTCGTTCACGGCGTGCATCTTGCGAACAACGTCAGGGGCAGAAGGAATGTTGGTGCTCTTGGAAGCGGAACCGATGGAGAATATAGGGCTCTCCCACTGTTCGCCCTTGCGAGCCAACTCTCTGTACTCCGTCGCCTTGGAGCTAATGCCACCAGGCAAGTGGATGTTGGGGAAGACACTGTCCTCCTTAGTCACGGCTAAGTTGACCTTCTTGTCGGCTGCCACGGCCTCGGCCTTCTTCTTGCCCTGAAGGATCTGCTTCTGTGCAGCATTGATGTATCGGTTGTAAATGTTGGGAGTGTTTCCAGGGTCGGAGCGAGCCTCGTCCAGCGCGCGATCAGCCTCTTTCTTGATTTGGTAAAGCAACTCATCAAACTTGTTGAATTGATCCTTGAGTGCCTTCTCGGCAGTCTTCTGGATTGCTGGGCGGAGAACCTTAAGCATGACGGGCTTGAAAAGACCAAACAGGATCTTATGCTTAGACCTGACGAGCTTAACTTGTAGGTGCGTGACGTCCACATCAACCTTGTCGATCTTGAAGAGGTGCTGTGAGTCCTTGTCGTCGGCAGTAGATAACTTCATGCGAAAGCAGAACCCATCACCACCCATCTTGATGTTTGCAACACCGGTGTCCGTGATAGAGGGAAAGCCTTGTTTGCGTTTGACATAGAAGCTGACATCGCGTAAGTCCATTTGGACGCCCGTAACCTTGACATCGATAGAATTCTTGTTCTTGCTAGCAATCTTCTTACGGCCAAATCTCCAGTAATTGTCGCTAGCGACCTCAAGGACATTGGGCATAAAGTTGTCGCTCTCCAACACGAGGTTCTCCACCACTGCATCAATCTCGGAGTCGGAATACTCGATGCGAGGAATAGGAATGTAGGCAACCTTCTCAAAGATTGCTGGGATAATGATATCGGTTAGGTCCTTGACCAAGTGAGGCTTGAAAACCGCTTTGCCTTGCTCATCATTTCCAAGGTCGCTGAACAGCTTTTCCAAGGAGGCGCCGAATGCCTTGTTCTGGGGGTCTTGGTCGAATTGGTTGGCCAAGAACTTGATCTCGTCGACGATGCGGTTGGTGTGGCTCCTGTATTTATCACGGAGGAGATAGTTTCCATGGTCGTAGAGACGACGCCATTCCTCGTTCGAAGCATCTTCCATGATATAGCCTTGTTGCTGAAGACATTTGCGGATGTAAGAGTCAATAGACTTGAACCAGTCTTTCAATTCGGGATCCTTGTCGGCGTCCGCGTAGATGGTGTTGATTGAAGACCAAAGATCGTCCGACGAAGTTCCGTTGGCAAATCGCTCAATCAATGTCTATTATATCATTAGTTCCGTACTCTCAAGCTATAGAGTTGCATTGCATACCTTCAAGTCAGCTTCAGCAGCGGCAAGGTGAGTTCGCGTTTCCTTGACAGTGCCAGTGCTACCAGCCACGATGCTCTTGCTGTGAGAGCCATACTGCTCGGCTATGTCAAGCAGCGTAGAAATGGCTTGATTGTAATCAGGGTGCTGCTGGCATTCGACGACCATTTTCTGACTGTGTTAGTACTAATTCTGACGGTGAGATGCGGACATGCTAATCCATACCTTTAGACGCCAGATGGTCTGATCACGACGCTCCTCTGGCATTTTCTTAGAAAGATACTGCCGAGTACGAGCGCCATACTGCTTAGAAGCCTGCTGGACAGATTCGCGGGTATCAGGGTCAACGTTCGACTTAGCCTGCTCCACAACGCCGCCCGTAGCATTCTGCGCAGCGTTGAGACGATCGGTTGCTGACCCATCAGACTGTTGAGCCGCTTGGGCACCAGAGCTAACGACTTTCTGAGCATCTTCTCCGGGTTTACTCTTGTAGATATTCTGTAGCTGAGACTTCACAGTCGTCTTGGAGAAATCGGGGGCCTCATGCCACACATTGTCTTCAGCGGGTCGGTCGATTTGGGCAAGATCCTCATGCGCAGGTTTCAGTGTGCTTGCCGCATTGGTTGCAGCGTCCCCAGCAATATCGCGGAACAATATGGTGGCATCATTAACTGAAAATCTGTGAGTCAAACTGGTGCATAGTACGAGCGATGATAATCAACTTACGGAGCTTGCGGAACTGGCCGTTGGTAATAATCAAGGTTCCCAGAGTACGGAACCCCTCGAGAACTGTGTCGCCATGTTGCTTCACCGTATCCTTATCCACAGGAGCGTTAGGCACGTTCACGGCCTTGGGGTCGAACTGTTGGGTCTGCCAAATGAAGTCCTGCAGGATATTTCCCTCGTTCTTCGATAGAAGTAACTTCTTCGCCTGTGTCACCACCTCCCTGACATCTGCGACAAGCTCTCGTCCATCCGACGAAAGCTTCTCTGAAGGCTTCGACAACGCTTTCGATTCGAGGAGACTGTTCAAAGCAACGTCGATTTGGTCGTTCTATGTTATTGTGGTTAGCCCGGGTTCCTCATTTAGCTTGCCACAAGTCGAGGAACACTTACCGATGGCACTTTGCCAATCTGGAATGCATTTATAATGCCGTAGATCTGAAGCTTGCGGTTTACATCTGCCTCCTTCTGCTTGACGTCCGTCGGTTTGTTAACGGTCGCCATGGTGATGATGGAATAGGGTATCTCAATATCAACTGTTGGATATTTAATGTGCGGCGGCGCAAAGCAGAGGAGCAGATTAGGGGTATCACAAGTGAGGGTATATTAGGATGGACTGATATTAGTTCGTGTAGTTGGTATAATTCTCATTAAAGTGGCGAAGTAAGGGGAAGAGAGAACACGAACAAAGTTTGAAGAAAAAAAAAGAAGGTTGGGAGAGGAATGTAGATAAAGGGAGTTATGTACATATTATATATTGACGTAGCTCAGATGTAGCGATGATTCAATGAAAGAACGATCTCGAGGCTGATCGCATGCAGTTGGCCGGGAATTAGCTACCTAGCTACCTGCTCTTTCCACGAATGGCCATAAAATGACAATCACGGACGAAAAGGTACATGGCAGATCACACTGAATACTAATAATAGTAAGTAGATGTTTGTAGGCATGTACTCCTCTGACGCAATTGCCCACCTGCGACCGTGCCTTCTCCAGTCCAGACCTTTACTTGGTTCATTAGGTGTAGATGACGTGAAAGTTGCCCGGCCGTACATGCCAGTCCAGTACGTCATAACTATCGGGCAGGTGCTGCTACGGTTGAACTAGCCACCAGCATTAGCTAACAACGATTAACAGTGGAACGGTCGAACAGATTTTCTCTCTTTCTCTTTCTCTTTCATATTAGTTCAAGCTACTATGGAAACTATTGAGCTCTCGACTTTTAGAAAGTTGATATACACTACCTAGCTGCCTAGTAATTAATTATTCGTCATCTTGTCATGATCGATGGGGAGATTCAAGATCCGTCGTCCTCGAACAGGAAAGAGTCTAGCAAAAGCCTAGCAAGAGCCTAGCATACATGGAATTCAAGGGCCGTCAATTCCAAGGATAATCGAAGCTATCTCCCTTTTGCACCAAACGCGCGGAACCGGGTAGGTATGGATCAATCGAGAACTCAGTCGCTTATGATGGACAACCTGGACCGGACTGTCTCACATGAATGCATTGTACAAGGCACCGGCATTGCACAGGAAGCACCTGAGAATCCCATATCAAATCGTACAGGTCGTACCCCGGGTCGGGATGCATGTCAGATCTCCCGTCTGCGGGTACCTATCTGTCTGTGTCTACCTACCTTGTCCACGGGATATCTTTGGACAAAAGCAGGGGCGGAGGGGGGCACGGAATGCATTGACAGCTTAGACAGCTTTAGACACCAAGCTCTGAACAGGGTATCTTCGTCTTGGCAGCCCGTCAAGAGAATCAAGGTAATTCGAGGCACGCGAGCTCCTCTAGCTGTCTAGTGTCTAGCTCCCCCATACACGTGTCTAAGCCTTCGTATGTGGACCCTTGCGAAGATTTGGGAATTCTCCAATTTCCGCTTCCGGCTGTCTATGACGTAGAAGTAGATACCACAGCTCCAACAGCTTGGCAAGCTATCCTCGAAGCTATCATCGTATGTTCTAATTCGTCCAAGCTATCCCTGGGATGCATCTAGTCAGTCTTGTGGAACGGCTAAACAAGTTATCAACAGACAGCTCCAAGACAATCCGGGGATGATACCTATTAGATACAATAGCTGGCGTTGACAGTAGACATGATCTCGATGTACGTCTTGAACGAATTGGCGATCTCTAAGGGAATACACCTACCTGGTAATTTGTATGCATATAATTCGATTAAACAGGTTGGCAACATGATGTTTTTATAAAATGTCCCTAATAGGTATCGATGATATCGAATTGCAACGCTTCCCCGGAGCTTCGTCTCCACCGTGCTTAACCTGTCTTGTCGTTGCCGCCAAAATCCCCAGTTGGTAGGGTTGCATTGCAGGTCGCCGAGATTGCCTCAAACGACAAGCTGCGAACATCATGATGTTAAGACTCTGTAATCCGGTCCGATCCACGTACGCCGGCGTAATCGTTTTCTCTTTCATCGCTCTCGTCAGCATCCTAATTCATTCATTTAGGCTAGATATTATCTGATCATATGCATGTGATAATTAAGAATCCGACAAGTTACAGGCTCACAAGTGGCAGTGATAAAAGACCTGCTAAGACATAGGACCAATCAGCATACAGCACTGTCGTTTACTAGATTATGCTTCTGTGCTTATATTCAAACCCTTGGGCATAACGTCTCATGACCTAAAAGCATCCCTTTCTAGCAATCTCACTTCATTTATGACTCTTTTGGAAACTCCATGGCCATCAACGGGGAACAAGGATTAGCCGGATTATTTTCAAAATACTCTACTTACTAGACGATATTCCGAACGGGTGTTAGTATAGAGGGGTAGCTGGGCGTGCTCACAGAATGCCGTATTCATAATATCACCCACATTATTTTTAAAAAGCACATAATGTGTCAGAAAGAAGAAAATAAAAAGATCAATTTAAAAGCCTCCGGGGGCTAGGTAGGTACAAGAACTGAAAAGTAGCTTCGCTCTGCTAGGTAATCATCATCAGACCCCAAACGCCACAAACCGATGCGATCAATGCTTTTTCCACATAAGCCCGTCCCCTCTAGGTAGGTTTATTCCGTAAACCTCATCCCACAACCATCTAGGTTAACGCAACCCCCTCCGTTCAAATCTGCTGCACAAACTGGGGCCCCATGTACTCCGTCGCCGCCAGCGCCGGCGCAACGAGCGTCGAATACGGCATCGTCGCAACGGGCGTCGGGTCGAGCTTTCCGGAGTCGGGGTTCCTCTTGAACGCGGCGAGCCCAACATCGCCGCCCTGGTTCGCCACGAAAGCGAGGGTCTGCTGCTTGTCCGTGCTAAGGCTAAACATGCGCGGGCGCAGGCCGCCCGTGGAGATGGTCTCCTGCCAGTCGAGGCTGGTGCCGTTCTTGCTGAGGACGAAGTGCGCGATGCTGTCCGTCGCGTTGCCGCTGATCCGGTTCGACACGTAGACGTCGCGCTGGTTGGCCGCGACTTGCAGCTCGCCCGCGGCCGCGGAACTAGCGTTGGCCGGGGGCGCGCCGCCGTACGTGCTCTGCACCTGCAGCTGGTTGAAGACGATTGTGTCAGGAGTGTACTTCAGCTCGAAGAGGAAGAGCTTGTTCGACAGCTCACACGCTAGCGTGTAGTAGTGCTTATCGCCCTTCGTGATGAAACCGCCGTGGCGCGGACCTGTGCCGGTAGGGAGGGTGGCGTTACCCGTGAACTCGAACTTGTCGTCCTTGCTGTCGAGAACGAGAATGGTGTCTCCGCCCAAGTTGTTGATTACGAAGAAGCGACCTGTAGGGTCTAGTAGGGCCTGATGTGGATGGTGTGCTCCCTGTGCTGGATTGGGCACGCCGGGGATATCGAGGGTCTTCATAAGCTTGGGACTATGGTCGGCGGCAGAGACGTCCCAGACGTCTACCGTGCCGTTGCCGTAAGCAGCACCGACCATGCGCGTCTTGTTAGTGTTAAATTCCAGGAAGACAACCCCAGAAGAGCCATTGGCGCTAGCTACAAGGTCGAATTTATTCAAGCCTCCGTCAAGAGTGAAAAGGCTGAGATCATTGGCGTTCTCGTTCACGGCGTAGAAGGTATTCGGATTTCTGTTGCGAATCCAACTAGGCGCGGTTCCAACCTCGGTGTGGTTGCCGGTTATGGAGAATTGTTTACCATCAAAATTGGCAGTTAAGATCTGGTAAGGAGCGCCGATGATGAGCTTGGTCGTCGAGGGAGCTTGGCAACTCCGCTTGGTTGGCGTTGCGGAGGCCATGGTGAGAGTGAGGAATGTTGCGATAAGTTTATTCATTTTCGGAATTTCGCGAGAAAGTTGACTAAATATTCCGTGTTTGTCTAGGTCGTGCTTGCACGATTGTTGAAGTTGATTGGTAGGGAAAGTGCCCAGGTAGGCGTTGGGCAACTACCTTAAATACAAACGGAAGGTTATAAATGTCAATTGCAGTTGCCCTCAAGGACAAGATGGCCCCTTATTGAAAGACAATGTGAATGGAAAACAACAAGAAAACAACAAAGAGACTTGGTGATAATTCTCCCAAGTGTGGCTCTTAATGACAATTGTGACTAAGATATTGTTTCCAAAATGACCTAGTTTCTTTGGTAAGAAACAAAAGATCGAAAATGGCAATGAACGTGTCTATCTCATGGTATTTTTATTAGAATATTGGATATTGATCATGCATGACTCGCCGGGGGCACAATTCTCACTCACCTTAAGAGTGTTCACTTGCAGAGGTATGCAGCATTGAACTGTTTAGACGTCATGAGAGGGGAATCTGAAGAAACAAGATCGGACGAGGCGAATATTATAATGTTTTCGGAGCCGGATAGATATGATAGATCCGATAGATATAGAACGAAGGAAGACAATCGGTCTAATTTGCACTTATTCCCATACAAGTAACCAGCCTACATGAGAAGGCAGTTTACGTTCCATTCCTTGTTTATGTACCTACCTAATTCGAGTGTAACGTCAGGCAGGGGCAAAAGGGACCGAGAAAATCCTAGGATTAAGTCGTATAAGTGCCCTTTTGTGCCCTTCTGTGCGGGGAGGCTGGACGCTGGCAACTACTCTCGGGATCTCTCCGACTTCCTGGGCGGACTCGGTTCGCTCTGGTCGACTGGTCGTAGCTTGTAGGCTGCCAAAATAGCTCCCTTTCCCCTGCAGTAGTCCCCGTAGCACTGATAGCGAAGGCTAGGATCGCCAAGTAGGCGCAGATTAGGCCGGTTTGCTATTGATAGGCCGTGTTTCAATCCTACCGCTGACCTGGCTGACTTAGCGCTCCATAACTCCCTTGGCTTCCCGGATTTGGCGTCTCATGGCGATTCTGGCATCCAATCGTCCAAAAAACGCCGCCAACTCCTCAGAAAGATGAAAGTAAGGAGCAGAAGGATTCGGCACATAAACAGCTAATAAGACTTGAAACATTTCATCTATACGATTAGAGGCGAGGCTAGATAATATCTATGTAAAAAGAAATAATCGTTCTTCGTGAACAAATGGAAACAAGCGCTGAATGGCGCCAGCAAAATAAGAAAAACCTCGGGGCCGGTTCAGTAACAGCCATTCATTCCAAGATCATCCAAACACAACACCGCCCCCTAAGTTCCCAAGCCCAAGGTCCAGCCCAACTCCTTACTTCTATCACCACACCTCAGCCTCATCAGCCTCGCAAATGACAAACCACAAACCGCAAACCACAAAAACCCAAACTACCAAGTAATTGTCACAACCCTGTTCTGGTAATACCCTTCCCGGCCCTTCTCCACATTCAACAAATTCTCAAAAATCCACCTCCCCGTGTCATCCCTCGAGATGCCGTAGCCAACAGGCGGTTTATCATCAACACCAACACGAACCTTACGCTCCGGCTGCGCGGCGTCCGTCAGCAGGCTCGGGCGCACGATCGAGTACGTGTACGCCTTCTCGGCCGCGTTGCCCGTGAGCAGGCTCTCCATCGCCAGCTTATCCTCGTGCGGCACCTTGAGCATGAACTTGTAGATCGGCAGCGTCGCGAGCGGGAAGTCCCTCCCGGTCTTCGAGATGCCGCACGTGCTCACCACTATGATGCGCGGCCTCCACTGCCCTTCTAAAGTGGCGCCGGCGTTGTCCCGGCGCACCTTCTCGATGGCCTCGAGCAGCGTCTTCATGCCGTTCTCGCACACGTGCGGGTCATCAATCGTCATCTTCGCGAACTGGAACACGCCGCCGATCGACGACATCACCACGTCCGCCGGCCTAGCGGTAGCGGCGGCGGGGTCGGCGTCGGCATTCGATGTTGAAGTAGAAGGGAACAGGCACCGGGCAACGGCGTCGACGTCGTGCGCGTTCCCCTGCACCACCTTCAGGTTCGGGTGCTGCGCCGCCGGGAACCGGTCCGTGAGCTTGCTCGGCGTGCGGCAGAGCGCGACGCACGTGTGCCCCGCGTCCATGGCCCGCGTCAGCGCCGCGAGACCGACGCCGCCGGAGGCGCCTAGGAAGGCGATGGTCTTCTTGGTGTTGGGGTTGCTTGACGAGGACATTGTGATGTTTATGTGAAAGTATCAGAGGTGGTGTGTATGGGTGTAAGTCCTGGATTGTCTGATATGTTCTATGCCTAGGTAGATAGTAGTAATAGGCTTGGATGTTTGATGATGATGGTAATGGATATTCTCCTTCCCATCTCGAGGGAAGTGGTCCCTTTTATCTCTATTCTACGGAGGCAACATCTTACAGGTAGGCAATCCCATTTCTTTACAAGTTACTTACTATTGGTAGGTAGATCCGCACGTTTCTCGCAGCTGAAATCGAGACGGACAGACTTCGATACACTGCAAATATAGCAAATGGGCCAAAACGAAGCACGAACCACGCGCAATATTCGGTCGCTAGGATTCATCAATCCACAAACGGCATCGTTGCGGTGGCTATGTCATAGAGGACGGGAGCTTAAGTCATCCCGCCTCGCAGTTAATCGCAGTTAAACTTCGGCCCTGTCTCCTGATTGGAGGCATTAGTTGAGCATTATTTCGTATCAGGCAGTCAGGCAGTCACTAGCCACTTCTTCCCCAGTGGCTTGACTGCGATCTTAATCGGGCGATTTGACCCCCATTGCAGCTTCAGCCTACCACAGTTCAAGCTCGGAGATCGAGAGCTGAAATTCGGTGCTGTGCCATAAGGATACGAAATTCACCCGACTCGCAAGATACCAGCGCGGGTTCCGAATAAACGGCCTCGAGATGCTTAGTACTATATGTATTCTATATTTGTATTCTATATATGTATTCTATATATGTATTCTACATATATATTCAGTCGTAATATCCATTATTATTATAAGGTAGCATGCTTCCCCTTTCGCCGGAGCCCTCACTGTCTTCGGGTCTCGGTAATTTATCGAAAGTTCCACAGCTCATGTCTCTCTCACATCATCAAAACCATATCTCGCGTTAGGAGTAGATGAAGATGACTAGCAGTTGGATATTGTTGCGTTGCTTATCGTCATATGCATGTTAGGCATGCTATGAGCTTGCTCTATCCTTAATGGTTATATCCACGAGGCAGTCAAACATATCAAACAAACATCACGGAATGGTTACATATCACTTCTCACGTAGCACTATCATTTAAAGTCAGGATCAAATGTCCGAATTCCTAGTTCCACCATCGCCTATATACAAAGCTGCTTTTGGTTCCCTTCAACCGTACGCAGACCATGACGCCTCGGTAGCCGACAGGCACTAAGATGGCGTCGGTATGCAAAGTCCATGTGCAATAAGGAGTGGACGGCATCGCGCCATTACCTCCTCAAATGATATAGTGTATGTAGCAAACACCGGCCTGAAACGGCATGTCATTAAACTCGAGTCGTCCGAAGGATCGTACAGATCCTCGCCCATTAGAATAGCCTCAGTAACACCCTTAATCTCATTATTGAATATGTTCACGAAAGAAACGTGTTATGTGCACTCTTGCTGTTGCTATGGCTTACGCCCATGTCATGGCGGCGACGGCGACCAGAGCCGCAAACGTACTCGCTCCGAGGACACGTTCTTGTCGGACTCCTTCGTTGGAACTGCCGCCGGTACCGCAGACTTGTTGAAAGCCATCCGTGCAGGACGCAGTGGGGGCAGTGCCAGCACTAGTAGCACCGTCCGAGTCACTAGTTCCTCCGGCAGCCTGACCGTTGGTGCCGGGCCCGCCACCGCTGAGACCGGGGATGACTTCCTGCCCGCTGCTCGACGCGGTCGACGCGCTCGGCAATTCCTTGTCCATATCTAAGCCGGTTCCCAATAGGGATTTCAGGACCGTGTTCGAGTCACCATCCACAACGGTGTCATTAGTCGCCTTCACGTTGTTATAGGTGTAGCTCTTGCCGGAGTTTGTACCAGGCGCCGTATCGGTCTTATAGCATTCGATAGAGACCTCGCCGACAGTCGCGTAGTAGTAGCCGTCCTTCTTGATATCGGCGCTGCTCCAGTCGATCGGACCACCAGCCCAGTCAATCGTACCTTGGCCATTCTTATCAGAACCACCGGGCCAGATTGAAAGCTGAACACGAGCAGGTGTCTGAGGGAAGTCCCATTGGTTGGCGGTGGCGTTCCACGTATCAGACTTCTTTTGCGTTCGGCCAACCTTGCCGTCTACCAGCCACTGGATCTGGTCTGGAGTCCATTGGATCTCGTACTCGTGGAAGTTATCGTTGGTGTCCGAGACGCCCGTGATGTTGGTGGAATGCGTGTCTGCAAATATGGTTAATAACGACAGTCCATGGTATGCGCTTGTATACGGGCAGCAATCTTACAGTCAGGAATGCCTTGGAAGTAGTAATTGGTCTGGGCAATATCCAGCTCGGTACCAACCCACTCGAAGTCAATCTCGTCCTTCACATCACTAAGGAGAATGAACGCTGTGACGACACCGGCATCCTTGCCGGTCTTGATCTTGGCCTTCACATTTCCGTACCACATGTAAACGGTTGAGGCGAGAACGGTTCCGACGGAGTTCGCCGGCATGGTCAGAAGGACATTGCCGTCGTGGGCAAGGGGTGTGCCTTGGGCTACCCAATCGGCTTTGCTAGCATCACCGAGATATTTTGAAACGTCAACGATACCGTCGGTGTTCTGCATCGACAGTGTTCGGTCCTGGCACACCGGCTCGGGAACACACGAGTCGAGAGAGAAGGACATGCGCGGATCACATCCACCTAAGCAGTACGCGCCAACACCACATTGGCCGTATTCTATGGTGATTACATATTAGATTATCTGTGCGAGAAAAAAAAATTCAGATGCGGAGATATATGACTTACGAGAGCAGCATGGGGTTTCCTTCGGGCATTTCTGGGTTAGCGAGCATGTGGCGGCGGTGTCGGCAAGGACCGTCGTTGACGCGCCCAGCAGGGCCAAGGCCACGGCTGGTATGGTTCGAAGCATCTTGCGATAATTACTGCTATTCCGAGCAGACACGGTTTGTGACTAAAATTAAGGTATTATATGTGGAATATGTCCTGTAGTTGAAAATAATTCGCGGGTCGAGTCGCGTGCGCGTGGGTATGAATATAGCACCCGATACTCGAAACGAGCAAAGCGAACGATGTCGAGAAACAATATGTGTGCGATTAGCTGTGGATATTTGATCGTCGACTCAGTCCACAACAACCGACACTTCCTTTCTACGGTTTGGCGAGGTGACCAAGTGCCAAGCCGAGGAAGGCGTATAAATGAAAATGGATCCCACAAAGGGGAAGAACAATAGAAGAATCAACGAGTCGGCCGACTTGTATTATGTATGTACAAGCAAGGCCAAACTGTGACTCCCCTTTTGCATGGACCACTTTCAGCTATTCCAGCTATTTCAGCTATTTCACGCAGCTAAGTTAGCCGTGCTGGATTCGGGTGTTTCAAGCGAGAGTAATCGGGAGCGATCGAGGCGAACCCTCTTTTAGGAGGCTCAAAAATAACGACTGAAATTAGGACTTGACTATCTACTAATTAGGTAGATAATAAGACAAAGGCAAGGGAAGCTGGAAACAATGACTAAACGTAAATTAGAACGTCAAAGGAGTCTTCACAGCTAACCACCCGCTAGAAATGCATAAAACAGAAAAGCGAGAGAAATTCCCAAAAATTGGGTAGAGTGTGGGTTTATGGGTTTTACAGGTTGAGGATAGGAAGGAGAGGAAAAAGGGAGGAGAAAGAAAGAAAGAAAGAGAAGATCCATCAGACCAAACTGGGAATACGAACGAATGGATGGTGGTTCGAGAGCCCAATTCTGAGCCGACATGAGCCAGGCTTGGTACCAGACTTGGTACAGACTACCAGACACCAGACACCAGACACCAGACTTGGACATCGGATAAGGAGAAAGGGTTACATGGGACAGATGGGATTTACATGGGATTGCACTGTGGATTCTGTAAGTAAGGAAGTAAGTTGCTCGCTTAGGAATAGCACAAAAAACGAAGTGGGTCGATGCTGGTCGATGCTAGTCAATGCGAGTTAAACTTCCGTCCCGTTCTTACCGTTTGTGCCACTAACCTGCCAGAAAAAGCTCCAGATTGACAGGCGCAACTGCGGGCGTCAGAGATGTGGAGTAACCACGGGCAAGCATGGGATCCAATAGACCTCGTGTCATTGGTTCGTTTATGTCGTACAGTGCTTACTATAGCTTATAACCCAACCAACACTGTCCCATTTCGCTATTTCTTTCAAGGTGCAGAATCTCGTATTTTTTCTTGAATGACCACCAACTAGAAGAGTTCGAGATAAACTAACCAGAGAATACCCGAGGCTATGAAATCTGTTATATTTAGCACATCTACGTATTATACTACTACGTAGTTACTTTCAAAGAAGCTTCGAGATCAAATATCACCATATAACGCGACAGTTCACCTGCGTATGCTGTCACAGCGTTCGGGACCCTTTAAATGAGTCTACCCGAGTATAAAACGCCAAGTTATCGATGTCTAAGCTAAACAAAGCAATTGTCAATCTACTCGACTTGCTGCGTGCTAATCGGTACGCGATGTCTAAGAATGGTTTATTTATAATTCAATTTTGTAAGAGGCGCGTCGCCAACTACATCCCTCAATCTTGCAGTCAGCAGAATCTGCAATAAATGCTGTCAGCGAAGCGGCAGGCTCTGACTGCCTAGGTACATAAAATATCACCTATAAGCTGGGACCCCAATGCCGAACCAAACGGAAAACACGGCAACGTGAGAGGATGAAGTAAGACGAACAAAAAGCCAATCGTATCAATATATGTCGTGTCACAGCATGATTCCTTTAAAGATTGCTTAGTACAGACTGAGCCAAAGTATCGATCTACAGCCGATCGAGACACACCAAAATTGGTGTAGTGCGGCAAGATCATTTCGCTCTACCCCTATTTCTCCGTGAACCCGTCACCTTGGAACGCCACGATATGGCTAGTGTAAGAACGGAGTGAAGAAGCCCGACTAGGTATGTAACATCTGAAGTGACGTTGACAATTGCCGTAGGTGTACTTCATACGTAGTGGCACCGTCTTTCATGCACCCCAGACTCTCCACGGGATGATCCGATCTGGCTGCTGTCGTCAGTTAAGGTTAATAAATGGATTCATTCAGAGTCTTCCAATGGGATGGAATAGAACTTCACAATATCATCCGCTAAAGGAGCAGATTACGCGTCAAGCACCGGTGAGATCTAGTGTAGTGTTGAACGATACAGACGGTTTCACACTAAACGCGCCAGTGACGTCTTTTCAGCCCTATACTTCAAGATGCTGAGCAACGTTGTACATATCTAATGGTGTGCATCCACTAATCAATATTCTCGAGGGGGCTACTTAGAGATGGATACAACTTAGACCATTTCTCTTGCTATTCTCTACAAGATATAGACAAGCCACCCCTATCACTATTTGCCGATATCACCAACGCCACATGAAAATATATCGCAGACCTGCCGTGATATAGGAAATCATTATCAATCTTCACCCTACATAGACATCTCAACAATACACATTCAACCCACAAACACCCCCCTTTCCTCCTTTCTTCCTTTCCCCCTATCCCCCTATCCACCATCAAAACAAATACTCCCCCGCAAACGCCAACCCCTGGTGCACAACCGTCCTGAGCTCCTCGTGCATAGGCAGCGCCTCCGCGCGGCTAAAGCTCGCCCAGACCATCTCGTCGTGGTCCCTGGACCTGATGCTCAAGTCCTCGTGGCTCTGCACCAGCACCGCGTAGTTCAGCTGCAGACACTCCCGACGCAGTACCAGCTGCGGGTTATGCACGGGCTCGCGCCTCGAGGCGCTGCGGTGTATATTCATATTCCTGCCCCTCATACTGCCGTAACCACCACTACCACTACCGCTACCGCTACCGCTACCGCTCCCGCCGGGGGAATCTGCGCCCGTGCCCGAGGTCAGCGTCGCGCCGTCGAGTATCGACACGGAAAGGTCGGTGCTGCTATCGCTGCTCCCGACGCTGACGCCGCTCCCGCGGCGCCGGTCCCCGGTGAAGATGCCGACCCCGTCGTCGTCCCAGTCCAGGATCCGCACCTCGCTGACGTGCCGGACGTCCTGCAGCGCGCCGAGCACGCGCACCACGCGCAGACCCGTCTGCTCCGCCACGCGCCGCGCCACCGCCGCCGAGATGCAGAAGTCGGTGTCTCGTACCTTGCCGCCGGGCAGTTCCCACACGCCACCTCCACCTCCACTTCCATATCCATCTCCATCTCCATTCCCATTCCCATTCGCACCTCCACCCCCACCCCTTAACACCCGTTCTCCCTCCCCACGTCCGCGAAACTGCTGCCGCCCATTCCTGCGGCTCTCGCGCCTCAGCACCGGCGACGCCGCGGCACTGGTAACGGTGGTAGCCGAATTCGCGGCAGAAGTAGTAGAAGAAGAGGCCTCGGACGAGGAAGCGGAGGCGGCGCGCGAGCGGCGGAGCAGCAGGACCGAGGGCCGGGAGCTGTGCGCGTCCATGCGGAAGATGCAGACGCCCACGTAAAGCTTGTCGGCGGGCCGCGAGGCACGGATGGCGTCGAGGAACTGCGCGCGCGACATCGCTAGGACCGTCTTCTGCGCGTGCGAGAGCGTCGTCCGGCGGAATGACGTCGCCGTCGTCGCCATATCTGTCTCCCCTTTTCTCCCTTCTCTTTCTCTCTCACACACTCTCACACAGTTTCACTTTTTCCTATTCCTTTTGCTTTGGCCTTGCACTAGGTAAGATCTGTAGGCACTAATATTTAGGTACTTATTGCTGTTTCTACCGCCGACCCTATCGTATCACGCCGAGAGAAATTGGGCCTTTGGCTAGAGATATTAGATATCTATCTAAGAATTAGTTTGTTGCGGACTCTGTTCCCCCACTCTAGTCTCGTCGGGAGCGCGCATGCAGATATAGAATACTGACGGCGGGGAGCTTGGGGGTCAAGGAGAGGAAAACCAAACCATATTTGCATGTATCCGTCCGTCTGCTGGCACGTGTCTCTCTTTCGTCCTGCAATACACGGCTAGCTACGTGATGCTACTATAATGTTCCCCTATTCAGCTCTAGCCGGATTACAGATAGGCAGGGGAGACAGGAAAACGAAATAGATACTACTCCCATCACCTCCTTCCTATATCCTCGCAATAATATCCTTTTACTTATACGCTTACCAGTCTCTTTTACCTTGTCAGCCACACCAGACAAGAGCACACGATCTTATATGGCCAACGCGAAACACAGACTCCGAGCTACTTTCAACACTATCTTCGTCCATGTTTCTGATGGACTACGCAAGGTTAGGTTCTCCAACGGCGGCAACGCTGTCATCGCCCGTTGTCATCGCCCGTGCACACTCCGTAGAGTTTCCTTGACACTGTCAACGAAACTGCTTAAAAAGTATAAGTTCCTCGAACCCACCAAGTTTATAGGTACCTAAGTTAGGGGACATCTACCGTTATATGTGAAAAACTGCGTCAAAGCGTTCCAGTATCAGTCAGCAACAGCAACCTTCATGCTGTGTCACCTCGCATATCCATCCCCTCTTAGTCTCTTTTCCTTCTGGTCTATATATTTCGATTAACGTGGCGGATGATCTTTTGATTTAAGCCCCTGTGTCGCCAGAAGAGATATTTAGAAATAGAAGAAAGGCTGAATCAATACAAGTATTCTCATAAGAGACGAAAAGAAACTACCTCAAGTCAAGTGTGGCACAAATAAAACTACCAAGCTGGGAGACGAAACGCAGTGAGACTATGTTTACAAATTCGAGAGCTAAGAGCAAATACTATGCTTACACTATTCAATCAGCTTCCATTAGGATAACCACCAAGATACGCATACGTCTTATTAGGGATCTACTGTGCTGATATTTTTACAAGCTAGCTACGCTAGCAATCTAGAAATCGTGCATGACTACTAAGCTGGTTTTACCGTCCGGCAATTCTGCATTACGGACCACCTAGAAGAGCGCCTGACTGATCTTTCATCATACATTAAAGCCGGATTTTTATGAGTTTTCTTCGAAAAAAGCATCTCGAGACCTGGAAACCTGCTTGCCACGACCCACTCAATGAAATATCCCCCTTCGAAGCACAGAAAGACAGTACTCTTTGCCCTCCCGAATAACCTAATCTGACAACCCTACCATTCTCCCGTGGGGGAATCGTGCTTTGAATAAGAAAAACCCGTTCCTTGCCGTCTCAATATACCGAAACAAAAGTAAATATGGAAAGAGAGATGGGTGGGATACGACCGTACGTCGGATATTCCATCCCATCCCACGTCGTTGACGGAATCGGGGGGTTACGAAGTTGGGCATGAGATGCCTTCCCCGACAAGTGGGATCGCCTTGACGCAACATCATAGAGCCTGTTCTCTTACAATACCTGATAAGAATGAGCAGATCGAAGCATAAGAGGGTGGTACCAATGCCAGAGATAGGTAGGACACTCAGAACGGAAATTGAACACCGTGCACCTGGTGCTTTTCTAACGTGCCTTTTGCGTAGAGAACAATTCTGGGAAATGCTCTTTAGCGTATTGTTCGCAGGCCTGTTGTCGATATTCGTTAGCAACATAGTATTGTATATACAGGTTTGATAAGGGGCAAAAACTAACCTTTGCTGGCTTGCCGACTTTCTGTCCAATGGTCTTCCACTTGTTGTTCTCGTAGTCCTTGATGGCGTTGAGCAGTGCCTGACTCTCATCTTCGGCGAATTCGGCGTAGTGCATATCCTAAATGGTCATTGGCAACAGAGAACAAGACATGGTAGAAAAGGGGGATAGATTGTAGAATATCGTACCTTGTACCAATGCTTCTTTACACTGCCTTCGGTTCGGGTTGGGAAGGTCTATCATTACTCAAGTTAGTGGGGATTCTAAACAGTTAAGCGCAAGAGTGACTGACCTTGGCTATCTCAGCCCAGCTATTACCGTTATCCCTCATCTGTTTGAGTCGAAGCTCCTCGGCGGGGGTCCAGGGTGTGTTAGTTCGGCTCTTCTTAGCAGGGGGAGGGACTGAAGGAGTGCTGTTTTCCTCCTTAGTCGGAACAGCGGGTGGAGCCACGGGAGTGACCTGCATCGGGGGCGGCGCCGAGACTGGAACAGGAGCCGGCGCAGGCGCGGGAGTGTTTGCGGTAGGAGCTGCGACAGTGGTGGCAGCCGGAACGGGCGTGGCCGGGTTTGCGGTGGGCGCATGCGGCTGCTGGTGGGCTTGTCCGTGAGCCTGCTGGTGTGGAGGCGCGGGGCGCTTACGACCGCGGGGTGCAGGTGCCGGAGCCGGGGTAGGCGTCGACTGCTGGGAAGGTGCGACGGGTTGTTGCGGGATTGTCATCGGAGGCGGCACCGGAGTCGCATGGTGCTGTTGCGCCTGATGCGACGGCTGGTGCGGCTGGTGGTGCGGATGCTGAGAGTGGGGACCATGAGATTGCTGGTGCGGCTGATTTTGATGTTGTTGATGCTGAGGCAGCTGCTGGTGGTGCTGCTGACCGTGCGAGGGGTGAGGTTGAGCACCAGGGTTCGGAGGTTGTGGCGTATAACCTGCGAACTCATTCCTCCGTGACATCTCGTTTTGGTAGGGGTGGTTTGAGCTGTATCAGAGTGCAGTGTTAGCTTGCCTATAAGGCTTGGTGTTGCTGGAAGCGACGACAGCGGGATGCGATGTAATCATGGCTGCACAGCATTCGGTGTTCCAAATGTTCCAAATCAACAACGGTTGGTATGGCCAAGGCACGAAGTATCGTTCAACCAAGAGAGTGAGATGTGACAAGGATGGTAAAGCAGGCGAGCTGCAGGGTAGAGGATTTGGCAAGGCTTGTGCTTGTGCAGAGTAGGAGCCAGATGAAGCTATCACGAGGGGTCCCGCCACTCGCAGTGGAGCTTAGACAGATCGACCTGGCTAAATGTTTGCGGGACAGGTCCATAATTGAGACAGCAGGTATACATTTGGTACATATATGACCAGGTCTCCTATACTGCAAGACCCATGGTATATGTGTACGAGCCATCTGGGGAAGACGGGGGGAGGGCAGAAAAGGGGGGTAAGGGGGGGCGGAGAGGAAATGGGGGAGAGATGAATGTACTCGGGAAACGAATTGGTTAGGTACAGTACATAGGAGGGGGGGGGGGAGGGAGGGGACATGAATAGTAACATGGGGAACATAGGAACATGAGATGTAGAGAAGGTCAAAAAAAGAGAATAGGGGATGGATGGATGTACTTACTGCATAGGATCATTCGGATGCTGAGTGGAGTTCGGTGCGTAGAGGTAGTCCCCCGGCACAGGGCCGACCTGCCATTGCTGCATGATCTGGAAAAGGGCAAACTAGCGTCAGCTACAATAATACCAAAGTCTCTTGTTCCTGATACAACTGGAACTTTGAAAGTTCAAGTGCATGGACAAAACTAAACTTTGGAAAAGGGGGGGAAAGATAAATAAAATGGGACTGAGCAAAAAAGAAACGGAGGGACAAAAAGCGAAATAGACCGTATGTAAGGCAGAGGTACAGGACAGAAATTTTCGAGGATTAAGAATTTGCTCGGCGCAAGAACGCGCAGGAAACAGGGGAGGCGAAGTAAGGAGAGGAAGGAGTTTGGCGGGTGGCGGTAGAGGTGGGATAAGAAAAAATTATCACTGGCTTAGCAGAAAAGAGATTGGACAAATGGGAAGGCTGCGCGACAAAGAAGCGCAGTAATTTGACGATGGATGAGAGAGGATTATAGTGCGTAGTGGGTGGTGGTGGTAGTGATGACAATAATAGTCATGATGAAATGCAGGCGACAAGATATCATAGGATCGAAATCTCATGTATCTTTGGATGAAAGTGTTTGGGGCATTATTAGTCGGCAACGTGTACAGCGGGTGTACGATTGCTGATACAATTGCCAGTGCCGATACCGATGATTGTAAGGACGGGGTGATGGGTGATGGGTAATAGGTGATGGGTGATAGATGATGGATGATGCTGACAATGTAATTGTTTTTTTTTAGGCGATGGCCTTATCTCGTCTCATCTCATCTCGTCCAGCGACATGCCCAGCAACATCGTGAACAGTTTCGCTGGTGGGTTGCGATCAAGGCGATCAATTTGCGACGGGCCAAACTAGCCAAACGCGCATGTGTCGAATAGTCGCGCAAACCCAGTAACCCATTAAGCCATCCAACGATGCATGCGATGGATGGATTGAGAATAGAATATCCTTGAGCGAGTGGAGCAAGAGATCATGCTCGAAGGGTTAAAAAAAGGGTATACCGGAATACAATAACGATACACATGCAATAAAAAATAACAGGAAAAACGCGACAACGAGAAGTAGAGGGTACTCGTACTTACTGGAGCTGATGTATGCGGATGGTTCTTCAAGTGGTGCATAAATTTAATCGTAACGTTCGAACTTTGTTTATTTTTACTCCTGCTGCGAAACGACGCGATAGGAGCAATCAAAAACTAGAGGTTTCTGCTCGGTCGCGTACAGTTAGTTTGTGTTCTTCGTAACCTTGAAGCCGGAATTGATTCGAGTTGGAAGAAAGATACGTTGAGTACGTTGAGTACGAGGGATACAAGAGACGCGTCTTCCCACTCGGTACTGCGCAAGTAGCCAGGTAACCCAGTCCACCCGACCAAGTACGTATACCAGGTATACCAGGTATACTACTTATGCCGCTAGCCGTAGTCGGGGGTTGCTGGGATAAGAGGATCAATTGTTTAGATAGCCTTTCTCTGTTTCCCGCGATTCTTCTTTCGACAGAGAAGCGAGAAATAAGACCGACTAGGTTAGGAAAGTTTAGGTAGTGTTTAGTCAACCTACCAACTCGGTAGACCTTGCAGACCTTGATAGGCGAGGAATGTTTGGTGTTTGGGTGTGCGTATGTATGGTGCTATGTGTATTATGTGTGTTATGCGCGTATATTTGCGCGGCGCGCGCCCAGGTTCGGGTCACCGACAATGCCGTTGAGCGACAACTTTCAATGACGGCGCCTTGGGATGCAATTCAATCAAGGTGAGATTCAAGGTTGGGGTTTAGATGCTTCTCATGTTATTGTAACATACCGACAGGGGAACTTGACTGAACCTATCGAAATGTATCTTGCCAGCGCGCTTCGACGGATACCAAAGTACGGAGTACCTTGAAGCGAGAAAGAGAGAAGTAGAGGGAACAAACTGTGTGGATGACGGGATGGGGGATGGGGGGAGGGGGGTGCAGATTTGATTGAACCGTGGAAAAAGGGAAAAATATGGCGGGAAAGTAGAGAGAACGCCGCCCGAGGTAGTACCTGCAAAACTTTTGCAGCTGACCCAGTTCTTTTTTCCTTTGCTCTCGCCCGCACAGACGCGGGCACAGACCCCCTCTTGGTTCGTGCAACGCTAGGAGGTAGCCCGGAGGTATTAAGAATGTTTCCAGCCTGGCTGGACTAGGCAAGTTCAAACGTTTATGGGTGTTCTCTCGCGCTTGCGGTACAGCTTTGGAACATGAGGTATGCTTCGACCTACCTAGGTAGGCAGGGTTAGGCTACATAAGGTCCATAAACTCAACTTTTTAGCGGGGAATTGAGAAAGGAATTGGGAAGAATTGGTGGAGATTAGAAAATCAATTTGGTGCCTCGCATACACGCGGCAATATAGGTAATAATTGTATACCGTATTCCCTAAAACAGAAAAACAGAATGTGAGGGTATTTAGATAGATTTGCAAATGGTGTTTGCAAAATTGACCAGAATGGCCCGATCAACAGCGCCTAACCCGTGACCAGGTTGCTTGACTGGTATGAAAGTTGTTTGTGTGGCGTATTGTCTGCCACCCGGATGAAATTGATGTAAGAGATGAAAAAAGTGAAGGTCACGATACCTTTCAATAAAAAATCCTTTCCCACTTCGGATGCGATTGAAGATGGCAGCGGTAGCCTTTCGGCCCTCCTGCAAAATCGTGATGTCAACTTGTAATTCTACAATTGACGCTTCTGATACAGGGATCTCAACAAGTAGCGCGACAACGAGCAGTGTATGTATTGTACATCTTCAATTGAAACAAAATAGAATAAAAAGTGACTTTGAGGAAATCGGATCCTGTATACCTCAACAATGCAGGAAACCTAGACTTAACCAGGACTCGAGGGGTAGGTACTGTCGACAATTGCTGCGAGTAGGTGTATGTACTTTCGATGAGTACTTTTGACAAAAGTATCTTGGGCTTAGGCTGGTCGATGTTTAGGATTGGTGTCTATTCTTTTTTTTATTTTCGTGCACAACCTGGTAGTTCGACCTGGGGGTGTGGGTTCGACGACTGGCACCTTAGAAAAAAAGGGTGGAAAAAGGTAAAGATTCAGAGGTACGCAATTGTGGTCGGTAAAAAGTACCTTTAATGTTCGAGCCAGCCTGGCCCTTGGAATAGGTAGATTTATGATTTCTGATTTGTCGGATGCGGTCTCTTGCGGGTCTAAATCTCTTGGCAAACTCGTCCCGGTTTAACCCTTAACTCGGTTAATCGTGGGTCAATTTCTAAGCTAATGAGTGATTACCAAGAACTTGAAGTATATTTTCGCATACGTAGTAGATTCCGTATCTTCCCAGGCTTTGCCAGCTTACTCTGATATAGTCATGCACGTGATGATACGCTTACCCATTATTGCACTTTTTCGTTTTATATGTATGCTATGCCATACCTGCATATCATGTATGCACTTCGTATGCATAATACCTAGCTTATAGGAATTCCCTGTCTCCTTTCACCTACTAATTACCTAGTAAACGCAGCTTAAGACTTTTCCTCTGGAAAGCTAATACATATATTACACAGTCTGTGGGGTTTTCAGTTGATTCCTTGCTACCTGCAGGTATCCGGGGCTATTTCAGATCATATAGAAGTTAGTGGTAAAGAATAAAACCTGCACATTACACGTTCCATTTACATCATACATAAGTATAGATTAAGATAAACTACATACGTATTTGTGTACATGTAATGGGGTAACAGTTTACCCCTCGTAAGTGACTACATGGATCAAGTGAAGTCGAGAGTTGACATGTAGCTATCCGCATCCAATGTCTGACAATACATGGAAGTGTTAAACACAAATAAATACAACGGCATTATACAACGTTCAAGGTTATACTTTGGGCTAGACGCGAGTTACGTCGAAGCAGATACTTAGTACATGAGGCTCAGAGGTAAAAGTACCTATGAACCTTTATCGCAGATAATTCATGTATAACTCAATGTACATAACTGCGTCAGTCGCCTATACATCATCAATAGTCAATTACTAAATGCCAAACACTTCTAATACCCAGTAGCATCTTTAGAACAAACCTATCTACCTCTACCTACGTTCATAAGAGGTCCAACGTTCGAGACCCAAGAATGAAGCATCTCAGGATGAACTACTATCTAATCGGAAGAGAACCTTGGATGGTTTCTTTATGTCACGATGCCAAGAACTCGCAACGCAAGGTAGCACTCTAGCCCTCTAGCCAAGTATTGCTACTTCTCCCCGCAGTACGGGGTACACGCATCCTCACGATACTTCAACTCACAGTCCCGCAAGTACCTATATGATCTAGGTACGAAGCACATATGCAATGCAGCCTCGCGGCCACTTTAAGATAATGCGTCTGCTAATGCTTGCCCATTTGGGCATTGGTCCTACTATTTCTCGAACCCATTCCCGCCCCTTTAGGTTCGCATTCAAAGGAGACTCGGTAAGATGCATCATCCTCAACTTCTCTCATATAGGGGGCATAATCCTAACTACCTAGTGAGGATCACGAAACTAGTAAAACGATAATTCGTCAACGTCGATTCTTCAAAGCTACCTTCTGGGTAGAGTAGGTATGAAACTATGTCATGCCCATATATATATTCGCCCTCGTAACGTTCTGCCATCTCAAGTCGTCTCAAGTGTTACATATAAGAATTTCTTAGGTATCCATTCTCGTCCTGGCTTCTCACGAGGGTGCGCTCTGTTTGGTATGGTTTTTCATGAAACAGTGGCACAAATGTAGTCATACCATCGCTCACATTCTTAGAAGCACAGCATTCGCCTTTCAGTAAATTACAGGCGTATCACATCTGGTGGTAAGCGCACGAGACGATGCCTTCCAACATACAAGAGAAGTATATCATGATTTCGAACGGCTATATACATAGTCCACAAAATGAAGGCACATCGCTTATATTATCAGCTTGGCGAAGTTTATTATCGTCTTAGTCGTTCATTGCTGAAGGAATCCATTGGCTGTTGGATCGGAGGGTGAGTATGGCCATGTAGCTAATCGATATAAGATAATAGCATTATTGGTTACACTACCAATGAACTCTTTCATAGGTAGCTATAATGGCAAGACAGGTCGCGAATGACGGAGATGACAGAGCACGATGTAGTATTCAACATTTAAGAAGGCCAAGTATATATAATAGATTTGGCACTGAACACCTTTAACTCCATATACAAGCACCGTAGTGATTGAGAATTAAGTTCGCACAAGTTGGATAAATTTGCGAATATAGTATCCTCGGCACCAAGACGACCAAGGCCACCTTAAGCCAGACCTGCCCAGATATATTCATCTACTTCCGGCTTGGATCGAGTAAAGCAACTGCATACACGACATATTAGTTTAGATAATTCGGGCCATATCGATAGGTTCTGACGGAAGCTAAGCAGGTATCTATCACCGTTGACTTAGAGACTCAGATTGCTAATTCCCCGTTGGTCTAGAGTTTCATTGGCTATCTCCATTTGCTGGTAAGGTTAGATGACACTCGACCGTCAAGTTTTGCCAAGCTTCTAGCTCTCTATTGGGTGTAATATATCACACCGAGAGAGAGTGGTGGTAACTCAAGATATCAAGTACCATTGCGGCTCTGCGACCAGCAGATACGACATTCGTGCCCCTTGCATACTCGAGGATGCGCCGAAGAGGCGTAGGTGCAATCGGATCTGTTTTCGTTGGTTCGGAGTGCCCGAATGCGTGTTAAAGAAACGGGCCTCCTCGGAAGAAGGGTCGAATATTAGCTAACCTGGCTACGCAACTATCATGCTATAGTAATGAATTAAGACACCTCCAGTATTCGTATGTAGTCTCCTGAAATCGAGGGTGTAGATATACAAGATAGTGTAAACTGAAACGCTGCAAGACTAGGAGTTCATGAAGAAAAACGACTACGTATACAAAATCAAAGAGTATTTACCGGGCCGTAGATCCGAGATCTACGTAAACTAAGTAGAAAATGACGTTTATCGAGTCGTCGTAGGTCGATCATTGGTCTCGCCATTCATCCCATCATTATGAGCCTGGTTGTCAAGCTTCCATAGGCCGCCTTCAACGTAGTATATGTCATCTGGTCTCCTTTGATGCTTGATCGGCGGCCTGGCCATGCCGCAATGGTCCACTTCTAACACGACGCTTTCAGGTGTTTTCAAAAGACCAAAGTGATTGAAACTAAGGAGGTAACAGGGTGTCAGAACACCGTTTGAGAATTGCGACTCTGGCCACGAGTACCGCCAACAGTCCACATACGTATGCGTACATGACAATATAGAATGATGTGGGAGCAGGGATCGTGTAAGCAATGCGGCCAGTCATGGTTCCATGGGTAAGGGGATTGATATTTAGCTACTCGAAGGCAACATTCGCGCAGGTGTCGTGCATGTATGTACCCGAAAACAACCTTACCTACAAACTGCTACCTATCGCCGTATTTCCAGAACATGAACACATATCCTCCACGAGACAGGATGATGATGTAGAAATGTCTAGTGTATCAATATTAATGTTGACCAAAGATATAGAAATGGACTTAGTGGAATCGACGATCTTCGCGAAATATGTGATCTTTGTCGGTTATCTCATAGCTAGTTGAAGTTCAATCAACATACCAGGGAAGTTGATCCTGTTGAAATAAACTTGTTTAACTGCACATATCTAACCTAGCCCAACAACGTTAGAGTGTTTGAGTCTCCAGATAGACCGGATATTCTCTTACAATATAACCTGGATCGCTTGAACCATAGCGGGTTTTGGTGCCTAGTAGAAAATTAGCTTGTGATTGTAGAACGGGTTTGAGATGATGAGCAATTCCAGGCATAATTTCAAGATCGACGCCCCATTCAAATGCTAACTTGTCTCTAGGTTAGTAATCTTTCGGAAGAGGAGACGTGGATTCGAACTACCCTGTGTTGATTACATGCTATGACGGCCGGTCATAGGAATTGAATAATAATCTCTAAAGAGGCGAGGTTGGTCAAGGGTTAAGGGGACCATACATATTGTAAAGCTACAAGTAACTTCCAGCTGAATGTCATGTAGGTAGGTATGCATCTCTAACCTTAGGTACCTGGGTAGGTATTTTTGGCAGACCGTTAATCAAGAACTGCCGGCAGCGGCTAAGACAGCCCTTAATTGTTTCTATAGATGCCAAAGATATGATATTAAGTTGAATAGCATCATCCTTTCTCGCGGAAAGCGACCTATTCCAGATATGTGTTGCAGGACGGTAGTTTCGCCTGCCGCCTACATCCTGGTAATTTAGGTGTTTGAGGCAATCCAGCCGTTCGTTCCTTTCTAGCGACCATCATGAAGTTTAACGAAATCCCCAGAGCGTTTGGGACATGGCTATTCCAACCAAATTTCGAAGCTACTAAAGTCGCAAGTCGACCTTTAAAAATTGCTCTAGCTCGGGACTGACGTAGCAAGCCGCTACGGCGGAATCCTTGATGAAGCTTATTTTTTTCTTATTTTTGCAAGTTGATGTTGCAGCGCTAGGTCTCGAGGTCCGTTCTTGAGGGGTTCTGTATGCGCCTTGTGCGCCCTCGGGTTTCGGGTGTGTTATCTAAGCGTGGGTTCGGCGTCCACGAGAACCCTGAAAGTCGAGAATTTGACGACGGATAAGTCTCTCGTAATTCAGTGAACGTTTTGCATCACTAAAACATCGAATGGGACGTGCTGGATTGGTGATATTCTCGAGCTGGCCAGGGCTGATACTAGATTCTTGGCATGTTTCGGAGGCGCTGAATTAGCGACAGGGATACGTTCCCGCTTTGTTTACCAAGCATTGAAGATCCGGCTCGTCGGGACACGATTCTTGTTCAAACTCATGGAAGATAGGATGTGGACGTATAATGAGATATTGATCGGGTATGTTACCTCTGTAGACTCTTTGGTTGCGTGACTATACACCTCTATATAAGTAGGAAGTAGCAAAAGACAGTATATCAGGAGTGATGTATAAACGATCAAGAAATAATAAGCATTGAGATCTTTACCCGAGTATCGTATACCTATCCGAATCAACCAATGGGCGGGTAGGTAAAGTACTACTAACGCTATTACGATTACGATACTGGTGTTTTATGCAGGCGAAACAAAACAACGCACCTGATCTGGCCTGAAGTGTTACCCGCATTGCCATCGCATCATAATTGTATATAGACAGAGATCTCCAAGCCTTGGCAGGTTGAATTCTCCGTCGCAAAGCTCAGAAAGTTTAGAAACGTATGAAGGGTATGAAGACCAAAGTAGGTCTGGACTGGCCTCAAGAAAGATGAAGAAAGAAACAACATGGAAGCACGGAACAGAACAAGGGAGATTATACGGGGTATGGATCATGTTGTAGTGCTTGAAGCCCTTGACTCGGCAAGTTCCAGCTATGTAGAAAGTACATAACGTGACATGGGGGAAAGACTCGAAGCTGAGTACGGCGACATGGGTCGAGTGAAGTACCTATACTTGGTGTAGCAGAGCCGCTGGAGGCTGAACGGAAAGGGGAAAAGAAGGGGGGTTTAAGGTTCCATGCTAGTCAGGGGGATAGAGATGCACTACGTCGTGGTGGGGTCGATTTGAGCTAGATAGAGATGGATAGAGCCAATGAGAACCCCTGTAATGTGAGTAAGCGCGCCTCTGTAACACGGTGAAGCAACGTCAATACAAAACCAACCAGATGTCAAACCGATTCTACGACACAGACCCTTCTTCTTCAAAACCACGAAACCTCGAAACCTCGAAACCGCCAAACCGCCAAACCACACAAGGCCACCAGAAAAACTCATTACTGCCACGATACTACCACGATACCTCCGCGCCTATGCGCATATGCGCCTACTTGCAGTGTACCTATCTAGCTTCGGTTTGAGTACTGATCGAGTCTACTGCGCCGACCTCCAGCAACTCAAGTGTAAGCGCTCCAGTGATGCTAGAGCCATACGCGCATCTTAACCCCGTAAAGTAAACGTCAACCCTATTTTTCTAAACGTGCTCTGTTACTTAATTCTCCGACGTCCACACAACGTTGAGGATATCTCGGCCAGCTACCCGAATATGTTTCTTTACTGCGGAACACGCTATCATAGTCCTAGTCAGTCAGAATAGTCAAGCTAGTCAAGATAGTCAAGCTAGTCAAGCTCTTCTGGGAATGGGGGCAGTCAAGTGAAAGATAGAGCCCCTCTTCTCTGTAACTTGAGAGCGAGTATACCGCTCTTTTCTATTCCGCCTTCGAAACGAACATGGGTATATGATGGAACCGAAGAAAGAAAACAAAAGTGCATGCCGTCTAGATCTGGATATCTTTATGTCTGTCAACTTTATACCGTAATAGCTCGCATGCTACATTCGGTACCAGCCCTGCAGCAACTGTGGTTCCTGAGAAGGCTGCAAGGTTTAAGACTTGATTCCTAGTTTTCTCGTTAAGGATGCTACGGAAGCTATCGCCTTTTCGAGTCGTTGCGCGATCTTGACCTTCGTGCCGCTGGTATGCTTGCGGATCGGCCTTCTACGGTCGACTTTACCGGCTTCGTCGGTCATCGTGATACCTAATATCGGGACACCAAGGCCGACTTTGTCCACTCTCTGTTCGTCGGCTGGGCCTGGCCGTTTTGGATCGATGCGAAGGGAAGTCAGCCAAGCACATCGAGCCAAGATTATGCTTCCGTTCTCGTCGCATATACCCCCATATTAAGCTCATGTTACAGGGCTATATTCGAAGAGGTGTATGCGAGGTGTGGTAGTTTCTACCCCCCCGGTAACCTCAACCCTAGCTCGTCCAGGGTTGTGTCGGCCGAGTATCATGATGCAGAAGATGCATTATCGTTATTATCCGCCTCTCGTCTCACTTATTCTTACTTCTCTTCTTCTGTTTTGTTCTTCCTTTACCACCGTATAGGTTCAACCACTGTATCACTGACAACGCTGTTGCGAGCCTCCTTTCTTTCCTTTCTTCGCAGCTAGCGACCACTTTCTTTCATTGTCCAACTGGCTTGGCTGCTTACACTCTTTTGAACAATTACTTTCGTCGTCAGTGTTATTTGGGCTGCTCTATTACTATCTATTCGATTCGTTTTCGGTTTCGGTTATCCGTCTAATCTCCAACCTGACAAGCAAGAGCTCGACAGACAGCCTCTTGGGGATAGCAATACGCTTAACATAGCCATATCGAAACGATCGACCACCCGATTTATTAACACGACAACTTTAAACAATTTCGATTCTTGAAGCAGCGCGGTCTGCCTATTTCAGATTACTTTTTGAAACTTCGATTCATCAAGATAGTGCCATCTTATTCTCACAACTTTATACCTTAAAAACGATACGACATGATGTCCCCGCCGATGCAACTGACGACGTCTTCCGGCGTTCCATTCACGCCCACGAGTGATGCTCTTGATCGTCACGAATACGGAATTACCAAAAATAGGAAACTTGCGGCCTCGACTGGTGGAGGAAGAGCTTGGAGCGAGGATGAGGTAAGCGAGAAGTCTAGCCTATGCTCGACTCCATACAAGGCGGAAAAGCATATGGGAGGCACAGTTCGAACCGTGTCGTAGAGGCTAATATGTGCAACTAAATAGGAGGTGTATCTGCTCCAAACTCGTCTCCAGAAGATGCCATATAAGCACATTGCGGCTCACTTGAAGAAGACTGAGCTAGCATGCCGTCTTCATTATCACCAGCTCAGCCACGGAAGCAATCGCCGTAAACGTACTACCTCTGTATCTTCGGGTTCCTCTACCGGGCACTCGCCGATATTGCCGGCTACCGTTCCGTCACCTATTCGAGAATCTTCCCCGCGCGACGACTCCCCGCCTATGAGTGCCGGTGCCCACGATGCTGATTCGCCGAATTATACGACCTCGGTGCAACTTCCTAGCATCATTACGGGCACTAATGTCTCGCCCCGACTCCCAGCTATCCTGCCTAAACCAGCATCGATTGCTCTCCCCAGCACTACTTCCGCAGGTTCATGTAACTATTCGATGTCTGTCTCAATCCCAGACACAACTCGATCGCTGGCACCGTCTCCTTTTCCCCAACCGTCGCCAATCGGACAGACGCCAATTCTTCGGCTAGATTGCTCCCTCCCGCCTCCTTCGGCTCACGTGGACATCCCTAGACTTCAATCCATCTATGCCGCACACCGTTCTACGTTCTGGGCTTCTATCGCGTCTGAGTATGGCTCAGGAATTAGTCCGATTGTCCTAGAACAGGCGTGGAAGGCGAGTGTTCTCGCAATGGGCGGACAAACTCCAATCACCCCTGTCACCAGTCCCAATGATCGCGAGAACTTGTACGAGAAGCAAGACAAGACCCGTATTAGTGCGATCCTTGGTATTGACGCTAACCCACGAAGTCCGAAGGAGAGGGAATTGGTTCGTCGATTAGAAGAGGAACGAAGCGTCGGCGTAACCGCCAATGCTTAGAGGAAAAACTCCAGCAGCCTTTTCGGACTTTAGACCCCAGCCGGGGTTTCCTGTTCTGACCAGTGCCTGGCATTTGGGTAGGGCATTATTCTCGGGTCAAGCTATGGCCGGTCCGAGCCATGTAGCGGCAATGCGCATATCATCTGTACCGCCCTCACATGTCTCTAGTTTCTCTTCTTCATCTCGGGTTCTTGAGCATTTACACATCAATTCTGTTTTCAAAAATGCGGTGGTCGTCCTTACGATCATGCTAAACGAACCATATCCCCACCATTTCTATCTTCAGTTTTCGGGGCACAAGGGCAGGATTGGGTTGGCCTGTATCCAGAGTATGTATTTTGACATGTTCTCGTGGATATGGTATCAAGGTTACTTTTCTTTTTGAACATGGAAGTTACCAACATAGCAGGCGGTACTCCAAGTACCTCATTTTCAATACTTTGGCTAGCGGGGAGGCTTTTTGATAGAATTAAGCGAGAGTGAACAGTGTAGAAGGCGGCATGAGGAAAAGGGGGTTTGATGTATGCAACGGCCGCTAGCTACGATCTTGGTAGACATGTACGTATGATGGGATGGATGTCTAACCTTTCTTTTCCTCTGTCTGCATGATTGACGAGCTCGCAACTACAATACCCCATGTTTCTGGGTGAGGAATTTTGTACATTATCTATTTTTATTTCTATTTTTTTCAGCTCGGAAGAGCAACATATCTCTCTGTTTGTTTTTCTTCTTCAAGGGGTCTAAATCACCGATGGGCTTTCATCTAAAGCAAATGGGAAGGAAATATCATCACTTTCCTTACGAGACCATTGTTACCTGGATCAAAAAGTGGCTTGGCTCGATTTTTTTTGGACATAGTCAATATCGGGTTAGATGTTGACGTGATATAAATCTCAACAATTATCTACCCATTCTTCTCTGCCTGTTTTATGAGACGGGATGTATATTTTTAAAATTTACCAGAATTTTATTTAATATTTTCTCTTTTTTGAATGCCATCCAGTGCTATGTAGGTTTGGTTTGATTGTGGCCGCTGTCAATCTTCGTACAAGCAATTTAGTAACGGTTTAAATTTAGCGTCTCCTCATCTAAAGCCCTCCCCAAACCTAGGTATCATCTCAAAGCGTCAATAGATAGAGTTATGGAGGGCACTCAAGAAGTGAAGGTCCCAATTGAAGCCATTCAAGTCGTAGATCCCGAGGTCATAGCCAGTTAGCACTCTTTCCCCTACTCCCCGTAGGATTCCTTATGCTAATGTCTGCGTGAATAATAGAACTTCCCCACGGGATTCGAGTCTTGACGATCGCCGCTCATGGCGCTAGTTTCTGGACTCGCACGGCTCGTCTCGATGTCGAGGAGGACGGGACGCGCAAGGCGTATTTCCTTAAGGTGATCTTACTTTTCTCCTTAGTCTTACTCGCGTTTTTCATAGATCCTCTTATCCGCGCGCGATGCATTGGCATTAACTAATTTTTATTTTACCTACCTATAGACCACGTACGGCGAGCTAGGCAGGGAAATGATGTCCAGCGAGTTCGCGTGCATGTCCAAGGTCCGCGGCGTCGCGCCGGACCTCGTGCCCGAACCGGTAGCATGGGGTTCGTACGTCGGGATACCGCACGTGCATTTCCTGGTGTGCGAGTTTCGGCCCATGACGGGCGAAGTCCCTGCCGCCGCCGATCTCGCCCGCAAGATCGCGGAGCTGCACCGCAAGAGCAGCGTCGGCGGCGCGGAAGCTAAGTTCGGGTCTGACGTGCCGACCTTCCACGGCAACGTGCGTGTCGAGCACGGCTGGTCCCATACCTGGGAGGAGTACTTCGCGAGGACAACGCGGGCTCTTTTCGAGCTTGAGTTGGAGACTCGGGTTAGTTGACGATTTATCCAGCATGGTCTCTTCGATTTTCGATGTTTCGGCTGGGACTAGATTTTCCTTACTTATTTGTTTCTAGGGAGATGATATAGATGTCGTATCGAACATGATACCTCTCTTCGAAAAGGTCATACCGCGGCTCCTCAGACCGTTGCAGACGGGCAATCACTCTATCCGGCCGTGTCTCATTCACGGAGATCTATGGCATGGTAACACGGGAAGCGATGCAGAGACCGGCCTTCCTATCATATTCGATGCTGCATCGTTTTACGCCCATAATGAGTGTAAGGTTCCTTTTTTAAGTCTTCCTAATATCGATGACCTAGCGAGCTGATAGAAGAGTAGATGAGCTCGGTGTCTGGCGACAGCCATGGAATAAGATTAATAAGGCCTACCGAGAGGAATACCATAAGCACTTTCCTAAGTCATGGCCCGAGGAAGACTTTGACGATCGGAATGCCTTGTATGCGATGTGAGTTTACTGCTTACTCTCCCTCAAACCTACAGCTTATAAGCGGTTATCACTCGAGAATAAGTTCTGATATCAGTGGCATGGCAGTCGAGTTAACCTCCTCGACTCCATACTATATAAGGACGACCCGAGCTATCGACAGATGTAAGCAGGCCTTACGATAATTCATTCGTAGCGTGCTAAGTTGCTATTTTAGGTTGATCTCGGGTATGCGCGATCTCGTCGATAAGTTTCCTGGTGGTTTCCAGGAATGGGAAGCGTCACAGGCTAGGAGTGACGACCAGTCGACGTAGTTGCATCGCATTTCCGCGACGTCTAATACAAGGTGCATACGGCGCGAATATGTGACCTTCCTCGACGAGACTCAAAGGACCCTTTGCCTGTTCAGGTTTGGAAGGTCATCTTCATTACGACAAGCTGACTTATATATTCGGCCTATGTATAGAGTTCACATCGTTCGATCACAGGCTTCATAACCGACATGTTCATCTAATTGGTGTCATTACTCGCCTGGTTACTCCAGAACCGATCGGTTCGTTTGCATGCAGAATAGACTCCACATTCCCCTCGTTCTTCGTCAGCTGAACTGTGTATCAGCCCCGACGCTCGGCTTGCGGAACGTTGATCTGATTTCGCCTAGGCGGGTTAGTGAATCTAGAGGGCGTTTGGTCTATGTTGTAATAGGCGTAGAAACGCCAGACTAGGACATCCGTTCGGTCATAACCAATCGTCTCTCATGCATTTAAAATTCCTTTTCCTTAGCCGAGCGAGACCCGCTCTGGATCCGGGGTTAATGCCCGTCTCCTCAAGTACATACACATCGTCGCTACGTTAAACCTCCGAGTATCGTGATCGCCATTCCTTTCGATTGGATCTCAACAAACGTCTTGTCCACTTGCTTTTACCTATTACCGGTACCCCGCAGTAGAATGCCTAGGTAATACGTAGGTATCTATATGAGAATTTCCTCGTAGCAAATTGTTCGCTGTATTTCTCTTTTTCCTAAACCTGTAGCTTAGGATAACAGTCCTTACTATAGTTAGACTTACGTAAACACGGGTTTGCAGGAAGTTCAACATGAGCGACGCTCCGGCCGCCAAGACGGGTCTGAGCCCATCTCTCCAGGACCCCAAGTCCGATCCGCAGTATATCCAATTCGAATGCCTTCCGCCAGGCGGTCCGCTAAATCGTTGGTCTCATACTATCACAAGGGAGCATGACTTCCCAGGTGCTCAGGTGTGTTCCGTAAGGGACTATGAAGTATGTGTTCTCATCTTCGAATAGGCTCAGTTGTATGGTGCCGGGGTCCCCGATGAGGAGATGATGAAGAATGCACCCCACGTTGGGATAGCCACTGTCTGGTGGGAAGGAAATGCTGTACGTATGCCGTCTGCCTGTCTAGCATGTTCAATCGAGATTATATTTCCAGCCTATATCCTCTTTAAAGCCGGAGGATTCTGCTCGAACAAGAACTATATCCTGTCTCGTCTCACATGTGATAACCGCTAACGCCTAATTTGTAGTGCAAGTAAGTGACACATGCGCCACATATCTATGATAACCAACTGCTCACGGCTTGTTGCCAATGCTAACGATTGTCGCTTATAGCACACATCGTGAGTGAGCATGTATAGCGTGTCACAACTCTCAAATTTAAGGGGGGCTAACTATGATTAGTCCTCGACTTCGGGAGGATTGTCAAGAGGTCATTAGAAAAGCAAAAGATGTTGGGATGGCAGTATAGTGCCGTGGGCGTATCAGATGCCATCACAATGGGAGGCGAAGGTTTGACCCGCAACCCACCTTGTCACCGATGATTGTGCCAAACGCTAACAACTTAGGCATGAGATACTCTCTCCAAACTCGCGATCTCATCGCTGATAGCATCGAGACCGTAACATGTGCGCAGCGCCACGACGCCAACATTTCGATTCCCGGTTGTGACAAGAATATGCCGGGCGTGGTAATGGCCGCAGCACGCCATAACCGACCTTTTATCATGATTGTAAGTCAATGATTATATGATCTATCCCGCACTCCTACGGGTAGCCTCAGCCTAGTAGCTTTGAAGACGATAGGCTCTTCAATTTAGATGCTCTTCATTGACTCGTTGAGAACATAGTATGGAGGATCGATCCGAAAGGGATATTCGAAGCTTTTAGAACGCGACATAAACGTGACCACCTGCTATGAAGCTGCAGGAGCTTTAACATATGGCCGGCTCGAAGCCAAGACGAACCCTGGCACCAATGGTCGAACTTCAATCGACGTGATGAAGGATATCGAACGACACGCTTGTCCCGGAGCTGGTGCGTGTGGCGGCATGTTTACAGCTAACACGATGGCAACGGCCATAGAAGCGATGGGGATGACTCTTCCTGGGTCATCGTCCTATCCTGCCGTATCCCCGGAAAAGGCCCGCGAGTGTGAGCGCGCGGCAGAAGTGATCAAAATAACCATGGAAAAGGACATTCGTCCCCGCGATCTCATAACAAGAGAATCATTTGAGAACGCACTGGTCGTCACTATGATTCTGGGCGGCTCAACTAACGGCGTGCTGCACTTCTTGGCTATGGCAAACACGGCTGAAGTACCGCTAACTCTGGAAGATATCGATAGAGTCAGCAACAAGACACCATTCTTAGCGGATTTGGCACCTAGTGGGAAGTATCTGATGGAGGATTTATATAAGATCGGCGGCACACCGTCGGTGCTGAAGATGCTCATAGCGGCCGGTCTGATCAACGGCAACATCCCGACGGTTACGGGCCGCACGCTTGCGGAAAATGTCGCTGACTGGCCTAGTCTGCCGCCTGATCAAAAGATCATCCGCCCCCTATCGGATCCTATCAAGGAAACGGGTCATCTTCGGATCTTACGTGGTAATCTCGCACCAGAAGGAGCCGTAGCTAAGATCACCGGCAAGGAAGGGCTGAGCTTCACGGGCAAGGCTCGTGTTTTTAATAAGGAACACGAGCTTGACGAAGCTTTATCGGAAGGCTTGATCCCGCGAGACGAGAACTTGGTGCTTATAGTTCGGTATGAAGGCCCTAAAGGAGGTCCAGGGATGCCGGAACAACTGAGGGCATCGGCGGCAATCATGGGAGCCGGGCTCAAGAACATCGCCTTGGTCACGGATGGTAGGTATAGCGGTGCTTCGCATGGCTTCATTGTCGGCCACGTTTGTCCAGAAGCGGCCATGGGTGGCCCTATTGCTCTGGTCAAAGAAGGAGACACGATCGTAATCGATGCTGTAAAGAATCGAATTGATATAACTAGCGTGAGTGACGGAGAGCTGGAGGAGAGGAGGAAGGTGTGGAAAGCTCCCCTGCCAACAGTAAGGAGAGGTGTCTTGGCTAAATATGCGAGACTAGTCGGAGATGCTAGCCACGGTGCAGTCACTGACCAATGGGATTTGGAATACTAGATGTTCTCGACCCTTGTAGACTTTAGGCAAGGGAAGATAGTTGTTCGTTTTGTTCGATATCATGTATGTTATATAGATATTTCAAAATATACACGAATATGCGTTCGGTGCTCGATGTACGCCGTGGGCTTTGTAACGAGTTTCTGTAGTTCAACGTATCCTAGATAGATCATATCCTTGCTATCGGGCGGAATTACTTAGTTGACTAAGATCAACGTATTTTCTTAGGTGGTTTGGCCGAAGGGAAACGGTCGCTGCTCATCAAATCAGGCTTGACATATGTTGCGAAGGTATGCCAGGACAGAGCGGGCAATAAGAAGAAAGCACTGAGCGAGAGCGAGGTCAGAGTGAAGCCGCTCTTTTCCGGCTGAGAGATATGCCGCAGTAAGATGGCTTCAATCAAGACTTCGCCCGAGATGAGAGTCTGGAAGATGAGTCGGCGCTTCTCAGTCACTGCGCTAGAATCCGGAATGCATAAAATGAGCGGAACTGTGAGCGAGAGAACGAGGACACCGTAGATCTGCCACAGCATGGCGGAACTTGGGGGTACAGCCGGGGCACCGGCAGTAGAACGATCAGCGACGGCGAATGACAGACACCATTCTGGATATAAAACAAATGGAACGGCCCCTACAATATTGAGAAAGGCCTCAATAGCCAGGCCGAACTGGAAAACGCGTGTCATGGTTGAATTGTCTGTGTAGTTGAAAGCTCAAGTTTGCCTATGAAGCCGTTGTCAACGAGGGAAGAGAAGGAAACAAAGTGGACAAGTCAATTAATTTATAGATTACCATCGTGTTACATGAAAACAGATATCGATGTTCTGTATGTCAGACGGAAATATGAAGCCGCAACATGCATAATCACATAGTCTATTAGTGAAGCTTTATTCCGGCATAAATATTTATTCCAAATAATATCTGTTGTATATATTTATGCAATTCCTTGAGGTTTTAGTACAGGTACAATCCAGTCGCGCTGAACAACCCCTGTCGCATGCGCAACAGCCACAGATCGCGGGGTAGAGGGGCACTGAAAAAAAATAATATTCTTTTTTTTTCCTTCTTGTGCCTCCAATTCTAATTGCGACAATTGACCAGATCCACGACTAATTATAATTTATATCGCCTATTTCACCCGCGCATAACGAATCGCGATCGATTAACGAGTTCGAAATCCTGTCACCATGTCCAAACGCTCGGCGGAAGCCGGTGATGGCATCGCTCCTCTTAAAGGGGGTGATCGTCCCGAACCGATGGATGTAGACGACGACAAGGAAATGGGCGATTTCGCAGACGAATTTGAGGATGAGTTTGAGAGCGAAGACGAGATATTTGAGGCAGGCGTAGATGGTAGACCTGATGCTGAACGCGAAGCAGAGGAACGAGCAGCTGGTGCCATGGATGTCGATAATGGAAATGGAACTTTTATTGTTGGCCGTAATAAGCTTGAGGCTGGTCAACATCTTGCTCCCGACACGGGAACTTATGAGATGCTCCACAGCCTTAGCACCCCTTGGCCTTGTCTATCTTTCGATATCATTCGCGACGGACTCGGAGATAAGCGAGAAAAGGTCTACCCGGCCACCATGTACACCGTCGCCGGCACCCAAGCCGAGAGCAAGCGCGAAAAGGAGAACCAGTTGATGATCATGAAGTTTAGCGGGTTGAGTCGCGTGCAAAAAGAAGATGATGATTCAGAGTCGGAGGATGACGACGACGAAGAAGAAGCCGAACCTATCCTCGAGTCCAAGTCCATCCCGCTAACCTCGACTACAAACCGAATCCGAAGTCACCAGATCCCCTCCCAAGACCCCTCCAAACCACCTACTACCCTCACCGCGACCATGACAGAGTCATCAAACATCTTCATACATGATGTTACTCCCCACCTAGCATCTTTCGACAACCCCGGAACACTCATTACACCACAGCAGAACAAACCACTCTCCACAATCCGAGCCCACAAATCCGAGGGTTACGCCCTTGATTGGTCGCCTCTAGTGCCAGGCGGCAAGCTCCTAACCGGTGACAACGATGGTTTGATACATATGACGACGCGATCAGACGGAGGTGGTTGGATTACAGATACGAGAGCATTCCAAGGTCATACCAGCAGCGTGGAGGAGATTCAATGGAGTCCGCAAGAAGCATCAGTGTTTGCTTCCGCATCTAGCGACGGCACAGTTCGTGTGTGGGACGTCCGAAGCAAGAGCCGAAAACCTGCCATTACGGTACAGGTTAGCTCCACCGACGTCAACGTCATGTCCTGGTCGAGGTTGACGACGCACCTACTCGCGACGGGTGCCGACGATGGAGTCTGGGGAGTATGGGATCTGCGACAATGGAAGGGAGGCGCGCAGAAACCCAGCCCGATCGCGAGTTTCAACTACCACAAGGAGCAGATTACCAGCATCGAGTGGCATCCTACCGACGATAGCATGGTGGCCGTTGCTGCGGGTGACCACAAGGTTACTCTATGGGATCTTTCTGTGGAATTAGACGACGAGGAAAGCAAAGATACCGCAGGAGTCAAGGACATGCCGCCTCAGTTACTCTTCGAACACATCTCCGAACACGCGAAGGAGGTGCACTGGCATCCTCAGATCCCCGGCACGCTGGTCGCCACCGGCCAGGAGTTTAGCGTATTCAGGCCTATACCTGTCGTCTATGGCATTCATGGAAAATAAGACCCAACTTTCTGAATATAAATCAATCATCGGAATACGCGGAGGCCGTATCTTGAAAGGAGTCTGAAATCGTCTTGTAACTCAAAGTACCTACGTCAAACGCCAAGCACAACTACATCTACCCACGTATCTTGCAACTACATTAGCACGTGTTCTATTGGAAATAAGGATGAAACCCTTTAGATATGCGACACTAGGTGGTTACCAGAGATCCGCGGAGCAGGTCTGAGGAAGACTACTTCGCGAGGCGTTACGGGTCTTCGATATTAGAGCACCATTCTATTATAAAGGGGTGGTCTAGGGGGGATATGCAGACCATGATGCTGATAGGTTAGTTAGGTTGTTCTCACCATGAAATGGAGTGAGTGCTCTGAGACTTCAAATTTCGAATTAGATGATCGTCTTAACCATGTTTACGATTTGAGAAGTATTTCGTTCCTAGAAATCGCGTTTTAAATTTCTCAATGGTTGATAGTTATCGGAACACAGGGAGGTAGGTACGCTGTGGAGATCTAACAACTTTACTTCGAATATATATGTTGTCTACAATCGAACTGCGGATTGCTTATCGCATTAATAACTATTTCTACGATATTGAGAACTATATTGGGTGCAATTGAAGCAAAAAAAATGTTTTCATATAGGAACGAAAGAGCAAAAGATAATGACCCCAACCCGATTTGAACGGATAACCTTTCGATCTGGAGTCGAACGCGCTACCGTTGCGCCATAGGGCCATGCTCAGAATCGCTCGAGTTAATTGGGCGGCTCTGAGATTGATGAATGGCTGTTTGGTATGATGGTACATATATTACGTACTTCACTTCAAGATAGGGGCTCCACATACCCCTAAGTGGGGAATTACATTGTTTCTCCCAAGGAACATTTCAACATGCATAGAACATACGAATCCTTTTCGCCTATTTAATAATGACATTATTTAGATTCAGATGACGAAAAGTCATTTCATAATCTATCTGCAGATACCTCTCTTCCAAATCATAACATAATGACCATATATAGATAGACTTTTGGTATCTCGTTATTTTTGAAGTTTTCACAACACCCATGCGACCAAAGTAGGATGGAGTTGGATCGACCAGAAAGAAAAAAAAAATTCTAGTCGAACAATCAAACAATACAGCTCCAGCTCGGTAAGCACTTACATCCTTCCTAATTAGGCAGGCCAAGACCTAGGCTCTCCTCTTCGGTGCTGCTTTGCCTCAAAACATCATCCTCACGTGGAATGACGTGCTTCGTTATTTTCCTTTATGTATATACAATACTACCTCTCGCAGGACGGTCCACGACCACTGATGCGAGCCACGTCGTGGGTTAGGGGAAGAAGGGTTTCCAATTGACTACCTACCAACCTAATGACTAGTCCGCGATAGTTCAAGGTAACCGAACCGAAGTGACCTGAATCGCGAGATGGACGTCGACGCCGAAAAGAATGTCCCGCCCCCGGCCTTCCACAGCGCCGAGCACGCGCCCGTGGTCGAGGATCAGCTGCGGAGGTCGCTGTCGCCGCGACAGGTGCAGATGATAGCTATCGGCGGTACTATCGGAACCGGTCTGTTTTTAGGCACCGGCAAAGCGCTGGCGACAGGTGGACCGGCTTCGTTGCTGCTATGCTACGCTATCGTTGGCGCGATCGTGTTCGTCACGATGTTGTGCCTGGGCGAGATGGCTGCGTTTGTTCCAGGTGAGAGGCTCAGAACATCCGACCCGAATTTGAACCCGAGGTCGAAAATCGAATTTTATGTGTACTAACTACGGGTAAAGTGGCCGGGTCTTTCTGCACCTTCTCTTCGCGTTATGTAGACGACGCGTGGGGATTTGCACTGACGTGGAACTACTGGTTTAACGATGCCGTGTCCACTGCCGCTGATTTAGTTGCTCTGCAGCTGGTCTTCCAATATTGGACAGACAGCTTCCCGTGGTATGCACTAGGGCTCATTATATGGTTCCTAATCGTTCTAGCCAACATCATCAATGTGCGGGCGTACGGCGAAGTCGAATACTGGTTATGCCTGTTAAAAGTGGTCACCATCGTTATTTTTATAATTCTAAGCATTGCGGTAAATGCGGGCGGAAACACGTCTCACGATTATATCGGTGCTCGAAACTGGTACCTTCCAGGAGCTCCCTTCGTGGGCGGCATCGGCGGGTTCGCCAGTGTATTTGTGACCGCGTCCTTCGCATATGGCGGAACCGAATCGATCGCCATTACAGCGGGAGAGACGAAAGATCCGGCTCGTCAGTTACCGCGAGTCGTCAAGAACGTCTTCTGGCGAATCTTGTTCTTTTACATCTTATCATCCCTCATGATCGGCCTTAACGTGCCTTACAATTACCCGGGGCTTAATTCCAAGGACACGCGTACTTCACCTTTCACCATTGCCTTCCAGCTGGTCGGCTCTAAGGTGGCGGGTTCTTTTGTGAACGCGGTCATCTTGACCAGCGTCGTTTCGGCGGGGAATCACGCCCTATTTGCCGGTTCGAGGCTGCTATATACGCTGTCCGTGAATGGTCACGCGCCTAAAGTATTCGGGCGTCTGACGCGCTTTCAGGTGCCCTGGGTTTCCGTCCTCTTCACTTCATTCATCTCGGGCTTGCTTTTCGGAGCGTCTTTCATCGGGGCGGGCCAGCTTTGGACGTGGCTGCAGAACCTTGTCGGCGTATCCAACCAGCTCTCCTGGATCAGTATTGGCATCGCCTCGCTGCGTTTCCGTGCTGGCTTGAAGGCTCAGGGCAAGGAGCACCTTTTGCCCTTTAGGAACTGGACGTATCCGATGGGGCCGATCATTGCTATCGTCCTCAATAGCTTCATCGTCCTTATTCAGGGATGGAGCTGTTTCAGCCCCAAGTTCAGTGCTGTTGACTTCGTCAGTTATTATATCGAGTTGCCCTTATTCGCTTTGATGTTCGTTGCTTGGAAGTTGATTAAGAGAACGAAGTTTAAGCGGGCAAGTGAGATGGATTTGGTCACCGACGTATATACGAAGGACGATATTGAGCCGGAGGAGGATGGTTGGACTGGAAGAGCGAAAAGGATCGGGGGCTGGTTATGTTTTTAAATTTTGTAGTTTCTATATTATTCAATATACCCCTATCTATTCGCCATTGTATATGAAATTAACCATAAACAATTCATACTATTTCACCAAACAGGTGCTGGCTAGTGATGACCTGGTAACATGACCTACTAAGTCCGGGGTAGTGGGACTGCGGAATAGAAGCCGACGCCGAGACCGGGGCGAGAAAAAAAAAAGAAAAAAGAAAAAGAAATCAGACGGCGCTAAAATTGTGTAAGGTAATTGTACTTCGCCTTCTCATCGGCTTTTTACCTTGGTAGCAATAACGATGTCCTACGGATCAATAAACGAGAGAGGAGTTCCTGGGAGAGAGCACGATGCCGGCGTTCGATCATCGCAAGTAGGAGACGATGGGGTTGAAAACGAAACCGTCAGCCCTATCGGCGGTGAGCAATGGGTGGATGATTCTGTGAGCACAAAACATGAGGGACGTCGGACGGTTTGCCAGGAATTAAGAGCCTTCTATGAAAGAAACATCGGCCTCTTCTTCGTATTTCTGGCCCAGGTGTTCGCATCGCTCGTACGTAGAATAGCTCGGACCAAGCCCATCAACCAATATGTGTAGGCATTAATAGTTCGGTAGATGGCGATGGCCACTCGTCTGCTCGAGACGGGTTTCGAGAAGAAGTTCCACGCCTTGCAGATCATCTTCGTGCGCATGTTTGCGACCGCCGCGTTAGGCTCGCTGTACATGTGGTACAAGAACGTCCCCGACTTCCCGCTTGGGCGTCGAGAGATCAGGGGGCTTTTGGTTCTGCGAGGCCTTGCTGGCTTCACCGGACTCTTCTGTTTGTACTGTAAGTCCGGTTCATTTATTTGGCACCTGCGACGTTTCAGTTCATGCCCATGATATATGAGAAATGATTCAAGCTAACACTTTCAACTCAGATTCACTCTCCTATTTGGACATAGCCGATTCCACTGTCATTACTTTCCTCGTTCCAACCACGACGGCTATCGTGTGTTTCATAGTTCTAAGGGTAAGTGCGATAAACAATTGCGGTGATCTTCCCATGCGTCTCAATCTTGCTGACCTCCTGTTTATCTTAGGAACCATATACAGTGAAAGAGGCTATAGCAGGTTTCATTGCTTTCGCTGGCGTACTCTTCATCGCTAGGCCAGCATTCCTCTTTCCTCAACATGATGAAGATAAGCCTCAGGATGACAGCTCAAAACTATTCATTGTAGGCCAACCTAAAGGAATGGTGCCCGAGATGCCGGCAACGCCCGCTCAGCGTTCGTTCGCTGTTATCCTAGCAGTCATCGGCACGTTCGGCGCCGCCTCTGCATATTCCATCATTCGACTTATTGGAAAGCGCGCGCACTCACTCATAAGCGTGAATTACTTTGCTATTCTTGCAACAGTCGTCTCGTTCCTTGTCATCATGGTCGTTCCAGATCTACATTTCGAAATTCCCGAGAATGCTGTCCAATGGTAAGACACCGTTTCCGATGCTTCGATTTGATAAGAAGGGTAGCTAATGCTTCCACAGGTCTCTGCTGATATCCATCGGTATCGCCGGGTTCCTGCTACAATTCCTCCTTACCGAGGGGCTGCAGAGAGAGAAGGCGGGGAGAGCTACTAATCTCATCGTAAGTTATTGCCACATATATGGATACAAGTCTATTCGACTCTATAAAATCTCGGGAGGGCTAATTCTGGAAATAGTACACGCAGATGGTCTTTGCGCTGATTATCGAGAGAGTCGTCTGGGGAACGACGCCTCCTATTGAAAGTCTCTTCGGGAGCGCCTTAATTATCGGCTCTGCAATATGGGTTAGCTTACAAAAGAATAAGCCACCGACTGAGAAAAAAGACCTCGTCGTTGATGAAGAGCGAAGCCTTTTGGGGGCCAATGCTCCTACGGAGGTGCGTGAAGACTAATCTTACGTGATCGTAGGTCGCGTCAGTCCCAGAATTACGATATTTACCACCTGCTTATTCAGGTGTGCCAGACATAACAATACATGAGGTTGAAGACCATGGGGCCATATTAGTCCCGTATGTCGGATTAGAGTCATATTGGTATCTCGATAAAAAAAGATACTCGTGATATTCTTTTCTCCATGGTCGATATTTACATGAGTACCGTCGTTTACTTCCGTTTTATATGGTATACCTCTAACTTCCTCGCATAACATGCAAAAACAAAGCATCTAAAATGGTATCTAATCATGGACGAACTAAAACAAGAATGCAACTCCCTTCGCTAGTATCATGCAAGCCTAATTTTATTCCTCCACGGTATGCTATTTGCTGGCCTGGTAATGATGGCTATTTGCCTCCCAGTAGTTATTAGGCATCTCGTGAACGACCCAAGGCGTCTCCATTTCCGCCGCTTGGTCCGTAACATGAGCTGGCATCTGCCACGTGTTACCCGAGACCGTTGGTAGCTCTGTCACAGGTGTAGGTTGCTGCGGCCAATATCCAGCTGGTGATTTGGGGGAACCCCCTGATGGTTCGGTGACATTCGCGCCGTAGTACGCGGCCGGTTTGTCCTTGATCAGGGGAAGACCGCAAATCGAGCAGCCCTTGCCGTATACGTGGTATCTTCGTATAACGGAGCCGATCACTGCGAATATCACGAGACCGGCCACTCCACCAACGGTCGAGCCAGCAATGACACCGGTTCTAGATGTATGTCCCGTCGATTCGCTCGTTGTCGAATTATCTGGAAGTGGTGTCCAGTACCCATCCCAGGATGTTTCCCAGTTGTTATCGCTAGTTGAGAGTGTACGGCACTGATCGTCCATGATCGCCACGCTTTGACCGTTGATGTTGGGCCCAGGCGCCTGGGACATGAAATAGAATGCCGTCTTTAGGTTTGCTCCGAAAAAAGCATCCTGCAGAAAAGCACGTCCGAGAGCGTAGTTTCCGTTTGATACCGCATTGCAGGGTAAATAGGAGGTCGGCTTGTCGACAATCGGTTCATCTAGCGTCAGGTTAAGGTGCATGAACGGTACTGAGATGTTTACCCTCCGCGAGTTATTATTAGGATCCATAAACGTGAACGATAAGACGGAGGGAGACTGTACTATACGACTGTAGTCCGGAGAGTCCGTGTTCCAGAGGTATAATCCTAGCCCCTCGTTGTATGTCACTGGTATCTCGGCAGCGATAGCGTCGCAGGTACTCTTGGGGAGGTTGATGTACGGAAAACACGGATCGATGGCAAGGGGGAATCGATCCCCTATTGAGGAGTTCCCCGACGCCAACAGGCCTCCTTTCGAACTCCAAGGGAAGGGCGAACCCCCTTTGACGACGTTGATGGATATGTCCACGAGAGGAGCGTCTGTGAATACGAGATAAGGGTCGGCGATGGGAATAGCCAACATATCGTTCACAGCTCTATTCCGGTCATATCCTCCAAACCAGAGCGAGCCTGGAACCTGCTGAGGAGCAGCCGACCCAATGTGCATCCCGAAAGTTTGAGAGTCGATTGATTTCTCTTCGTACAGAGTACCAGCTAATAAACTAACATTGACGGCTCCTGCAGATGTACCTGCGTTTACCTGGAATGTCTGGTTAACCACTGATAACTGCGTATTAGCTATTGTATCATCTCAAACAGATGGATATATTGGATAGGTATCTATAGGCCTCACTTACTATCAGGTGCTGCGCCGAAACTAAGACAACCTGCAAATATTGGGCACTTGTTTCCATTGGGATACTGATACTGAGTATCGCTCAGGAGAACTAGGCTAAGATTTTCCACTTTGTCGTTGGCCCACTGGGTCGTATCGGTGCCTAGAAATAACGAATCGGCCCATCGCAGTCCATCAGTTCCGTTAGAAACTTGATTAGGTGTTAAGGAGTTGCCGCCATTTATCAAGATACTTGGCTCGTGGCCGGTGCCCATGGACTCGTTGTATATGGCGCCAGCTTCCTGTGCGTAGCATAGCTGGCCATCGGCCGTGACATTTCCACAATAAGTTGCTCCGGGGAAAAACGACTCCCACATTTTTCCGGCGTATACCGTCACTTGCTGACCAGATCCCATCGATACCTCTATCGCGTTCCAGGGCCCATCTGGTCCTACGGTCTTGTTCGACCATCGTGCTGCCTTGGGTGATCCGTCAACCGATCGTATCAATGATAGGGTGGCCGCGCCAGCGATTATTGTAAAGAGACGGTTCATTGAAATCTGCCGATGCTCGACTATCTAGAGTCGAGGCTTAATAGAGATGTCCGGGTGAGAAAACAAGGATCGGCAACGCAATGATGGCGGATGGATGACATTGATCGACAATTCAACGTCGAAATAAAAGAGGGTCAAGTTCGGCTTCACATTCTAGAAGTTGGTGGAGAGGAGAGATCTTTGTAACCCGTCATCCCCTGAGGCTCAAAAGACTGTTGTCAGAGTGGCACCACCCAGGTAGTCGAGATGGCCAGCCCGACTTCAAGCGACAAGGAGTTGGGCGGGATATTCACGAGTATTACTCTGCTGACCTGAGGACCAGAGAATCCTGCGTGGACGTCGGAACGTCCTCGGCACGCATTTTCATCCTCGCTAACCAGTCAGCATGGCATCCAGGTTCATCCCACCATGTCTACCTTGTACGCTTGGGGCGCCTACCATGGTAAACATCTTAGGTACATGTGTAGAACTTCAATGCTGGCTCGTTCGGCCGGGTCAATTAGGTGAAGTAGTTTTACTATCTACTATCACCGCAGCCAGACACATCTCGAGAGTCGGTGTTAATTCTATAAAGGGTTAGGCGAGCTCTTCCGCCCCCAACTTCGACCCCTGAAGCGATGGTGATCAACAGATGCCAAGCTTCTTCCAGCGTTGTTCACGGCCAAATCCTACGAATTTGGAGCCGCAAAATTGCTTACGTGAAAATAAGGCATATTTTTAGTAGCATGGGGTCGTCTCGATTCTCAAAATAAACTTCTTACCTCATCATCAACTACCTACCACTGCTGTCGGTTGACACCCGGCCCGCAGGGATGTGAAGCGGAATTTGGGTAGCGCGAATTCCGCAATTGGCAGACCGCTGGCTACTGATACAATGTAGCGAGCAGATGTGACCTATCATTATTTGATGTTCCACTGGTCCCGATTCAGAATAAGCGTAACAAAAGGACAGTATTCCTAACTGATCAGTGATCAGCAAGCTGCGTCGAAATATTGAAGGCGATCGGAGCACCGAACCCCGGGATACACGAGTGACGCATATAGCACTATGTACGTATAAAGACGGTTTATCTATTATATCTAACATACCTACCTACATACATAGGTACATATCCAAGGTCTGTGGATAGTCATGGGTCACTTAAGGCTAAGCGAGCTGAAGTCTATCACGGCTCGATCCTCATCATACCGATACAGTCTTACGTGCTCTAACCCGGTCATCTGCGGAAAATCTAGGATTCCAATGTTGGTATTACTTGTGACAACTTCATCGTATTCGGACTCGTCAGTGTTATTAGCTATGGTCATGTCCAGCGGTGATGCACCTTTACTGTGTAGGCAAATAATGGTATAGATAGATACTATCATCTTGTGGGATTAGAACAAGCATCCTATATATCTAACTTGGTTCATCAGCACTAGACTAAGGGGGTAGGTAGGTAAGAGAGCGGACTAACTATCGCGCATCTCAGGATCACCCAGGGGACTTCATTATGTAATGCAACTTACTTGCTATAAATTATCCATGTTTCTTATTTATTGCGGGTGTACACGTGCTTTTATTTGTCTGAATAGATAGGTATCTTAATTGGTGTGAGAAGAGAAGATAATATGTATGTTTATTAACCCGTGTGATTAAAAAAAGGGGGTACCTAAGGGTCTTCTCCAACCAGGAGACTTGCTAGGTAGCTCTAACAAAATGTAAATCTTGACCTCAAATGCAGCTCGACGTCACTTGGTGGACTCAATGGGGGGAAACATCGGTGCCCAATTCAAGTTAGGTTAAAGATTAAACCACTCCCACTGCTGGGGGATATCGGGAAGGTAGTAGTAATATACTGTGATTGAAATCTTCAAGATTCATATCTAGGTGAAAATGGCCGTGACGGAATCGTCCTACTCAACGCCCAAGTGGTGGAAAGAAGCTGGTATGTTTAATTAATCCCCAACATCCTGGCATTCGGAGACTAATAATGTGGTTACTAGTGGTCTACCAAATTTACCCGGCGAGCTTTCAGTGCCAGGTAGGTGAATGATCTGGATGCCAGCTTGCTAGATTATTATTAATGCTTTACAATTGGAACGAAAAAGCCTGGTGTCACTTCGGGATGGGGCACCATCAAGGGCATCACGTCGCGGCTCGACTACTTGAAGTCCTTGGGTGTCGATGTGGTCTGGTCTTCGCCGATCCTGAAGTCGCCGCAGGCTGATATGGGCTACGACATTGCCGACTACAAACAGATCGACGAGCGCTATGGATCCCTGGAGGATGTAGACGAATTGATCACCGAGCTCAAGAAGCGCGACATGAAGCTCATGATGGACTTGGTAGTGAATCATACCAGCAATGAGCATCCATGGTTCCTCGAGAGTCGCGCGAGCCTCGACAATCCTAAACGCAATTGGTATATTTGGAAAAAGCCGAAGAGTATCAGTCCTGACGGTGTACCGGAACCGCCCAATAACTGGGCGCAAATCCTAGGCGAAGCCAATTCAGCTTGGACGTATGATGAGAAGACTGGCGAGTTCTACCTCAGTCTTTTCACGCCGGAACAACCTGATCTGAATTGGGAAACCCCCGAGGTTCGGGCGGCTGTTTGGGACGTGATGCATTTTTGGAGTGCGTGACATGTTTCCTTTCCCTTCTAGTTGCGCCACGATTATTTAGTATCATATATCGCTAACGCCTCTCTCTGTCGCAGTGAAACGGGGCGCAAGCGGGTTTCGAATGGATGTTATCAACCTGATCTCTAAAGACCCCAGCTACCCCGACGCCGACATCGTCCTGGATCCGGAGCATAGATATCAACCCGGGTCAAAGTATTTCGTCAACGGACCCAAATTACACGACTATCTGCGAGAGATGTACCGAGAGGTGTTGAGTAAATATGATACGATTACCGTTGGTGAAATGCCTGGAGTTAGCGACGAGAAGGAGATTCTGCGAAGCGTCGGTGCCGACTCCGAGGAGTTGAGAATGATCTTCATCTTCGACCTGGTCGACATCGACAAGCCGAACGTTAGGATGGCCCTCAGACCATGGAACGTCAAAGAGATGAAATCAATCATCGCGAGATGGCAACGAATCATGATCCAGGATAATGGATGGAATTCAGTCTTCATCGAGAACCACGACAACCCGAGGTCCGTCTCACGATATACTGACGATAGTGACGAATGGCGCGAAAAGGGGGCTAAACTCCTCGCGCTCATGCAGACCACCCTCGGAGGTACGCTTTTTGTCTACCAGGGAGAAGAAATCGGAATGCGCAATGCGCCAACGACCTGGGACATCTCCGAATTCAAAGATATCGAGACCATCAATTTCTGGAAGAAGTGCGAGCAGCTGTATGCAAACGACAAGGAGAAATTAGCCTATAGTCGTAAAATCATCGATATGAAAGCACGCGATCATGCTCGAACCCCAATGCAATGGACGGCAGGGGAGAATGCAGGCTTCTGTGACCCGGGTACGACGCCGTGGATGAGAGTTATGGATGACTATCCGACAGTAAATGTTGAGGCCCAGTTGAAGGCAGATGATCAGAAGGAGCTTTCAGTGTGGAAATTCTGGCAGGAAGCGTTGAGGCAGAGGAAAGACCATGCTGACGTCTTCGTGTACGGAAATTTCCAAGAGCTATCTCCTGAACATCCAGAGGTCTTTGCTTATGTTCGTACGAGCACAAGAGGCGACCCCTGGCTCGTTGTCCTTAACTTTTCTAAGAAAGAATTAGAGTGGGCGGTGCCTCAGGGATTGGAAATCGAGTCTTGGATCTCGACTAATTATTCGAAGGGCATCCCAGACAAACCAAAGCAGTCGAGTGTGCCTCTAAAGCCCTGGGAGGGCATGTTGGGACGGTGCAAGTAGACAACGTTGGTGACGCGTCTCTTAAGGCGTACGCCCTGCGTGTGCTATACTAGAGCGCATATGATAGAAAAGTTAGGGGTTAGTAGATGATATCTAGCATGACGAAATTCGCCTTACCCTTTAAATGTCATGGAATGACATGGTAATTACGGTACTAATAATGACTAAGATTCCACTTGACTTTCTACCTCCCTTTGATTGGCATTCCTTTACTTGAGTAGCTCCTATTAACTCACGCAGATAGGACGGACGATTGGGTTGTAGTTTGCTCTTTATTCTCGAGGTTGAATAAATCCGCATAGACTCGTCTAATAAGCTTTTGAAGTGAATCCCATTCTTAGTTGTCCAGACCACTCTTGACAGGGTCCCAACACACTGGCGAATACTCGTCGAACTCCAGCGTGTCCATATCTTCTTTTGAGAGTTCAAAGTCGTAAACTTCAGCATTCTCCTTGATCCTTGAGGGCGTGACACTCTTTGGGAGTGGAACGTAACCCTTCTGCAAGCTCCATCGAATCAAGACCTGAGCCTCCGTCTTGCCATACTTTGTAGCAAGGTTGACTAGACACTTTTCACCGAATCTCGCACCCCGTACAACGGGAGCGTAGGCCTCGAAGGCAATGTTTCGCTTAGCGCACCATTCGGCGATATCATTGCGAGGACACCATGGATGAACCTCACATTGGTTAACCGAGATGATTCCGCCTTTGCCTTTGCCGCCTCTCTCGGCTTCTAGTTCCGCAATATGCTTTTCTAACTCGTCAAGATGATGGACACCATAATTGCTGACGCCAATGGATCGGACTGGGTATGGTCAGTGCCGATCGCTCGTTGGAACAGTTGGAGATATTTCGAGCTGCTCTTGAAAAGGGGGTAGGTTAAGGTGGTGGAATGAAAGTTTTGTTACATACTCTTGCCCTCTTCGACAGCCTCAACGAGCGCCTTCCATACGTCCTTTCGCGTAGCGGAACCGCCGTAGGGTGAATGAATCAACATAAGGTCGATGTAATCAAGACCAGCGGTTTTTAAGCTCGTCTCAACTTGTGCTTTGGCACCAGCATAGCTCATACCGCCACTAGGAATCTTGGAGGTAAAGTAGATCTCAGATCGTGGCAGCTTGCTAGCTCGCATGGCGTTACCACATCCAGCCTCATTGCGGTATGCAGCGGCTGAGTCGACATGACGATAGCCAACGTTAAATGCTTCTGACACGGCTTTCTCGGTTGCGTCTGGCGGACTGTAAGCCGGTAGTTAGATCCAAATACGAGACCCCTTTGGATAGTTACCTAAGTAGACACTTAACTCACGTTTGGTATACCTAGAATAGGTCAATTTTAATGTCAATGATGATAGTTGAAAGGTGTGATATAGATAGATACTTACCCCAAACCCCAATCGAGGTATTTCATAGCCGCTGTTCAGTTTGAACGTAGAATTGATACTGTAGGCTGCCATTGTTATAGTTCTATCAAAGAGGTCAGTCGGTTGGCTGAAGATATTTGGAGCATTGAAGGAGCAATGAATTAGCAGGGTAGAATAGTACGGCTAGTTCGAGAGGGGTACATGAAAGGGGGACTACTTACCTGACTTTGCCTAGCTGGAAAGATGTCGTTGCCGCTCTACTGGTGAAGAGCGAGATCATGGGTGAACGTAAGAACCGGGACACTCGCAACTTTTATAGTCGTTTGCACTAGAGAAGTCGTCCGAAACAGGGACAATGAATACCCTTTATACTAACCAGCTGTCGTAATGATTATCAAGCATGCTTCGAATTGCTGTAGGTATCGTATCTGTCATTCCATCGCGTCTTTGGTCGGCGTTTACTGACTATCTCCGGTATAAATCTCGGAAAAGGGAGAAAAGTCTTACATTATCCTTATATTATACGACGCCTACCTATAGATAGCTCCTTCTTTGAATATAATACATATCACTAATTGGATACCGTCATCCCACTCACTACCGACGTCACTAGAGCTTAATTGTGACAGGCATGTACCTGGATAGTGTAGGTACTTAGGTACGTCAATGCGTACCACATTGGCACGTTACTGGTAGGTACATAGTAGAGATCATTTATGGCGGGGTTGAGGGGCATCTCAGCATTTCATTCTTTGTACCTACTACTGGCCTACATGCACCCGTAGCTCTGCCTACCCTACATCTATAATCTCAGGCCCCGTCACAGTATTTCGGAATAATAATTGCACGCATATCTTATTGTTCATTACTAGTAGTACATTGCTGAATCACGGCGCAGCAGTCTGGCAGATGCTTTGGTTGCCCAAACTACCTACGGACTGGCCAATTTGATCTAGGTTTGCGACACGCATTAGCTACCAGCCCTCGACATGCAGCTCATCGGGTCGAAGGCGTCACAGCGCCTAGACGAGATAGGCGAGGGAAGCGTAACTTTACTTCCTATTGAGCCGGAAGACATGGTATGTTCTATTGAGTTTGCATGACCTCGAGCAAAGTTTTAAGAAGTCTTGAATCCGTCTGACATCAAATGCAAAGTGGCACGCAAATAATCTAATCGGCCCCGAAGATGTCGTCAAGGCGCATGCGATCCGAAAGGTTACAACAGAGACCAAGACTGGCAGTACTATGTCAGAGAGGGTTCACACCGACCTTACCATACGTGTTACTTCCACATTTTTCGACCCAGGTTCCTCCCAATTGCACGTCTCAGGCACCGTCATTGTCGAGAACAACTTTGTCAGCCTCGGACAATACCACACCCTCGACCTCGAGCTTAACCGGCCGTTCACCCTATGGAAAAAGTATGGATGGGACTCGGTAGCAAAGGAAACACTCTCGGATGCCCTAAAACAGGACAAAGAGGGTGCTGTAGCTGCTGTCGTCATGCAGGAAGGCATCGCGAATATCTGCCTGATCACCGAATACCGTACTATACTTAAGCAAAGGGTGGAGAGCACGATACCTAAAAAACGGTCGAGTAGTTCCGAGCAAGATTCCGGGATGAAGCGCTTCTTTGAGAAGACCTTGAGCACTTTGATTCGCAGCATAGATTTCTCGATACCCCGGCCGTTGCTGTTAGCTAGTCCCGGGTTTGTCGCGGGCGACTTCAAGAAGTATATCTCTGACGAGGGCGCTAGGAGAGCCGACAAGGCAATGATGGCTATGGCCAAGGAAGCGACCGTGGTTCATTCGAGCTCCGGGCACCTGCATAGTCTCAACGAGATCCTCAAGAGTTCCGAAGTCACCGCGACTATGAAGCATATGAAATTTTCCAAGGAGACAAGGTTTATGGACGACTTCTTCGACAAGTTGCGGAAAGACGATGGTCGCGCCTGGTATGGTACGGCCCCTGTCGAGAAGGCAATCAAAGAAGGCGCTGTCGGTAGAGGAGGGGGTATCTTGTTGATCAACAATTCCCTGTTCCGAAGCCAGGATATCAGGACAAGGAAAAGATACGTCGCCATGGTTGATAAAGTCAAAGAGGATGGAGGAGAAGCGCGAATACTGAGTAGTGACCACGAAAGTGGACAACGATTAGATGCCTTAGGTGGCATAGCTGCCATACTCACGTACCCTATACTAGATCTAGACGAGGACGAGAACGAGGACGAAGCCGACGCCGGTGGGCAAGCCGAAACCGAGGAGAACATGGTAATATGAAGTCTGATCTAGAGGCGTCCCGAATTTAATGACTATTTACGAATTTCATTAGTTGTGAAGTTGTATCCATCCTACACCTACTAGGCGCAGTAATTTATCCAGCTCTAAGGATATTAGGTAAGTTATCAATACAATATTTGGTGGGTACTTGGATATATGGGGACCAAATCCAAAAATACACCTCCGCAGGGATGGTAATTGTTATTTGATGGAGAATTGCTCCATTAGTGGATATGTACTGAGCCACGGAAAATATATAAAAGGCTACAAGATATATATGCTTTATACATATCTGTGAATAACCTCTGTATAAAGAAGTACCTTCCCTTACAAATATTAATGGCAAGATACAATTCTATGACAGTGGAGTAAAGGTCCACCAAATAACAATTACCATCCTTGCAGAGGTGTAATATCCCGGCTGAGAGATTCAATGAGGGATTTCCAATTTGGTTGGAACAGAGCAATCCATGACCTTGCGATGACGTACCGGGATGACCTGCATGGATCTATGGAAGGTGGATATTACATCATTATGCGCCGTTTCTCTGTTGGAACTCTATGGATCCCTGGGTCCATCCGTTTGTAAAGTTGCGAAGGTTAGGTAGGTATATTTAAAATATGAGATAGATCGGCAGATATGGCCTGCGCTAGTAATATGAAAGTTTTGCGGCTCGCGTTCCCGTTTCACACACCGTTTCCGTTTTGCCAAACGCTTAAATGTTCAATATTATCTTTAGCTTAAAAAGTGCCTAGGAACCTTGGAAAGTCAATTCAAGTCGCGCCACTCGCGGAATCCCATACCACGCAGCATTTTATTGCTCGACACATTCTCGTACTCGTACTCCAGTAGCTCTCGACCTGTTATGTCAACAAATATTGTATATTAATCAAGAAATATCCAACTTCGACAGCGGAGATGGCCACCATTCTTATGTACCTAAATTCATATTCAGTTCTACGCGATTAATTGATCAAGATCTTTAGGCGCATCCTTTGAAGTTCGGATGTGACGGAGTTGCTAAAGACAAACTGGGCACGCGCCATAGACCAAAACCGCCCACCGCGCATTTCTAGCTACATAGCTGTCATAGCTATATACCTCTTCATAATTCATACTGGATGATCACTGGTCAAAACTAGATAATGGAAGATGTCGACCTCTTCGCCGGCCACCGAGGTCGCCCGTCCTCGCCCAGACGACCTACCCGCTGTCCACGCGAATGCGAAGATAAATCAAAATGGCTCGGAGCCGTTGCGTGATCTCGGACGGTCGCCGACTTCTTCTGACGATCCAAGTATGCTTATTTATTATTTATTGCTTATTACCTACAGCCTGTTCCTCCTTCGTTTGGGTTATTCTTCTTTTGTATATGATTTGCGACCCTCTATGTCTAAGCCTGTCTCGCTGACACCTTATCTTAACATCTTCACTAGGCACCAGTATTCTAGGGACCGGGAAGAAGAGCGTCGTAAAACTCTCGCGTAAGGATACGGCCGGAAAAGATGCAAAGGAGAAGAAGGACTTGGATACTGCAGTCCGACCTGGGCCGCAAGCCACCTCTTCGTCCGCACTCGACCCCCTATCCCATGTACGTCTTGCGAGCTTATCCGCCAGGTCTTCTAATAGCCGAGTCTAATCCCAATATCAATTCTAGCACATATTCGTGAGAACCAATACCGATCGCTCCATCGCTTCGAGATTTCGCAATCCCGCGCGCTCAGATAGTCCTGCAACAAATGAAGGTCTACCCCGTCCTTCTTCCGATCTATCTACTAAGCAAGTAGCGCCTCAACCTGATCTACCAAGGGACAGGAGGTGTGTCTGCCTGAGAATAGCTTGAAAAGGTACTAGGGTATCATGCTAATGGTCGTGGTTTAATAGGAAGGGAGGGTTCCTTAGTCGCCTAAGCATGATCGGCGGGAAGAAAAAGGAAGGCGGCATCCATGACGACGAGTCCGAGATTAGCGAATTGAGGACCGAGGGGGCGAACGCCGTAGCCTTCTCTTCTGCCGTTGGTGCTGGTGGCTATATCCCTCACCACAAAGAGCCACCGCGATATATCAGGGTTCGAGCGCACAACAAGAAAATCAAGGAGTTCAACCGCATGTTTCTCGCCCAGGAGCTGGTAGGGACACAACCACCAAATCAAGACGACGACCAAGCTAAGACCACGAACGGAGCTAGCGCAACACAGGGGCTCGGTAAAGATGAGTCGGAATTGGGTGGCCCCATCTGGGCCATCGAGTTTAGTAAAGATGGCAAATATCTAGCCACCGGAGGTCGAGACCGGGTTGTACGCATATGGGCCGTGATCGCAACAGAAGAAGACCGAAAGGCGGAGGGAGAAGAAGAGAACGCGGCCAGCGATACAGAGGAGCGTTTGAGTGCGCCGGTCTTTCGCGCGAAACCGGTTCGGGAGTTCGTTGGTCACACCGGCGATATTCTTGATCTCAGCTGGAGCAAGAACAATTTCCTCCTTTCTTCGTCAATGGATAAGACTGTCCGCCTCTGGCACATAAGCAGACAGGAATGCTTGTGCACGTTTAAACACAAGGATTTTGTCACATCTATTGCCTTTCATCCTCGCGACGACCGCTTTTTTCTCGCCGGTTCCCTCGACTCATATCTACGCTTATGGAGTATTCCTGACAAAGCCGTCGCTTATTCGAGCCAGCTGTCTGACTTCATTACGGCCGTTGCTTTTTCCCCTGATGGGAGGACCGCAATAGCAGGATGTCTGAATGGGTTTTGTATGTTTTATGAGACTGAGGGTCTCAAATACCATACGCAAATTCACGTACGATCATCAAGGGGTAAGAACGCTAAGGGGAGCAAGATAACCGGCATCGAGACGATGAGATTTCCTCCGGATGCTCCTGATGGTGTGGTTAAGGTTCTCGTCACCTCAAACGACTCTCGCATCAGGATCTATAATATGGGAGACAAGAACCTCGAACTAAAACTCAAAGGCCACGAGAATACGTGTAGCCAGATTAGGGCTACGTTCAATGACGATGGCAATTATATCATATGTGGGAGCGAAGACAAGAGGGCATTCATATGGTCAACCAGTTCGAGACTTGCCGAGAACAAGGAAAAGAGACCTTATGAATATTTTGAGGCCCATTCAAGTATCGTGACAAGCGCTATCTTCGCGCCAACGTCAGTACGACAATTATTACAAACCTCCGGCGACCCTATATTCACGCTATGCAATCCTCCACCGATAACATTGCGCAGTAAAGAGGAATCGACGGTGAACCAGGCTGTCGATGCTCAAGATACCCAATCCGAAAGCTCAAACAAGGTCAAGAAGCCTGACGAATCCCCTGGGTTCATTGCACGCTCCGCTCATTACGATGGTAATATCGTCGTGACAACTGATCACACGGGCTTGATCAAGGTCTTCCGCCAAGATTGTGCCTTCACCAAACGTCGTCACGATAACTGGGAGACCGGTTCAACATTCTCCAGGAAGCTTGGAAGAGATAGTCTGCTAGGCCGAAGTGGCAGCATCGCCACACGATTCAGCGCCGGCAGTCGAGATCCGCATTCTCGCCGTGGCTCGCTTACGCAGCCACCCCAAAGTATACAGGGCATATTCCAAGCCAATTCAGAAAGGATAAATACATGGCGACATGGTGTCGAAGGACACACCGGTAGGCCGACATCAATAACCATCTCAACGCCAGCACGCAGTGAGCGGTCACTTTCTCCAAGTAAGGCAGCTCGCACCCCTATAAATTCAACTTCGGGGCCAAGAAGACAGCCCTACGCGAACACGTCAGCCATCAATGTTCCAACGAGTCCTACGTCTAGCGTGCAAGCTAATAGGACCAACGATCGTGTAGGGTTGCGGGAAGTATCCGTCCCGCCAACCCCGAGCTTTTCGTTTAGGCCGGTAGACGAAGAGGAAGACGAGCTACGCCTGGATCCAGCTGGCGCAAGTTACTCGTTCTGGAATCTAAATAAATGGCGAAACATAAGCCCTCTGCGAGGTAACGGGTCCTCCCTTGGGTCGGATTCGGCGCATCAACGCTCGCAGAGCACCGCGTTAGTCTCGGACACGACGGCGGTCGAGGATAATCGGAGAAAAAGCCTGGCAACAGGTACAGGAGAAGCCGAAGCAAATGGCAAGTCGGATAAGCATACGCGACGAAAGAGCGTGCCGGCCGGGGCGATATTGTCCCGCGAGAAGGACGAGAATCATCTGGCGCCGCCGGTTCCTGTTTCCCCTCGGCCCGAGTCCTACGCCAGCCGCCTGAGCTCGGAACTCACTAGCGAAGATGGCGAGGACATGCAGTGCCCGTCATGTGGCAGTCGAGACTTTAGAGCGAAGAAAGTGGGTGGTAAGCAAAGGTTACAATGTGGGAAATGTGGTCGTGCAGTTAATTCATGAGGTTATTATAATGAATGTGGTTGCATCTTCGTCTTCTAGCAGGACCGGAGGGGATACCTGTACGCTGAGTTATGATGAATGTGTATCGAGAGAACGGATATTGGATGATTGCATATACGGACGGCATTATTAGCGATGGCTCGTCTTGAGCTCCTAGGGTTGAAATAAGGCTTTTTTTTCTTCATTATTCATCTAGACGGTGATATCGCCATGATCTTGATAGATCACGGATCACATATCTCCAAGGCTAGTCACTCCATTCAGGGGAAAGCAACATATCAGTTCTTAATCTGCTTCCAACATTGCTCTCACCCTGAGGGCGACTCCTTCAACAATTTGGAAGGGATCAAGACCTACGATCCTCGATCCTTCATTGGCGTTACCCGGGATGGGGACTCTTCTAATGCTACTTAGATAGCCTTTGCTTCTTCTACATGAGTAGGGTAAACTTATGTAAATATACGAGCACTCTCATGCAGCACCCGAGACTTATGTACCCCTTGTAGCTGTCGACGTAGCTAAGTCATTCTCTGCTCCCTAGCGGCTCACTGAGAACCGAGCGTTTGAAGTAATTCATATTATATCATACTCGATTAAAGCATTCGCGTTTCCCAGTTACGATTCAAGCAATTACTATCGTCCACGTATGGAAGTTGAAGCCATAGATATTGATATTTTGCTTCCTTGCACAGCAGTAGCCAAGAAGCTTCTCGTTGCCCAGGAACGAGGAAAGACGGATAAGTATCTACAAGTTCGCCGTAAACCCGTCCAAACCCCAAAAGCCATACAGTAGGTAGTATTATACAATATACCTCCTTCTTGGTAACATCCTATCCGACTTTTACGGCCCGAGTATGCGGTCAAGTTAAGCATGTCTACGCCAAGATGTCTTTCGGGGACGAAGAGACGCACACCACCTCGTCATCAAGTCTTCTTCAGGGGAGTTATCGGACGGTTTCGTGCTTATGGACGACACGCAATTATGCAAAGTAACACAATAATACGCGATACCGAGGACGCTGCTGACAATACCACCGACCATATCAACGGGCTCCGGTGAAATAGAGCTACTTCAGGCCAGGGAACATATGCTAGTCATGATATCATAGGTGTCTTTAGCTAATTCTTCTAGCGAGCGAGATGCTGTTTTCAGAGAACTTTTCCTCTCTAGATCAGAAGTAGTTTAGTGAGACGTGATCTGAGGTGGCGTGAGCAGGCATCGTAATGTGATAAGACAGGGGCTATACAATGGTCGCATATAGAGGTCTCGACAAGTCGCATGACCCTTTTTCTTTAAAATTTCGTAATTTCAAACTGCAGTAGAGGATGGTTGGCCGAGCCAGAGAAAGGATGAAGAAAAGATAGTGGATGGTGCATTAGCTCTCAAGTCTTGTTCTCAAAGCAGATCGTGTGGTTTGCATTGGAGGCTGTCAAGGGCTAAATACCTACGTAAGCCGATAGATTGAAAAGGGAGACGATGCTACCTCGGGCGAGGATCTAAGATCTGTGACTGGGACATACTACCTGGGTACATGTAGGTATGGTCGAATGACTGATCGCATGCAGATATTGGTGCTGACGGGCTGGACGTCCAACGACAGGGGTTCGAGATTAATTGGGCTAGTTGGGTTGGGGTCAATTATCATCTCTCCGGCTCCTTAATTATCCTTATGTTCCGACGGCGTCTCGTAGATCTTAAAGAGCCTCCAGGTACCACGTCCTCGTGCTTTAGCCCTTGTGACCAGTCGTTTTATATGTCTATATATATAGGTATATGATGTTCGATCATATAGAATCAATAACAGTTGAGAGTCGAAGAAAACGGCAAATGTGGCCAAAATGTAAGAAGCATTATGAATAGCGCCTCCTCTGATCCCGTATTCCTGCAAAAGTGCAGACCATCGTGGCGGCTCCGTCTATACCTATATTCGTCCCGCTTCAGCCGTCGTTAGCTTATGGTGAAAACGGCCCAAGCGAGGAGCGACGCTGCAGTGCAACGTTATAACTACCGTGCGTGACAGCTGTCTCCCGAACCCCAAACATCCTCAGTTGCTCTGTAAGCATCTCTCTATAGCGCCAGCTCGCGGTATTATACCTACATAACGGCTATGCAGACTTGGCACTTACATTACTCCCAGATGATCGTCGATATTGAGACTACCCCTCGTTATAAAGTGGAAGAGCTGAAATCTTAGTTCTATAAGCCTCGATCTTGGCACGGCCTCTAGATAGAAGCGCCTGTTAATAGTTTGCCTGGAAGTGGGGGAAAGACCAGGACTAATGCCGGGTTATATTCAGTGACAAATGGATCGGTTTCTTGTCTGCCATCCTTCTCAACATGACTATAAAATGGAAAACTTCGACCACTTTTTACTTCACTAAGATCCTATTCCTCAAATCACATACGCGGTCACGTCCCAGGAACCGGGCAGAAAGTGTTTCATTTCCTAATCTGACGGTCCAGGCTTCCGGAAGCCCGGTGATCCATGACTTTACTTCTTACTTGCCTATTGGCTCGGCAGTGCGGGTACATCCTAGATCCTTAATACCGCCTACGCAAGAATAGAGAGTAATTCTACTATTGGGTAAGCCGTCGCCTGTGGACACAAATGCTACCCGGGACCCAAGAACGCTATGTAGGTATGCAATCGAGATGAACGTGTCGAAGGAGGAATGAGTAGACGACAGTCGAACTTTTACTACTTAACCCCTGGAGAATCTCAACTGTTGCTATACCACCCATGTCCGCGAATCCTCAGCTACCTGTAAGCAAATCCCGGGGTGTGAGTGTGTGATATGTCATGCTTAAGCTTTGCTCCTCTTGGGAAACCATTGTTACTGCATCTCTAAGTGGACTACCACGCTGGACTCCTTGGCTTGGCACCAGAATATGGTTACTATATTAGGGGGCAATGTAGGCCGCAAACTTACATGTTGGGCTGGGAGGTGTTCGTCTCTCTGGTGTTAGTTAGACGAGCTTAGACGACAGAAAGATCCACTCAGAACTTTTCCCAAACACAAGATGATCTCTACCTGGAGGCTCATTGCCTCAACTATCGTCCTATCAGGACTAGCTCTCGCCGATACTTGTTCTATTCTTAAGGAGATCTCCAACATCGAAGTCACGGACCCCCTGGATCTTTCATACTTGTCGGAGCAAAGTGACTACTGGTCCACTTCTTGTTCTGCCTTGAAGCCTTCTTGTATTATCTTCCCAAAAGATGCAGATGAAGTGTCCGCTATCGTGAAAGTCCTCAACAACAATACGGAAAACTTCGCTATCAAGTCTGGAGGTCATAATCCTAACAATGGCTGGTCTAGTGTTCAAGGTGGCCCCCTGATCTCTACCCAGAATATGAAGCAGGTTATCCTGGATAGCGAAACGGGAGTAGCTCGAGTCGGGCCCGGACAACGGCTAGATAGCATATCTGCAGCGCTACAGGGTACCGGATGGACTTTCGTTGGCGGCCGGATTGGGAATACAGGCGTCGGCGGTTTAGTCCTCGGCGGCGGCCTCTCATACATGTCAGCACAATATGGCTGGGCTGCCTCATCAGTGCTGGAATATGAGATTGTCCTTGCCAACGGTACCATTGCAACCGCATCTGCTACCCAAAACGCCGATCTCTTCAAGGCGCTGAAGGGAGGTGGCAATAACTTTGGCATCGTAACCACTTATGTCCTCCAAACATATCGCCAGGGCAATATATTCGGCGGTAATTTGGTCTTCCTTCGTACCCCTGATACGGACGCCAAGCTGCTGAAAGCTGTCAGGGACTTCACCGAGTATAACGAAGATGATAAAGCGGCTGTCATCGTGACAGCTGAACGTGGCAATATAGATCTTATCGACACTTGGATTCTCTTCCTCTTCTATGACGGAGAAGTGGTCCCCGAAGCGACCTTCAAGAACTTTACCGACGTTGGCCCTCTACTTGACACCACGAAGGTCCAGACTTATGCTGATCTCATGGCCGGCAGCAACTGGGTCATTGTCAAGGGCTCCGTTGTGCAGATCGGAACCGAGACAATCCCGATGCCATCGGCGGAAGATAGCGAGAAGGTGATGGGAGGCATCCATGACCACTGGAGGAACATCACCGACACAACACTTCTTGAACTTGGTATCGTTGCCTCGATTGCTTATCAACCATTCCCTAAACGAATCGCCGAGGCCGCCAAGGAACGAAGTCCTGATTTAATCGATGCGGACGATTCGGCCAATCGCCTAATACTCGAGCTGAATTACAGCTTCGTTCCGCAGAGTGACTACGACAAAATGGATCAGACGCTACAGCAAACGGTGAGTCCATTTCGACGATGTTTGGTATCCCTGACCCTTGCCCCGTATACATCTTACCTACGTTACAACCCAGAGCCTCTCAAGTATGCAGAATAAAGCAATTGCTAACTTCACGATGTTATAGTATGGGGGGATACGCGATCGTGTGCTCGGGTGGCAGCAGGATGGAACGTTGCCAGACATCTATCTCCCCATCTTCATGAACTATGGGTTCCACCAACAGGATTATTTCGCCAGGCTTCGTCCAGAGAATAGGGCTTTTGCGCACTCGGTTTCGGAAAGCGTGGATCCCACAGGTTTCTTCCGGACCAGAATAGGAGGTTGGAAACCATAAACTTGTTGCCCCCTTATTATATGAAATACCCTCCTAACCCAAACTTCCCATTCCACCTCCACCATGTTTTTTTCGACAGGATTGTGACTATCAAGTTAATGTTCAACTTTATCAACGATCCAACCTTCAAGCAACAATATTTTGAAATGATACTTTGTATCTATATTCTTGTGACTCTTTATAGTTTCTCAATTAGTTGCCTTGAACCCTTTTATGTAGGACTTCCATCTGTATATAGCCAATACAGTAACATTACGAAATTTGAAGCAATCTTTCTTATATACATATCTTGATAGGTGCCTATTTATAAAAAGAAAAAGAAATAGAAATAGATGCGGTAAGTGTGGATTGAGTATGCGACTTCCAGATCTCATGATTGAAGACTCATCTTTAGTCTAATATTTTATATGAATATTCGTATTAGTATTATGCCGGTCTCCTTTCACAGGGGCGGTATATATGTATTTCCAGTTAATAATATCAATTAAAGAAGTATCATAATAATTGTTCCGTCGTAAAAGTTTTGCTATACGCTCACCCGGAACCATTTGTGCCTTATATATGTCTAGCTAGGAATACATAGTGCAATATAAGGGATAGAACCCGTAGACCGCTTTAATATCTGATCAAACTTGCCATTATTTTCGCCTTCAGACCATGTACCATACTAATTGCTTTCCAGTTTTACCACCCACTCCTATCTACTTCGTGCTTCGGTATCTGCCGAGCTTCGAGTTCTCGTCCCAAAAACCCCGAGTCCAATTCGTGACTTTCAGGGACGCCAAGTTCGTATCGTTGGTTAGTTGCGTACAGAGGAGGACTCGCCTCACGGAGTGTCCCGCCAGTAGAATCATAGGGTGACTGTAGATAGCCGGTGCTGGGTGATGCCGCAAGTTCTTTGGACAGTTGCTCTTGCTGAATCTCCTGCTGGATCCCCTGCGGTTGTGACTGATAGTGATCACCCGACGATTGTTGAGCTCTCTTTCGACGGTATCTCTGAAACAGGAATAGCAACGCTAGCAATATAAGAATTAGACCAGCCACGCTACCTACCACGATACCCGCGATAGCGCCCCCGGAGAGTCTAGAAGGTGTCTAGGTCCCACTTTTAGTAAATGCCTATAATCTGAAAGAGGACTACTGTCTCAAGAACTCACATTATCATCTGACACTACTTGAAATCCATCGATAGGGTGTGCGTAAGCTTGATCGTTCGTCGCTGAGGCTATCCATTCAGCCGTAGCCGTGACGCTCGCGCTATTGTATGCTGTCACCTCGACGGTCTGGCCAACCTGGAAATCACTGTAGCAAGTCCCTCCGTAGCCAGGCCGATTAGGGTCTACCGTTGTGTCTGGGGGATGGAGTAGAAAGCCACTGTCGCGATGATTAGACTTGATCGTGACATGATGTCCTGAGGCAGCTCGCAGCATTTCGTACAGCCTTCGTCCTTCCAGGTGTACGGTACGATGGTATGGCACACGTGCCGCAGTTAGAATATTCGGATTTTACTTACGAAGCACAACAAGCAATGTATCCATTCGTCCAAGTCATCGCCGTAGTCCAACCTTCGGGACAAACCAGAGGAGAGAATAATGGGGCGACAGAACTCGACGCATTCGATATCTAAGCCATGTCAGTTAACCACACCAAGAAGATCTGCGTTCTGTCTTATATAATACAGAGCTCGTGTCAACCTAAGAATAGTAGGTGATGTCACTGTAGGTAGTATTATATCAAGTGAAGCAAATTCTTTACATACTGATGAGATGTTAGCATGCGCCAATCCCATAATCATCCTCGGGTTGTTGTACTAACCACTGGTATATCCTTCTATGAAGCCAGGCGGGTAACAATCCCCAAACTTAGAGCCAGGTACTGGCTGAGGCTCGTTCAACCAGAGCTGGTAGCCCGGCGAAGATAACTGAGTGAGGTGCATCTCCCCACATGATGAAGGCGGCGTGAATGTCGTTGTTAGGGGCTTTATAGTGAGCGTGAGAACCGAGATCGACGGCGTCGTAGTTGTCGAAGCTGGACTTGCGGTCGCCGATGTTTCTGATGTGCTCTCCTCTATGACTGCGAGAATATGGTCCATCGTGACGGAGAAAGGCTAGCTATCTAGTGAAGAGAAGATCATCTTCGAGAATGGCAAGAGAAGTAAAGGATCTTCGAAATGTCGGAGTGATGGGGAAAATCCAGTATCCATGGTTTTGAGGGATCCGTACCTGGATAGCTGACATGGGCTCGGGTCAGGTAGGCGACATTAGTGGAGTGGGCAGTTTGTGTCAAAAGTACACAGAATGAATAAGGCGACCCTAACGTCGTATTGGATGGCCTCCATCACGAATGAGCTGTAAAACCGAGCGCCAGCCCATTCATTTTCAAGCAGAACAGGGTACCATTCAGATCCTACAGATAAATTATTTACTGTATATACGGCATTCTGGTACTCTGGTACTCTGGTACTTTTAACATTTTCGTACAAGAAGTTCATTGTCATCAGTGGCGGAAATACCCAAATGAATTGACCCCTTATACCCGCGTAGTTGTATCATCCTTATTAGTGAATCTAGAATCGAGCTGTATCTAACTACATGCATCCGGACCCCAAGTTATGGGTACTTATATAATAGATCTATAAATATATCTCACGTAATCTATATACGTATCTAGAGCACTTCCAAGCTCTAAGGTAGTATCGACGACCCTTTGGGGAATCGCTTCAATGTGGCCCTACACACTAGGCGGGACCTCATTGGTCAGCCCAATATCAATAAAAATTCATAGCTGAACGCCATGTGCAAATCGTATATCAACCTAGAACACCCCATACAGTATTACGAATGTTATGAAACGAGAGTAATGTCACGTCCAAGAGTTTATGCGTTTAATTGATCTCTCGCAAGCCTGCTTCACAGTTTTCGGTGCGCGACGTAGTTGACCAAAACACTTCTCTTAGCATTTACTACTTGATATCAGTCAGAGACTGGAGGTATCACCGCGACACTTCGCAGAAACATCATCTCATGATTCATTAGATCATGTCAGGCAAGCCGTGAGGCTCTTGGCCCGGCTGCTTTTTGTCCCATCTGCAAACCATGGTATCCCATATTCCCTATAAAACAACACCAGCTGACCATACAAATACCGTGATCTCCCCGCTTATTTAGCAGCAGCAAATAGAAGGGTTTGAATATGGGGCAAAAGCAATCTTGAATGTAGGACAGCACGTGAAAATCAATACAGCTCGAGCCTCTTGAGGGTATCTTTCCTTTCGCCGTTTCTAGCCCATCGCAACCTTTCCCATATATCTTCTGGAACGAGCAACAAGCGAGAAAAGAAAGTTGTCGCGAGGCAGGGGCTTGTGTTTGAGTACGCGAAAGCCTCAACTCAAGCCTGGGGGGTATAGCGCTACCACCTGGCAGATACGATGAAATAAAGCAAACTAGATAAAAATAAGGAAAAATGTTGGAGCCGCAAAAGTATCGTCAGATGCCAACCCGCGCTAGGCAATCTTCAACTGGAGCGTCGGCGTTAAAAAAGAATGACCCCTACTACTTCGTCCTCGACGATTAGAACCTATTTATTCCATGGTTCGGCTAGGCGGGATACATCTAGTATCCTGAGCCATCCATCGGACCATTGAACGCAGGGTGATCCATGGCCATAAATTCGAGCAAGTCTACACCTCCTACATTGACTCCCTGGTCTGTCATAGTCACGTTGGAATTTTCTCCCATGTTCTGGAACAAACCTGGGCCGGGCGGGAGGTACCACATTTGATCGTCCGCCGTCCAGTCAGCCCCTGTTTCGAAGATGTTTTCGTTCATATTGGACGTCTCTACAACATTGCCGCTTAGCGCTGGCGTGGTAGGTCCAAACACCGAGGCCGACCCAGTCGGATAAGGGAAGTTGCCTGTAGTCAGGTCGAAAGGCGTTGCCGATACATTGCCAGATGGCGTGGAAGAACGTTCTAAAAGGCTCATTAATTTCTTTTCCAGAAGAGAAACAGGCACGAAATCCAAAAAAAAAAAAAAAAAAAAAAAAAAAAAAGACTTACTAGGGACACTAAGCTCGTCTCTGAATTTAGTATGGCTTAGATACCCGTTTTCGACGCCATTGGCCTGGATATGACCATGCCCATTCGTGATGATAATCTTGCTCTCGCCATTCGTACGTGGACTTTTACCTTCGCCGGATGTTGCTGGTGCGTATTTAAAACGGTCCCGGAGACGCGTTGTCAGAGACTCGAGCAAATCACCGAACCTAGTACCCAGATGAATATCATCGACGACGCAGGTTCGTAACGCGTCTACCGTGCGATCCAAAAGACCGATGCTCACTTCTACATCTGATTTTGGAGCACCTAGCGCAAATGTCTTGAGCAAGAACATGGCTCCACTGATGATGCGGAAGTAGGTTCGCACAGGGGCGTGTTTGAGGTAGCCTTCCTTTAGCAGACCTTCGACAACCGTCCGTAGAAGGTTTCTACACCCTTCTACTACTTCCTTGACATACTCCTGGTCTTCGTGACCGAAGCCACCCAGATGGCCAAGAGGCAAGTTACCAAGATAATTCTGTGTTTGAGGCGATAATTGTGGGTTTCCGACAGCTACACTATTCCCGTGCGCAGCATTAGTGGACGCTCCGGCGTTGACTGTGCAGCGTTCAACGACTGCCTGTAAGGCCAAGGAGTTGACGTATATTCGCACATATTCATATTCGATAGCCAATATGTGACGGATGTTCTCGGGCATGTCGAAGCGCTGGAACTCCCTCCACCAGTTCTTCAGGATCGGCTGGAATTCTTTGAGCGCTCTCGTGTAATTTCCGCTTTGTATGAGTTCCGTAGTATGTTTGCGGGATCGGAATAGCCTCTCGTTGCCCAGTTGCATGGCATCGCTCACTCCTACCCAACAATGGATGATCTGGTCATCTAGCTCGACATTGGGCACGTAGCTGAAAGCAGTGGACACAACAGATTGGGTGGTTCCCGGCGTATTTCCCTCGTTGGAGATCGGACGCCTCCCAGTGAGTGCTGGGTCGGTTTTCCGGATACTCTCCGGGACCATATTAGTCCATCCAAGGCGGCCAGCTAACTGCGTCAAGTAGACTAGCAGCAGGCGCTTGATTCGTGTCGCACGGAGGCGATATGCCTCATCCTCGTACTCCGGTCGCGTGATAGCGTTAGTTGCAAGTAGCTCATCGATATCATCGAAAACACCTAATTCATAAGCAAGTCCCAATGCGTTACTAAGTAGCATCCAACACATGCGGTCGCTTCTCCACGCAGGTTCAAGCCAACTTTCAATCCTCCGGCCTCCGACGTTCCCACCGAGACGCTGAGTGCCGTCATCGTCACCAAGATCCGGATGTGGCGCATTACGAGAGGGTAGCATAAGTTCGTCGATGGCCTCGTCAGGGGGGAAGTGGAGGGCGCGGGGATGCCACTCGGTCAGGATCATCAACGACTCGATTGTACCCAGCGTACGAAGACTTCCTTTCCTCAGACCCCGCCACGGCGCTGTGCTGGAAGTCTGTGACTCGTCGGCTCCAGACCCGCAGAAACCGCCGCCGAAGGCCTCTTGTCCCCAAAGGCACCTTTCAATCATCCTTCTAAGGTATCTCCATAGTTCTTCGTGGATTGCGTGGGACCTGCAATGCCCGCCCGTGGTCCTGATGCGATAATATCTCGAGGCAATGGTTAAAAGAGTGACAGTCAAGATTGGTTCTTCGGTCAACAAAGTAATATGAGAGGATGGGCTGCGAAAGGTCGGCGGCGAGATGGGCGTCATAGGTGATAGATATTCGTAGTAGCTAGAAGACAGGTTAGTGAAAGAAAAAGAAAAATCCCAGATCGTCGCTGCTGACTTACTATACTATATATTTTACGGCTTCCTCTTTCGTAAACCATCCAGCTCTCACAAATCTGAACCGTGACCAAGCTTCAAGCGCCTCATGGTATCCAGCTTCGCCTTCGACATTTAATCGACGCTCCATATCAGCCACTTCGTCAGTCTTGGTCGATGATTGCAACAGTGGATCGATTAGATCCACTGACTTGGACGCCGCGCGACCAGCTGGACGACCATTGAAATTAGAACTGTGATCTCGCGGTGTCTTGCGCCCAGGAACGGACACGGGCGATGGTTGAACGACAGAGGCGATATTTTCATGGCGCCTGTTCAAGTCATGCGGACTGGTAGTATAATCAGTAATTCGATCGTTTCGGACCATGCTAGTCAGACGAGACGGACTGACGGACCTATCGGTGGCAGCCTTATATAGCAGGTCGAGGGCGTCGTGGGGCCCGTAGACCTCCTTTCTCATGACACTCTGCGCTTCGAGATTCTCCAACTGAGCATTCGAATCTTCGCCAGCGTCCGCATAGCTTGTTCCCCTACTATTCTTCCTTCCGTCCTCGCGATCGGTGTTAGGCCGTCGTAAGGGTTGTGTCCTACCAGTCGAACCACCCGGAGTCAATGGTACACTGCTGTAAGATTTTCTCTCGACAAATGGAGGCGTGTCCTCGGAGTGAGGTCGCTTTCGAGCGTTACGCACGGTATACTCATCCTCTGGCTCGTCGATGTCATCGTCGTTCTTGCGCTTGCGTCGCGTGGCACTGAAAAAACACTCCTTGCTCTCGCGGCGACAGCGCACACAAGGGGGTTCATGAGGGTCATCTACACTTCCCAAGTCGCATCGCACCTTTCTCCTCCGACACGGAATGCAAGCCTGGTATACGCGTTTGTGTTGTGGAGGTTGGGATTGTTGTTGTTGAGACTGCGAATTGGAGAGGGAGTGGGAGTGCGCCGTATTTGCGGGGAGAGATTGGCGAGGCTGCTGAATGGTCGATGACATATTGCCGGCAGGTGCGGCGAGATTCTCATATTGAGACATGGTCTGATCCAGTGGTGCTATCCTTCTGGTCGGCTCGGGCTCCAGTTCCAGCGCCAGCTCCAACTCGAGCTATGACTTCCTGCACACGCATCAACAGAAGGCGAAACACCCGGCGCGCGCCGACCGCTGCTCGGCTTACGACGGGATTTCGAAGTCTTATACGACGAAGGAGGCGAAAGAGCGACAAGTAGTTGGGGTTCCGACGGAGTGGGACAAATCGAATCTATCAATTGGGAGAGTCTATAATAACCCGATCCCTACTTAAGACAGGTCGGCAGACGAGTGAAGTGGGTTTTCTTCGGATTTGCGGGGACCAGAGGCCGAGACAGCTGAGACGAAGATCGATGCTGCTACAGTACGTGAGACAGTATGTATACAGTACATATAAGGTGCTATGGTGGAAGCTACGGACAAGGTTGAGTTATCGCGGGTCAGGTGGTCGCGACCCAGGTCGTAGGTACCTAGTTGGCAGAAGGGTAGAATCGGTAAGATGGGTTGACCAGGTAGTCTAAGTATAAGTGATGACGGATATGGGCGCCACAAATAAGAGGGAGATAATTCGTAAGATCTAGTAGAGTGAATTTCTAACGAGCCTTTCTCGGATTTGACTCTTTGCTCTGATAAGCCGTAGCCTATAGGTAGCCGGTTCTAGTTTGTAATCGGAAAAGAGAACAATGGGATTTAAGAATTGCAGACGTTACGATTGGAGCGGATGATAACCTTGGAACCTTGAGAGGCACCCGCAGTTCCACCCAGTCCACCGTAGTCCGGGGGGTGTTGAGGCAATCAGATACCGCGATTGCTCCTTTGCCAACGAAACCAATGAAATGATGGCGCAGAGTGGGATAACGTAGGATTTGTCTGTAGGATTAATGTAGGTGAGATGTGAAATTGGGGAGTGCGTATTGTATAAGATAACTTTTTATTGTTTTCTAAGTTTCTCCTGACCTTGGAATCGAATTGAGGTACCTTGGGTATGTAGACATGTACATAGGTAGGTAGTTTCTCTTTCCAAGTTTCACCGATTAGTATTCCTGCCAATGGAAGCCGCACTCGTACAGTACCTCTCAGGTTAGGCAGGCGCTGAAATTTAATCAATCGGGAGTCGGTGAAGGTGCTATGCCATTGTATTATGGATGCGTTCAAATATCGAGACCTTCAATGTTCAGCTTTCTTTTAGTAATGCCATAAGTACATATATTCTAAATAACAGCTGAATTTGAAGGTACCTAGGGACTTACGTATTAGCCCAGCCACCTAATGAATTATGTAGTACAGACCATGGCATTGAGCCAACGACGATTGCATTCATGCAATTGATACTAAAAGCGGTAATCCTATGTCACCAATAGAAACCCGATGAGTGGCTCGGCAGAAGCAGGATGACATGATCACGTTACCGTTCTGCGTGACCTACCTATCCCATCACTATCCTTTCACCTTCATTTACACCTAGTTCTTTCCGGGTTCACCTTGAAATGAGGAAAACGCCGTGGTGGCACCTTCCCTCCCCATTCCCCTCCGCTCTCCGCCCTCTCCGCAAGGCCCACTAAATACAGCAACACCTACCTGGTATCCGTGCATAGCGTCCATCAGACGACGATCCTCTTAGCCTCGCTCGTGGCTTGTGATGTCATTTTCAGCTCGACAAGGCGCATGAGGCTTAATACATACAACAATCCCACATGGTATCCATGAAATAGTGAAATTTATAAGCACAACTGACAAGTATGTTTCAATAGGTTCATGTATACTTTGTTATATATCATTAGGTAGGTATAGTATATATTCATTATAAGGCGACTGACCCGATATGAGGTTAAGATCTTTGGTGGGACTTGTATATATTTAGCGTGAAAGGTTATGTATGTATACATTGTAGTTATATTCCAATAAACCAACCAATCGGCCTTCCTCCTTTAGCTACATACATAAGCACGGTATAAAATCCACAAATCACGCGTACATATGGATTTCACGTACAGAGCTAGGCAGGTCGTGTAAGTACCTGTCATTTTGACGCCTCCTTTTTGGATCGTACATATGAGCATCCGATTAAGTTATCCCTTGCGGCTTACCGCATCTCTATGCGCGCATAATGCCTACCACATAATACCTATCAAAAATGGATGTCACAATGTACGGATTCGAGATATCGCACTGCTCTCGTTTCAAAAATCCTTCGATGGCATTCGTCGGGAGACTGACTACAGGGTATCTATCGCGTGGGGCGTTTAAACGCAACCATACGCCAATGTCACCATTGCCACCTGCCTGACACTTAAAAAGAGGTGCCTTGCCTAAACCTTCAACGCCGATGCCAATGCAATGCAACCTAATTCTGCGAAGAGAAGATATGACCAAGAGACTGTCCCCAGTCCGTACGAACGCCAACCATCGAGATCTGTGATCAGTCTAAGAGATAGTCTTAATCTCAACCTATAGCGAATTAGTTGTATATACGAAAGGCCTCAATATAGTGCGCGCGCTTACTAAGAAGTCCCAGATCATCTTGGCCAAACTGTCGGGGAGGGTAAACAAGTCCACGGTGAATTCGCCATTCTCAACATCATTCTTCGTGTAGGTGTCCTCCGTACCGTGATCGTGGATCATCTGGATTACATGAAGAAGATCATCCTCGTTCAGCTTGGTAAGACCGTCGGCCATCTTCTCGAAGTCGTAGGCAGCCTTCTTCTTCTTTAGATCATTGGTCTTGCGAGACTTGGCAGCGGCCTTAGAATCATCGTCGTTGGGAATCGGGCCGGTCTCTCGGAGGATAGACAGGAGAGCCTGAGAAGGATTCTTGAAAGTGACCGATTGTACGACTTCGTATCGAGGGGACTGGAAGTTCAGATCGTGGTAGACGGTAGTCTTACCGCCCTTCTCGGTGGTGAATAGGTCAATGGACATCTCGAACTCGCCCCAGCCCTCATTGGCGCATGTAAATGGTGGGTCCACAAATGCTACAACATCCTTAGTCAGTCATGGGAGTTCGAGAACTCAGAATCGGCTCGCGCACTCAAGGGCAAGCGCGATTCGAAGATGCTTACTCTGATGAGTCTTGTCCTCGAAAGAAGGGTGAAGGTTGTAAGTGACCTTGGTGAAGCAGTTGGCGGGGTGATCGTTACCGGCCTGGTCAAGTACGTAGATCTTCACAGACCATTCCTTCATCGGGAACTCGGGCATTGGTGAAGGCTTCGGACTATTTGGACATAGCAAATTAGCAATTATGTAGAATGGAGTGATACCTATATAGGTAGAGACCAATTGAAGCGGATTGATGGTGTTGCGACTCACATGTTGTGTTGCTCGGTAACGAGCTTGATGCTGCGCTTAAGTTTCATAATCGCGTCAGTATTCCCTCAAAACATTGAACGCCAAAAATAGATGGATATTTCTCTGTCGATAGGAAGGGCGGAGAGGATTTCCAAGATTAAGTAAAAACTCACTTCGACGTGCATTGTGTTCGATTGCGATTGCGATTTCGATCTGGGCTCTGATTGCGGTTGCGATTGCAATTGCTAGAGTATTAGGAGTTAGAAGTTAGAAGTTATACATTTATCAAAAGGTTCAATGTTGGGAAGATGTGGCAAGCGCGATACATACCTCCCCCAGCTGGCAGCTCTTCCTGGTTCTGGGCGCCATCTCGGATAATCTTGGTACCGCTCAAGGCGCTAGTGTGCTAGTGTGTGGAGCTTGACTCGGATTAACATATCTTCCGAGCCCGTGGCACGTGATAATGAAAGGATAAAGATTTGGATTTGAGACTGGTCTGGGGTTTTTATCACGTGCATATCGGACTGATTACGTAGATTTCAGATTAGATAATAGACTAGTACTAATCCAGTATGGTTCCAGAGATACCTAGATACATAGGTACCAAGTACGCGGATACTCTGATAGCTGCGCGCCCACATTACGTACATTCAATGCTGGATGATGGAATATCACCACACAGGTGGAAGGTACTTACATTCGAGGAAAGTACTATGTAGGTATATATTTGATAAATTAGGTACCTAATCTATTTCTCTTAGGACCTACATATTCAAATATTCTTCTCCCCTTCAACATCATCATGTCTCAAGGCGTCGTTGATAGTTCAAAGTACCTCTGCAATCATATACTCGAATCGAATATAACCCTTTCTATCTTAATATTTCCTAAACGCAAATTACAATGATATTGACGTTCCCGGAACAGCCTGCTCTTTCTCGCCTCTACTACCTACGGGGCGGGTTTCGGTGAAAATAGAAGCTATTTGTATACCTAGGTGCCTTTCCAAAGTGCTTTCCAAGAAAGCAATCAGTCCCTATTTAAAACAGTGCGATAAAATAGGTCTAGGAAGCCATCAAGGTCACTCACTAAAGGCCATCATGGAATTCATGGGTTTATAAGACCAACAAGGGACTCTCGGTTCCACCAGTCGGCCTACACCCTTGAAGATAATGACAAGTCAATTAGAGTTAGCGGAAGACGTCGTTGGCGTATAGAGGGCACCGGTTGATATATGTTGGCCGAAGACCGGATAGGTCCGCGTGACGTTGTGTTACAAAGACGAAGTAACACGGCGGACTCGGTGAGGATGATAACGCACCCAGGTCTGCTTCGGTCCTGTATATATCAGATGTTATGCAAGGACGATAGGATCTCGCGAAGTCTATAGGATGCCCTAACATTTCCCGATCCACACGTGTAATACACGAACCTTGAAGAGCCGCAAAGGTTGTGGGGATAAAAAGATGTATGCCGAACTATAAACTCACCGCATCCTTCATTTGCGGTCCATTCCACGTGCTTTGGACCTTAATAATATCTTTACTTCCTAACCAACTCTACAACCTACCAATTCTTCCGGAATCATTAGCTAGCAGACCGAGATCAGAAACACCGATGCAATGGAGAGACAAGGTAAAGAAGCATCAACCACCACCAAGGCCGTGGGCAGCGAGGCTGAGGAGGGGGTATCATCGGGATCTATATCTATGCACGCTGCGGAAGGCCAACGGTTCGATGTGAAGGCGACGAAACGACTGCTGAGAAAAATCGACATCCATATCCTTCCCATCATGTGTCTTATCTGCCTGTTAGTTAGCTCGCAGTATCTCAATGGGGTCAAGAGGGAGGAGAAACGCACCTTTCTCTGCTAACGTATGGATATTAGACTTTGCTTTCTCGATCGTGCAAATATTGGAAATGCCCGGCTAGATAACTTAGAGTCAGATCTTCACCTCGTCGGCCTGCAGTATAATGACTGTCTCGCCATCCTGTTCCCATTCTATGTAATGGCAGAAATACCTAGCAACATCATGATGAAGGTCAGATTGCCGTGGACGGTTTTAACTATAGTCTTCACCATCTTGATTCATGACTTTTCTTTTCGTACGTCGACACCACAATATCCTGGTTGCTGACAAGTCTATATCTAAAGCATACAAAACCATCCACATGGTTAGCATTCATCATGTTCGCTTGGTCTGCTTGCATTATCGGGCAGGGTTTCGTGACGAACTACCAGGGGCTTATGGCTACACGGGCACTCCTTGGGACCTTCGAGGGTGGCTTCTTCCCCGGCATCAACTTCTATATCACCCAATGGTATCCTAGGAACGAGTGTGGTTTGCGTATGGCCATCATCTTCTCGTCTGCGACCATTGCCGGCGCTCTCGGGGGCATTGTGGCGCGCGGCATCGCTGAGATGAGCGGCGTCGGTGGGCTTTCCGCATGGTCCTGGATTTTCATTATTGAGGGCCTCGCGAGCATTGTCGTCTCGGTTCTAGCGTATTGGGCTATTCACGGTTATCCTGCAAGGTGAGAACTAAACGCCATAGCTACAGAATTAAACCAATCTAACAAGATATACTCGTGTATATTAGTGCGCATTTCCTAACCCCGGCCGAGCGGCATGAGGTGGAAAGGCGTCTCATAGCAGACTCGGGCTCTCTCTCCAACGACTTCGACGTCAAGTACATCTGGCAGGCATTCTTGGACTGGAAGATCTACGTCCACATGGTCATCTGCATGGGCGGTTTCTGCGCTGTTTACTCCTTCTCGCTTTTCCTGCCTACCATCATCAAGAACATGGGTTACTCAGCCAACAACGCGCAGCTCATGAGCGCTCCGCCCTACGTCCTCGCTTGCCTTTTCGCCATTACCGGGAGTCGATTGGCCGATCGGTGTCGTCAGCGCGGCGTTTTCCTGCTAGGCTTCCAGCTCGTCGCGATATTGGGACTCGCCATGCTCGCCGCGAGCGTGAACCCAACTATCCAATATGCAGGAACGGTATTTGCCGCCGTCGGTAAGTTGTACCTGTTTGGATAACCAACATGCAAGTGGCCTGAAACGGGAATTGACCTCGCCGGGGAGGCAAATACAGGAATCTACCCCCAGATCCCACTCGGTCTGGCGTGGAACGGTAGCAACATCGGTGGCAGCCTCAAGCGCGCAACTGGAATCGCTATGCAGGTCGCGGGAGGGAACTTGGGGGGAATTATTGCCTCGTATGTCTACCTGGCGAGGGATGCGCCGCGTTACATCGTCGGTCATAGCATCTTGATCGGATCCGTCGGGTCAGTCTGCTGAAACACCTCCTCGTACCAATGCGTGTTCTCTAACTCGTATTCTTGTTACAGACTCGCCTTCATCATGACGCTGTTTATGACGATTTGGTGCCGTGGGGAAAATGCTCGGCGCGATACTATCGCAAGACAAACACTAATAGTGGAGTTGACCGTGGAGCAGAAGATGCAGGAACGGGAACTCGCGGACGGAGTCCCGTGGTTTAGGTATACCATCTGATATCAAGGCAGGTGGGGATATTCTCTATGACAATGGAAACCATTGCTCCAGATATCAACTCGTGAGCTACGTCTGGGTGGTAGGCTAGACATATACCCCCTTCCCACCCGATCAACCATGTAAGGCCTCTCGTAGCCTCTCACGAATCACTATGATACACGCAATAGGATTCCAAGATCGAACACGTTTACGTGATGAATTGCAGCAGTAACACGTTTTGAATAGAGTTAGAAAGTCTCTCCTCATAATGGCCCCAACATCCACCCCAGACCAACACACCATCTGTACCAGACCTAAAGCAACTACCATTCTTTTGCGTCCTGCTCTGAGGGCACGCTGAGAGATTAGCTCGGACGTGTCACTCGCGAAGATCTGACAAAGATTTGCTTCTTTAGTAACGAAGAACGAGAATGCTGGTTGGTCTAACAAGTAACCGATGGAGAAATAGCAACCCGCGCATGCTATGCAGTTATATCCCAGCACTTCCGCTTAAGTCAATACGCCCAGCATGAGCTCATTCCTTTTTGCTACCTAGGTATTTGTGGTGATTTAAAAACGTGGTTTTCGTATACAGAGAATATATGATCAGGCCAATGCGCCCTAAAATCATATAATCCCACCGGGTGGATCGTAGCCAACCCCTCTCGCATTCCCGGCACCCAGACCGGCGCTGCCTGGGGTTTCGGCGTCCGCTTGTGCCGTGTTCGTTTTCCGTAGCATGAACATAGGCTTCTTCCCTTCCTTATCCAATTGCTTAAAAAGGATCAATGGTTTTTCGTGCAGACCCAAACATCGTTCTTGGTCGCCGTAGACGATGTAAAGCGCGTACTGATCCCACGGAGCATTTATCTGGTACTTCTTCAGGGCCGCGGGGAGAACTTTGTAGCAAGGATCATCCATACTGACCCTGAACGACTTAAAGATCTCAACCGAAGCTGAGTTAGAGCCGGGCGTCTCGGGAACGGGGGTTTGCATTCGCCGTGGGGCGACGGGCTTGGAGCCGTAACCGTGCTCGCTTTCCGAGAACGTCGTACGGCTGGACGGTGTCTGGCGGTCGTCGGATCGATAAGAACGGGAGGCAAGGGTGGCACTGCCTAAAGTTGGAGGCGAGGTAGGCGAGGGTATGTTCGGAGAATAACCGGGTGATGTGGCCTGGCCGGAGCCGTTCATGGCGGCTAGATGCGAAGACGACAAGACAGCTCTTTCGGCGGCATTCGCGGGGTCTAGGGTTTGCTCTACCGAAGGCCGCTCATGAGTAGTCTGCAGATGAGTTGGGGATGTGCTCTTGGGATTCGTACCAAGGACGATCTTCTTGGTAGAGTACTGTCGCTTTAGACCACTCGAGGACTGATCTGACGAAGGGGTAGGAGCGGGAGGAGAAACTGTTGAGGCCTCGTAACCATAACCTCCCTGGTTGTTGGATAGGTGAGGCAGAGGCTGCTGCGCGTCCTTAGCGAGGCGCAAAGCCGGTAACATATCTTCGCGCAGCCGCCTGAAGTCTTCGGTCATACGTCGTAAGTCCTGTTCCAAGAAACCCATCCTCTCGTCTCGGAGACGAAGTTGCTCAACCAGGTGCTTAATATCCTTCAGAGTCGCGGTGGCGTACTGAGCTTCGGCGTCGGCGGCTGTATTAAGGGAAAAAGGTAGGTGGGTTAATCGACGGCAACGTTAGGGGGCGCATTACAAGGGGAGGGGCAGGAAAAAATAGACGAACGTACATAGTGGCACATAGTGATCGCTTTCTATAGGAACGTCCTGTGCCTTTTTCACATCATAAACGCTTTTTAGTATTGTCAAGCGATGACCGACACTGGTCACTCCCATAGCCTTGAGGTCATCGTGCAGTAGAGCCACTAAAGCTTCGCCGACGATCTCGTTCTCTGGGACAAGGGGGGGGCTCACGTTAGAACGATGATCATGACGATAGCAACAACAAACAAACAACGAGCGATCGCGAAAACGCACCGATAAATCGATCTGAGTACTGCTGTAACCCAATACTCGCGATGAAATCTGCACATTCCTCGGCATCCCATTCAGATATTATAGTCTCGGGTAATCTGTCGGCGCTGCTGCGGTGGCCGTAGGTAGTAGGCGTGTGTTCGGTAGAGGAACGGCCCTCGGAGTCGGTTGGGGATATTTCAGAATCGGTGGCGAGCACTGGCGAGCTGGTATGAACACTCCTCTCGTACTCGTCGTCGGCGTCGGATTCCGCGTATGCGGTGCCGGAATCGAAGTTCATCGTCGATTTTGCTGGAGGCAGACCAAAGGCCTCTTTCAATCTAAGGTGGGAATAGTTTTGAGATTGTGGCGTTGTCTAGGTTGTGTCGTTCCTTGCGTTTCAGAATGATCTTTTTTCTTTTTCTCTTTTGCTTCTTCCTCTCTCGGTTTCGGTGTCTCTCCTTCTCTTTCACCCCTCCTTTTCGCTCTTCTTTCGATAGGATTGTTCAAAGACAGACGTCCAAGAACAACGAGGGCCCTACAACGGCTTGATTTTCGATAACTAGCTCCCCAGTGACGCTTTCTCTTCGCAGGATATCTCTAGAAAAGCCCACACTAATCGAATTCCGAGTTATCGGGAATAGTATAGATACATGTAAAACGGTATTTCGAATTTAGCGACAACAATGAGCAAAAATGGTTGTTGGACGGACGGAAACGCTGTATAGGGGAAGTGAGCGAGCGTGTGATTTTCGAGGGAGCAAATGGTTAGAGACGAGAGTCGCAGTCGTATTGTAGTTGGGTAATTGTTGTTGTTTGAGCTGGAATTTGGTTGCTAACGATTGATTTGAGCCCTGAAGGTTGCAAAAATGAAAATAAGAGCCTAGAAGCCGGAAGCCAAAACCTACCTAGTAGCACCCAGAACACTGAAGACCTAGGTAGGTGGTACCTACATACATACATGAAAACTTAGCAGCGCTTTGCAAACTGCCCAGTACAGGTGGGACCCGCTTCGCGTTCAACTCAAACTGGAACCTTACCTACTACTAGGTACATATGGAGGTACCTAGTACCTTGGAAAGTCTATCCCTGGTGGAAAGTTCCCAGGTTCCTTACTGGTCCATACTACGCAAAAGCGATTTCAATGTTGCCCTAGCGATCCCCTAACGATGCATATGCATTGGTCCTATTGGCCAGCTGCACTACTTCTGTACCCGTCCCTGCCCGTCCCTGCCCTTCCAAATTGAAACTGCACAGCATAAAGAGGGATACACAGCCCCAAGGCCAGTTGTACATAAACTGCCGGGCGTTTCTGAGGCTACCGTTCATGTACCATAGCGGGCTTGCAGAAGTAGTTAGATACATTGTAGCCGCTGCTTGGCACCCCTTCCTCGCTTTTGCTCTGTGCAGGTGGGAGAACTTCGAACGGACCACCATTTTAAACCAGTGTGGACCTCCAGTGTGGACCTCTTCCAGCCCGCAATTTAAGTGGATCAGCACCCCCCGTTATTGTAATCACCAATTTACGTATATTTGAAGTCTACTTCGTACGTCTGCGCCAGTGCGCGTCTACTTATGTACATATCATTATCGATTATTCACCTTGCCCCCCCCCACCCCCTGCTCGCTGTGACAAGGTCAAAAACTCTCTTTTTGTTGATCAAGATCGGTGCCACTACATGGGTAACTTTCAAGGAAATAAACTTAGGTATCTATCCTTCCTAGATACGTACATACGTACAACGCAAACGAGCTTCGTGGATATATCCTTTGACGGCGCCGGGCCTGTGGGCTATTTTCGATTTACTAACAACCCATTAGACCTTCTCCCAGCATCGGGTCGGCCTAATGTTGCACTCGCTTCTATCAACCCAGCGGCTCGCACCTTTCATCATTCGTCATCTATCAATATTGACCTGCAGTTTTTATGTATTATGGACGAATGATAATATTTATAGGTAGGCGAGAGTTTTGCTCTGATTGGTAAATCATAAAGCTTAGCAATTTAGCGTACAAATCGTACAAACACATTTTTGCTCCATTCAAAGTATTCTGAATTGAATGAACTAAGTACGATGCAACAGTTGGATACGAGTTCCTGGGCGAAACAAACGTGTTCCCAATGCCTACCAAACCATGTATCACCTACATAGCGGGTGGTAGCATTGATTACACACATCAGCTACGACACGTACATAGTAGCGAACGTATTTGTATTTCTATTTGAACATGATTAAGACCTTGTCTACAGGAGACAGGCTGAAGGTCATTGTCGACCCAAGGCCAATTGACAAGGCCGGCAATACAATAAGTACAGCGTCGGGGTATCTCACTATAGAAGTTGTTGCGCCTCGCTCGTCCTTTTGACATACCAGCCGGCGTGAAGAAGTGAACCAAGGTTTATCTGTAAAGCGAGCGCGGGCAAACCCCACACCCCGATTCCACAGCCCATTACCGGCCCGCGGCCGTCTATTACCAACACAACTCCGAGGCGCCCTAGTTTGACAGACGTGTTCCCGTACCTTGATAAAAACGCCTTGATGCACGTCCGTCGATCGCGGAGCGGCAGATTAGATACTCTACCGTAACCTGACCTTAGCATCTTCTGCGCCGCGGGCGATGACCTCTTCGAGTGACCACCGTGGTGGCTCGATGACGCCTTCCAGCCCACTAGCTTTACGCCACGCCTTTTCATTCTCCGGGGCAACACCATCCGGTAGAGGCTTCAGACCCCCTGCGACACCGGTGGAGAACTTGAGTTGCAGGATATCTCCGACTTCATCACAGGCAGCTAGAAGACGGTCCATGTCATCTTTGTTGTGGGCAGCTGAGACACAAAACCGGGCACGGGAACTGATCAAAGGCGTTGCAGGATATCCAACAACGACAACCGAAATATTACGCTTGAGCATTTCATGACTGAAGGCAGATATCTTGGCTGGGTTGTACAGAGCGACAGGGATGATAGGCGAATCATCATGGCCATAGACGATCAAACCGAGACGCTTCAAGCCGAGACGAAGATACCTAGAGTTGAAAGCAATGCGCTGTAGCCGCTCTTCGCCTTGACCAGGTACCAGCTCGCCGGAGATGATCTTTAACGATGCCATGATTTGCATCAGGACAGCAGGAGTCGGTGATTCACCCAACATAGTAGCAGCGTTCGAGCTCCGAAGTTTGTCGATGATATGCTTGTCAGCGGCAACATAACCACCATTAGCACCGAAGGATTTTGTCAAGGTGCCCATCAAGATGTCCACCCTGCTGGGATCAATGCCAAAGTAGTCACAAACGCCACGGCCCCTGGCACCAAGAGCACCGATACTGTGGGCTTCGTCAACGTATAGGGCGAACTTGTACCTATCTTTGAGGGCTAGGACACCGGGTAAATCGCACATAGTACCTTCCATGGAGTATAATCCCTCAATGGCAACCAGAATCTTCTTCCAAGGGCGGTGGGTTCGAGGCTGGCCTTGGGCGATGGCTTCACGTAACCGTCTCTCTAGATCGGCCATGTCGTTATGACCAAATGAGCGAATGACAGCTCCAGAAAGACGGGCTCCTAGTCGGATTGAGGCATGATTCAGCTCGTCAGAAAGAATAAGGCAACCCTTGGAGACAAGTGCAGGAAATGAGCTGGCATTCGTAACAAAACCCATCGAGAACACCATGGCATCGGGCTTCCCGACAAAGGATGCGACCTCTTTCTCAACTTCACAGACGAGATCCGAAGTACCCGAATCGGCGCGTGGGCTACAGAAACTGAGACCGTATCTCTTGACGCATTCCTCAACGGCATTAGCACAAGGACCTTCAGACTGTGCAAATCCGAGGTAATTGTATGAGCTCATGTTTAACGTCTCCGTTGTTCCACCAACATACTTGTATGTTTCATTGAAGTCGTACGAGACACGGTTCAAGAGGTTGATATATCGGCCTGGAACGCCAGTACTTGTTCTTGCAAAGCAATCGTCGATACGCATCTTGAGTCTCCTGGTGTAAAAGTTATCGAAATCGTCGTTCAAAGGGGCGTAACCATCGTTTGCGCGGATGGTCTTATACGTCGGCTTTTTACTGAATCTTTTTCCGAAAAAGTCCCTTATGTGGCCGAGAGCAAGAAGAAGTAGATAGCTGATATAGGTAGTCAGGACATAGTAGTAAGGCGGCTCATCAATGACAGGGGTCTCGAGAGGTTCTCCTTGATGCTTGCTCACGTAGCGGTGGCTTGGATGAACCAACGGGCCGAACTGAGCGTCGAATCGCTTCTGACGTGAAATTTCGGTTGAATCGGGTGGCTGGAATAAGGTGGTGGGCGGCTCATCGTTATGAGGCTCGCCGCCGGTGGCCGTAGAAAGTGAAATAGAGGGCAATGACAGGCTAGAGGTAGTGATAGGAGGACTGGAATTGTTTTGCATGGCCATTAGGGCTTGCTGAGCGGTGGGCTGGTTGGTCTTCGCGGACGGAGAGAAAAATGAGCTGAGGCGATTTCCTCTGGATTGCGAGGGTCTCCTCTCGCCAGACCTCTCAGAGTGCGGCATGCTTGTGGAATTGGTAAAAGGAATTGAGATACGTCGTGGCATTTCTATAGGTAATGGAAATCGGTAACGGAAGGCTATATATTATGGCGGTCTTAGGAGATCAAGATTCACAAGAGCGCCGGAGACTGAGGTTTTTCGCAAATCTAGAATAAGGTCAATTACCAGCCATGGGATTATTAGGTTCGCTCAAGTTGAGAGTTGGTATTTGAAGAAAGGAGAAGACCTGAGGGATGAGAGTTCAAGGAATAGGCAGTCGGGGAATGGAGAACATGATAGTGGTAGATTTTAATGAATCAATGATAGCAATACCAAGGAATATTTCAACCAGAGCTGGCCCTTCTGCGACTTTCGTACGATAATCACATGGCTTTATAAAAAAGGGTTGAAGGGGCAGCTCAGTTTCGACATTTCCCAGCCACGGAAACACGGAAAGTGTGGCGCCACCGAAGTAGACAATAAAGAACCGATGAATTCGTTTGTGCGAACAATAGAATAACAATGCGCGACCAAGTTCGCCTATTCGCAATGACATTCGAATGAATTGAATAATAGACAAACTTACCTTGCTAATTCCCTAATCCCCTAGTATTTACTTCGTACACACGTAGTCTTTTAAGCTGTTGCGTCTTGTCTATCGATCCACGGGTGAGCCGGTCGGGGAAGCTCGAAGCTATGTAATACCTTGAGCTGCTGAGCTCAAATGAGGGAGCGAGGTTCAATTGGCCGATGGCTGATATCGAGAAAATCAAGGAGCGTGGTTTTATGGAAAAGAGGATTTTCGTCGATAACAACACAACGTCGACAACTGCCCTCGACACCAACAGCACCTCGAAGTTGACAAGGAAGAGAGGTGCACGATGTTAAAAAGGAGAGACAAAGTGAGAAGAGATAAAATGAAAATTAGCAATCCTATTGATGGGGAAGAGTTTCAAGAGGTGGATCTAGCTTAATGAACATGTCTTGTACCTTCGTACATATTACACAATTATAATGTAGAATACTGTACATTGGCTTCTAGGACCGTCCAAGCCACCGTGTTATGCAAGAGTTTCGGGGCGCTTAGGCACACCTATGTACGAAGGCCAATGATGGATAAAATTAAGAAAGGATATGTGGGTCTATCCGTTTTCCCCTTAATAATGTACGGTTGTAAACTGACAATGCTAAAAATTGGAAGTAGCGTCAGGCCGCACTTTCCGTCCATACCACCACCTCTCTCTTTTTTTCTCTTTCCGAACGATCCGTCACTTGCTCCACACTGTCCAAATTATGGGGCAGCTAATCCTAGACCTCCTTTACAGGTACCGTAGCTAGGTAGGTACGTAACTAATATACATCCATATGTAGTATGGAGGCATTTCGCGTTTTGTTAACGCCCCGTTTCAGCGAGTTGCGCCTTCGCGATTCCCCATCACTCAACTATTCCTGACTATCAACCCTTAAAAGTTATCTAGCTCGAGATTACAAATTTGCATTGAGGCTAGCTAAACTTCAAGATCGTATTCTCTTACCCAATAATTATAGAAATTTGAACGTGTGAGCATTTTGGTGGCTTTTTCATCTCGAATATGGCATACGCGCATTACAAGGCAATAGAAATCATCACCAGTCGCGAAATTACTTCTGATGGTTCCCTCATTCTGAACCACGCCATTAACCCCTGGCGGGGGGCCTCAAATTGGTTTTATGACCATGTTACGGAGTAATGGTGAAAGCCGGTATTTGAAGGATCGATTGATCCATTCTTTTTTCATAAAATGCTTTATCCACTGTACCTAATTGCTGGAATACTACCCCGGTGCACGATCGCTGTCAAGGACCATTTCCTCACGTATCTACCTACATACAAGTACACAGGTATGTAGTATATAATTTATGAAATTCGAACCCACAGGTAACTCTCTTTTATGACATATCTCTTTGATTTACGCCAGGTGTACATAGACGTCCCAGCCCTATCGTAAGTTAAAGCTTATTTTCGATAAGACCTTCAATAGGCGGGAATTGGTGACTTCTATATACAAGTTCATAATCATAATTTGGAAGCTTAAGTTCACATGTAGATCCTCAGTGAATGCTCTCCGAGTTACACGTGCTCATTAGCCACAGTTGACATAAAACTTACCTGCACTACATAGTACAATAAGTAAGTACACACTTAGGTCCTCGGTTCCCCTTCGGAACAAAAACTGGCGTCTACATTTGAACAATTAACTATCGTGAGCTCAACAATAAACTCACCAACTAGTAGGTAGCGTTCAGCCACACTAAGCGTTTGATCTTACTCAGATATTTTGCCTATTTCTTTTCAGTTGGTTCCCACCTGTTTGTAATTCCAATTCGAACTTGTTTCTTTAAAAACAAAGATATCTGTATATTCACTATGACTGTTGATCACAAATCTGCGCCGGCCGAGTTGTGGAGGCATCCGAACCCTTCCTCAACTCGGATGTACAAGTTTCTAGAGCATGTGAGGTCTAAGTATAACATTGACATCAAGGACTACCCAGACTTATATCAATGGTCTATTGAGAACATCTCGGACTTCTGGGAAGAAGTATGGCATTTCTGCGGCATCAAAGCGTCCAAACCTTACTCTTGCGTATGTATTCTCAGCTATTTGGATATTTCCCTTATATAGAATGCGTACCTCGTTCTCGTTATCTTGGTATAAACATACCTAAGTACATGTATATATATTTCCAACCTCTAGCTCGATATGACTAACATGCCACTCATATCTAGGTCTTACCAGAGAATGTGTCTATGTTCCCTAGGCCGGATTTCTTCTCGGGGGCCCGCTTAAATTTCGCGGAGAACATCCTGTTCCCGGAGAAAGCAGACGTTACAGAATCTTCAGTAGCTCTTATAACCGCCACTGAAGTTGAAGGACAACTCGTTTCGACGACATGGGCCGAGCTACGGGAGGCAGTTCGCCAATGCTCCAATGCCCTAAGGGCCGTCGGTCTGAAACCCAGAGACGTAGTTGCTGGGTTTGTCTCCAATCACATGCAGGCCCTCGTGGCAATGCTATCAGCAACCGCGATTGGAGCCGTATGGACAGGAATCAGTCCTGATAATGGCGTGAGTGCCGTACTGGATAGATTGGTTCAGATTGAACCCAGAATACTCTTTGCGGATAACGGCTCCGTTTATAATGGTAAATCGTGGTCTAGCATAGATAAGACATCGAAAATCGTCGATGAGCTCAAGTCTAAAGGCCTAGAACTTGTCGTCGTGATAAGTAACACCCCAGATTCCGGCTTAGGACTGGATAGTTTAGGCACGAAAGGGGTTGTGGCCAAGGAGTATGAAAGCTTTTTGAAGAGGTATCCATATACACAAAAAAACAGGATATTCACGCAAACAGATCGGAACTAACATAGTGTAGTGGTGATGACACCCCTCTAAGATTTGAACAACTCCCGCCGTCTCACCCGCTATATGTCCTGTACTCCAGCGGCACGACCGGCCTTCCGAAGGCCATAGTTCACACGGCAATAGGCACGCTGATTCAACATAAAAAGGAGCACTTTCTTCACTGCTCGATGGACTCAGCTTCAAGAATGCTCTACTATACCACTACGTCCTGGATGATGTGGCATTGGAGCATATCGGCTCTTGCTTGCGGCACCACTTTGATTCTATATTCCGGCTCGCCCTTCAAACCACACGGGTTCCTTTCGCTTCCCAAGCTCCTCTCCTCGTTACGAGTAACTCACTTCGGCACCTCGGCCGCTTATCTCACAGCACTAGAAACTAATGGCATCTATCCTGCTCAGTCGCTTGATCTTTCACCTCTACAAGCAATCTACTCTACAGCCTCGCCCTTGCCACCCTCGACTTTCTCTTTTGTCTATGAGGCATTTCCTGCTCATATCAACCTAGCTTCTATTACTGGTGGGACAGATATAATTTCTTTGTTCGGGGCTCCGTGTCCCTTGCTTCCTGTCTATGTTGGCGAGATTCAGTGTGCAGGCCTCGGGATGGCGATTGGCGTCGTGGACTCTATTAGCGGCACTCCGACACCCGGCGAAGACGGGGAATTGGTGTGTACGAAACCGTTCCCTTGCCAACCTCTAACCTTCTGGGGGGCCAATGGCGAAGCCAAGTATCGTGCTAGTTATTTTGAACGTTTCGATGGCATATGGCATCACGGCGACTTTGTACGGATCGACACACACACGGGTGGCTTGACTATGTTGGGACGTAGCGATGGCGTCCTCAAACCAGCAGGCGTGAGATTCGGCAGTGCAGAGATATATAACGTGCTGACGAAGTTCTTCGGAAGCGAAGTCGAAGATGCGGTCTGCGTTGGCCGAAGACGAGAAACGGATCGCGATGAGACGGTCTGCTTGTTCGTCCTCATGGCCGAGGGGAAGAAATTCTCCCCTGAGCTCCGCGAGAGGATCACGAGTGCCATTCGGAAGGAACTAAGCCCACGACATGTTCCTACTGTGGTAGAAGAGTGCGGAGGGGGTATTCCAAAAACTGGAAACGGGAAGAAGTACGTCTACGCTACTCGGTCAATCCTAAGTTATAACTAATGACGTGTCAGGATCGAGGTCGCAGTCAAACAGATCCTATCCGGCATCAATATCAAGACGAATGCCAGCGTTGCAAATCCCGAATCTCTAGTTTGGTTCAAAGAATGGGCAGCCACGCACGAGTAAGGCCGTATAGAGCGAGGTCACGAGAGAAGATAAAGAATTGGCACCTAGTACTTCATCAGCGATAGAGATTTCCCAAGTTGGCAATAGAGCTAAGTTGACTGGGTTGTTTCTTAGATTAACTAGGGAGCCTTTAAGTACCTATGCCTATCAAGTGAATATACAGACCATGCAAAGTATCAAGGGGTAGCTAACAGGAGAAGATGGGGTAGGACAGGGGATGTGTACTCACTAAGAGCCATCCCCTACACTTCCATGTCAACTATCATCCCCCATAGTAAGAGTGCTTATACGCTCACCACATAACCCCCCTTAGCCTCTCTCTTTCATCATCTCCCGCAAAGATGACATCGATGCCTTTTCTTGCCAGCCCTAGTATTTCCTCTCGTTGTAGATTGAAATGCTTCTGGATAAGTCTCCACTCGTTTGATAGGGGACTACCGAAGACGCCCACGTCGTCAGTCTAATATCCCATTAATACAATGCCTATAAGGAGATGTGTGTGTGTGTGTGTGTGTGTGTGAATTCGAGAGTATTTCAACTTACACATGGAACGACAATAGGACCATCGACACGCCACCATTCTCCGAAGTGATGAGCCTCGAAGCTGCCGACGATCATCTTCGCGTGAACGTTGCAGCTAAGGCACAGCTCTAATCCAATGCCGCTTAGTTCCGCGATTTGCCGTTTGACGGTCTCCGGCACGTGTATTACATGACCAAGACGATCCGGCATCCAGCTCATGATCGTGCTCAGCTCGGCCTCGCTAGCACTAGCCTCGGCCTCGGCGAAGTGGATCGTCGTCTTCAGCCCAGCCGCCTTGGCTTCCTCGAGGACGGGCGTGAACAGGGAGACGTCCCCCTTAGTCGGATCACCGCAGAGGTCGACAGCTACGACTCCCCGATCTCGGAAGAGCTTTGCTAACGCGACAACCTCGCCTGCTTCATCGAGGGTATTGCGCCGATCAATGGATAGGATTAGGCGCGTGTGTAACATCGGCGCTTCCTCCTGCGCATCCTCAATCGCTCGCAGCACAGCCCCGACGTAGCCTGCCTTATCTAGACCGGCAAGAGGCATCGCCCGCGGCGTCGTCCTTAGCTCGAGGTACACGACTCCGTCGCGTGCGAAGTCCCTAATTACGGATTTGGTGGAGTGCTCTAGGGAGCCAGCATCGTTGACGAGGTTATATATATACGAGGAGAACAGGGGAAAGAAGCTGTGAAATTGTGATCTCAGATTTTTAGTTTCTTTTTTCCCTAGTTCTTCTTAAGTTGCAAACACACACACGCACATATATATATGTGAAATAATTCTTACTGGCCGAAGGAAACTTCTTACGTCTTGAGGTCATAGTCATGTCTACCCGGGGGCATCACAAGTAAGGGGTCTTCGAGATCGGTCTTCCCGGCCGCCTTCTTCACTTCCCAGATTTCGTGCAGACATTGTCGACTGATGCTTCCGGTCAAATGGGCGTGGAGCTATGAATTTGGAAGATACAGGTTAGTAGAGTTGAGTCAAACGGCAGGGTTCGAACCACCAGCGACCCGAATTGTCGGTAGGGCATCCATCCGTCTATAGTACGTAGGGATAAAATAGACATGTCATAATTCGTAACGTTGATATATAGTTACCTCAATTTTAGGCATGGATACAAAGTCTAATCCACGTTCCAGCATCATGATTTTGTCCGGAGTCGGAGGATAGTAACCAATCTGAAGTTCGGGGGTTTGTTCATATGTTTGTTTGCCTGAGAAGTTATCTTTGGGAGTATTCAGGGTTGGAAGTGAAAGTGTTGAAATCGCTGCGACCAAGCTAGGCTCTATCCATGAGCCTAGCTATGTACTTTACCAACACGCCATACTCCTTAGCACCGAGGTAACTTACTAAATTTATAAACTCATGATAAATACTACGACGAGAGTTTTATAATGATAATAATAATGATAATAATATCCTGAGCAGTCTTTTTCACGACTGATTTAGCAGCACATATTCGAGACGGGCGTATAGGTATTAGATTGGTTGAGGAATAGGCGGTATCAAAACCTAACCAGCCGAAATAAACCGTACCAGGTTCTTCGTCGGTGCTTCCAGTAAATCTTCGAGAAATTCTATCTGCATAACGTCAGATCTCCCCGGCCGATCACGGCATAATACCTACATACTCAAGCAACTGATTACTCTACCAGTCTACCAACGCAAGGGAGATGATACGTCTATAAAGGACCTAGGATATTGATGTCTAAACGTTGAATACGTCTAGCTATAAGAACAATTCTCTAAGGCCCGAGCTTTATTTAAATCCCACTATTCACGCAGTAGATTCTTCAGCGGAGCCGGAAGAAGCAACCGGGTCGTTCTTAGTTTCTAGCACTAGGTAGTATGCAATGTAATAGGTAGCTTCTCTCAACTTTGCTGCTGGGAAACTGGGTTGCACTTATTGTAATGGTACGTAGAATGAGAGCTGCGTAGATAGCTAGGAAGCCGGGAGAGTGGAGGATCCATCATCGGGTCCGATGCTTGTGAGTTCAGTACATGTACCTTGCATAGGCGAGGATTGAGAGCGTCCCATTAATGAAAGACTGCCAGGGTTAACGCGGTTAGGGCACCACTCAGTGTCAATTTTGGTACTGTATCCGCATCGTAGGACCCTAATAAGGTATGGTTCGTGTCTGTAGTAGCGGAGACTTGTTTTTGGCCATCCCATTTTTGTAAGGATATCTTAATTGCACATATTGAATAGCCTGTACTTATTACGCTGTACTATGTAGTTACCCTTGACATAATACTGTTCTTGTTGTTCTGTAAATAATGAATGAGACAAGTGTAATACCAGGTGAAGAACAAGAATCATTGTGTTATTATATGGTCCGATTTCAGGTTGAAGAACAACCCTTGGCCCTTAGAGATTCATCCTGGATGGTTATCCTCAGCCCTGTATACTATGTACCTGTGTATGCATATTATGGTGGTTGGCTTTAGCTTCCGGGCTTCGTCGGCTGTGCCGCTAAAGTAGAATTAGAGACGAGGAGGCTAATCTAATGAGCTTGGATATGTCGATGGCGTTGACGCTGTTAGAAAACCCAACCCATATCACTTGCTAGTCGTCTCTGGCATAACCACGAAACAGCTTGTTTTCGACCAGTCAGCTGTCGTGGGAATATTTTGAACACAAAGAAAGTCTCCGGTAGGTCTATGTACGCGACTAGTTTTGAGGCTTCTCGCTTCTCGCTTCTCGCTGTCTCGTAGGCTCTAGGACCTGTCGACGCGAAGAATTTGCAGAGGCACTGTGATTTTGTACTGTGTTCTCCCGCCCAAGCTTCTCCTATCCACACAAGCTTCCTCAAATTTCTTGGCACTCTAGCCCTGTCGAGTTTTAGTTTTTTTCTTCTTTCCTTAAAAAAAGAGGGGGGATGGTTGGGTTGGAGACGAATTAGGATCGATGAGATTAATGAGCAAGGATAAGCATTTAAAACATTTAACAAGAAACGCAACAAGGTCGTTTCTATACCTACCTACATATAGCATTCATAATTATTGATGGCCAAAGGCTGTTAACAAGTCTCTTGTTTATGACGAAAGTAATCTATATATCTCGTATGTGGCATGAATTGGTGGTGACGCACATAGGAACAGTCAATTGGATTAAAATCACAGATAATTCATTCAACAGAACTAACCCAAACTACGTAAAACCAAAAGTTACTAGCGCAGTGCCATTACATATGCAAGTACTATAGTAGAGTTTTATGACTTGTATCATTACTTATTAAGGAGGTATCCGCGAACCTTCACATATGCTGCGTAATACATGCGACAGTGAAAAGGGGTACCTCATTAGTCCTATCGCTCCCCTTTAGCTCCCGTGCAGCTAAATTGCAGATAAAAGTCTAATCGTACGGCTTAACTCTTGCTGGTGTCAAGGCGCTCCATATGTACATAGGTAGGTATATGTATATATAAGGATAGCTATCGAATGTCGTACACTTATATTGTAGGTAGCTTGAGTGTTGTAAAGAAAACATGCACATATGAATTTCGTGATTATGTGTCGCTTACCGCATCGCATATAACCTATGCACTGTGTCGTTATTATTTTAAATTTGCATTGAAGAGCATGGCATTAGGTAAGAATACCTACGTAGTAAATGAACTGATTACATTGAAGCAATTTTTATCATAATGTTGTTGTGATTTGGACTTGTTCGGTGGTTGAAGAAAAAAGAACTTCCAACTTACATGGATGTACGTACCACCTACATAGTAAAAGGAGGTCGAGCGTACCTACCTAGATTTGGGATAGATGTTTGTTCGGGCGGTTGATCTGCATTCGTTTGTGTTGTACCTATACAGACACTGGAAACTCTTCATTAATATATGTATTATGGTAAGATTAGGTGGAATTTTAGTACATCGTTACTAAAACATGGTACTTCCTTGAGTATGGCATCCCATGTACCTTCCTACTACTAGATAATGTACCGTTTTACCTTACATATCAGTGAGCATGGATGTATGTGTGTACATAGTACATGTGCAAATACCAATGAACCCAGCTCACATGCACTTGCCTTCAATCATCTCTCTTCTTGTTACCTCGCTCCATTAGCTACAAGGTACTTACTCCTTCCAAATTGCTAGGCCAGGTAGTTCCTCTTGTCTTAGTTATTATTTCAATTCTGACATCTTGTTAGTCTTCCTTTTCCCACCTCACACTTACACTACCATACCACTACTATTACCACCACAACCGCCGCCATCACTTACCGCTACTAGCTAACTAATCAACTTCGGGGGGCAGTTATTTGTCCCTTAAGCTGCCTTCTATTCTGATATCCGCACTTTTCCATCATCGCGCCCTGACAGTAAACCCGTCTTCAATCTTTTTTTTCCTGCGTGCGATTTCTCTCTCCCGTTCATCTCCAAATCCTCTCCGAGTCTGGCCTAGCTGGGGCTTTATTTTATTTTATATTTTATTTTTCTTACTCTGTAATCCATCTTAATACTAGGCATTGGTCGCTGGTCAGAGCACACCCCCAGCCAGGCCCCCTGGAGCTTGTATTCTCCATCTTCCCTCCTCACCCTTACCCCGAGTTGAGCCAACCTCACAACTTTTTCTCTCTCTTATTTTTTACCCTTTCGGTGTCCTCTCCGCCATTCGCGAATCCAAATCAACACCGTCCACACCGCCCGACGACGCCCGTCGCCCATCACCGTCATCCAATTCTTCCGCTGTTCCTCGGTTCTCTCGCTGACACATTTCCATCGCCGTCATGGACTCTCAACGGCCGAACGATGTGTCGCCCGAGGCCATGCAGGCGCGCATTCAACAGGCGCGACGCGAGGCTGAGAACCTAAAAGATAGGATCAAGCGAAAGAAGGATGAGCTGGCCGACACTACTCGTAAGTCACTTAGATGCTCTACCAATTGAGTGGCCTTTTTATTTGGCCCTGATGTTCGCGTCGTTCTAACCTTTTATGTTCGTCGCTTCTAGTCCGCGCCGTTGCGCAGCAATCCCACGAATCAATTCCTAGGAACCAATTAATGAAGACGAAGAGGACGCTCAAGGGACATCTGGCAAAAATCTACGCCATGCACTGGTCAACTGACCGAAGACACCTGGTATCCGCTTCGCAAGATGGAAAGTTGATTATTTGGGATGCCTACACGACGAACAAGGTCCACGCCATCCCTCTGAGATCCTCCTGGGTCATGACCTGCGCTTACGCCCCGAGCGGTAACTACGTCGCCTGCGGTGGTCTGGATAATATCTGTTCTATTTATAACCTCAACCAAAACCGAGACGGCCCGACACGCGTTGCCCGCGAACTATCTGGCCATGCCGGTTACTTGTCTTGCTGCCGATTCATCAACGACCGGAGCATCTTGACCTCGTCCGGTGATATGACATGTATGAAGTGGGATATCGAGACCGGTACTAAGGTTATGGAGTTTGCCGACCACCTTGGCGACGTAATGAGCATCAGCTTAAATCCTACTAACCAGAACACATTCATATCTGGAGCCTGCGATGCTTTTGCTAAGCTTTGGGATATCCGTGCCGGCAAGGCTGTGCAGACATTCGCCGGCCATGAGTCAGATATCAACGCCATCCAGTTCTTCCCGGATGGGCATTCTTTTGTCACCGGTTCCGATGATGCGACGTGTAGGCTATTCGATATCCGGGCAGACAGAGAGCTCAATCTCTACGGCGTAAGTAGATAAAACTGAGATATACGTTTTTATGTATTTGACGCTGACATTGGGACTATAGTCGGAATCTATTCTATGTGGTATCACATCCGTGGCCACTTCTGTATCGGGTCGCCTGCTGTTCGCTGGGTACGATGACTTCGAGTGCAAGGTACAACAATACTGGTCTACTCGAATCGAACTTTGTCGACTAACACTTCATAGGTATGGGACGTTACGAGAGGTGAGAAAGTCGGGTCACTTGTGGGCCATGAGAACCGTGTCAGCTGTTTGGGTGTTAGCAACGATGGCATCAGCTTGTGCACAGGTTCTTGGGACTCGGTGGTAAGTTTTGGTCGTTGTAATCATAATCTAGCTCCCATTATACTGACAAGTTGCAGCTCAAAATCTGGGCGTATTAGATGTAGACGATGGTCTACAACACCGATATCGAGACTCCTTACCCGAATCGTTGGTGCTATTGTCATCTTTCGTCGAATGAATATTTGAAACTAATTTCAACCTAATACGCATTTTTTTTTTGGAATCGTCATGATTCGGTGCTGTTAGGACGAAGTCACGACAGCCTTTCTCAGCACCTATTTTTCCTTACTGGCCTACGTTATACTTGATTCCCACCCAACGACTGTTTGCTGCCGCCGACCAAGGAGCCATAGGAGTGTATAGTCCCCCGGTCTTGTCCGCCCTTCGATACCAGAATAATATCATGTTTCTATGCCTGTCTTCCATCTGTCGGCTATTCGGTTAATTTACCGCCCTGGACTCCGACGACGACGACGCTGCTGCTGTCGAACACATGGCTCGGTCTAGCCTCTGCTCCTCGAAATGTGGACGTTGGGGCCCTAATGTCCTGTCGGCCAAAGATGGGATCTAATAGATGGGTTTTTCTTTTAATCCTCGGCCTTTGCTTCCTTGTGGTTTAGTTTAAAAAATTATGGCAACTCGATACACGGATGCAGTCTTCCCCCTTTTTATGGGGATATGTTGATACGAAAAGGCTTTTCACCCGGAAAAAACAACTATTGCGCGTCTACTTGATTCCTTTTGCTGCCTTTATTTGCCACAACCTGATCTCTATGATGGAGTAGAGGTATTGATTGATATTTTTTTTGTGGATAAAGGGCAAAATCACTTGAGGATGGTGGCCTACTTTTTCAGTCTGGCGGAAGAGAGAGATTAACCCCAATATTTAGGCTTTGGTGATGGCCGGGGTCATCCCGCAAGTGTTTCCTAGAGATCGTCCCTCGTGTCGGCGTGCACCTCCGAACATAGGGGGGTCAAGTCGGCTAGAAGCAGTTGAAGTAGGGGCAGGAGGAAACACGTTCGCATCCGGCATCATACCGGCCCTTCACTTACTGTCTGTACCATAGTCATGTCATATTGAACGCTGAAACCATTCAAACTAATGAGTTGTCTGCCGTACTTTGATTTTCGTGACGAGTTCGGTTCAATGGTTACCAAATATTCCTTAAGAGAGACTAGACTTTTCTTTCTTTTTCGTATATTTATTCTACGAACCAGGTAAGCGGCCTGTATGGCTTCTAGGCTTCAGGCAAAAGGCATAGTGCTTCGATTGGCACGGGAGCCTCGACGAAGTATCTAGTTACAGCTATTCTGGTACCATCGACTTAGCATTTGCTCCAGACATGCCTTATTCGGTTTATTCTATCGTGTTGGCTTATCGATATTAGTATCCGGGTGGTAACTGGTCTTGTGTCGGCGGGTTGTATCATGAATTTCATTGCTGTTCATAGTTGATTAATCCTTCTCTTAAAGCAAACCCTCCTAAGCTGATAGATCATGTACAATCTACTGGGTTGTTCATTGTCAAGAAGTAAAGTATTCTCATCATTGCCAGGGCAGTGTTATCTGGCATGTATTCTTATCCAATGACGAGTGACTTTATAGCCATCATAATTGTTATATCCACTACTAGTTTCCTTCATGTATCCACCAATACTTAGAAATTCTCTTACATTAGGTAGTCCTTTTCCGTCCGGCTTCTTTGTGATACAAATACGTCAATTCTTAGATCCGTGAGATTCGATCTTATGCAGGCTTGGTGACGTAAATGGATGTTTATCCAAAGACAGGCAGATTAGTTGGTCAAGCCATATATAGAATAAATAGGCTTTTCATGAGAGCACTCACTGAAGTAGACAGTAGGAACACAATATTGCCCCGGGATACTATAATATGAGTGTTCCTACATGAATATATGACCACCGAAGCAACCATACTCATCCCAGTCACGCAATTCTCAATAGCATCACCAACGCAGTTATAGATGAAGCTATAAACACCAATTCGTGTGCTAGGTCATCATTGTATGCAAGATATTGGGCCTACTCTAGTCGTGACTATCTATTTCCCTTCCGTCAGACTTCGAAATGTAGTGAATATGCACTAGCACCCCGTGACAAACGGGTAGGTCATATATCAATTGTATGGGCTGACGCTAGTCATCCTGTAGCTGACGATCGAGATGAACTACAATCCATAAGAATTCCACCAAGTATAGCCATACGTATGTGTATTAGACCATGCTTCTGTATCTTGTCTCTTGAACTATGAACTTGCACATAGCAAGGAGTACCCTAGACTGAGTGGGTTATGAATAATTCACCAAAACCTCACTTATAACACCTCATAGTTTAACTGGGTCGTATGGAAGCCATAATTTTACAGTCAAAGGGCATGTTCCCGGGACTAGGTTTAGATATATTTTGACACAACACCAGTCTATCGTTGTGTTTTAGTGGTAGTATAAGTTTCGAAGAATCCATGGATGTTTGATAGGATAAGATCTGTGGCCTATATATAATTATCAACGTTATTCTTTGTTTTGCTTGACTCGGAGAGAAGACAAAAATAATCTTTATATAGAAAGCGACGATTCTTCTAAGCTAGTCTCGTGTTGTTTGGTCATAAATATGTTATATACAAAGTCGGCTATCCCGAAGTGAACGGAATTGGAGTTATTTTTAGGTCAGGAAGGCTCCGAGGCAGGTTCCCCTTTTCGTTCCACATCCCGGTTGTCGCCCCCAACTAGTTGTTTATTGCGTCTCATGCCATATCTGTATGCCACAGAAGTTCTGGAAGATTTCCATAAACGTATGGCTGGAAGGGGCCCGATAATATTCCCCGGGGGAACTTGTAGTTTTCTTATTTGGGTATTTGACCTTCCTCTTTGAAGCTGCTTAAGAGTAAGTATTTATTTAGACAAGTTACCCAGGTATAGAAGCAAAGCCGTGAATGAAAATAGTAGACTGTTCCTGCACCTAGGACTAGCCTTGCAACATCATAATACATAAACTCGTATGTGATAGTTCCCAATTTCTCTCCGTCTTCCCAGGTGGGAAAACAAGATAGGCCGTCATCATGTCGGTTTTTATTATTAGAACAGATCAGGACTGATGATACGGCACGACGTGTTCGTACGCCAACATCTCCTATGCCACACTTGACCAGTCAGCGTAAGAAATTCCCCGGCTCGCTAATCGTATTTCGATATAGTGAAACATGGAAGCAGTGTCGCATGGGTTTTTTTTTTTTTTTCCCTTCCTTCCTAGGCAAATCCTCGAAACTCACGAGGGGTAAATTTCTTTGATCGAAAAAGAGCGAAAAAAAGAAGCAACAACAACGTGGGTTTCCTTATGTACAGTCACTGCCTCCTCTTCCTCCATCTTCCCCCTCTACACCTTTCTCATACCTACATACTAGTCTTTTTCCCCTTTGCTTTAACTGTCATATTGGCAATTACATGGAGTAGCAATGCTAGTGTTATATCAAGTATGAATATAGACATGAATGAAGCGAGAATTGGCGAAGAGATTAATTGGAAGTGGCTCTTCCCCCTTGTCTCCTTCCACGTTTTTAATCCTTGTCAAGAGTCTCGCATTGTAGACCGCGCAATGCCCCGGGTGCCGTGCTTGCGTGATCCCAACCTAACGGGTTTGTGTTACTTACCTATACGTACATAGGTAGATATAGTAAGTATAGAACCCCCTAACAACGTATTTACCATGAGTAAATGACCAGCTCTTTTGTATATTATTTTCGCTATTTTTCTTTATTTTCTTCCCTATCTTATTCAAATTTATTCTTATTAATCCTATTCACGGATACCTCCGGGTGAATGAGTTTTGGAAAGGCAACAGCATCCGTACATCACTTTGTAGAAAGGACCGAGGACGACTTAGGCTAAAAAACCTGCGTGGTTAAGTGGGTCTTTGCATATTCTCTAACGAGCTCGCTAGTCCCACTAGACCTGATCAAGCCTAACTAATCTCAGCTAATCCTAATCGATCTTTGTTTCGTGGCGTCTGAAACATCCTGACGCATATCTCAGCTGCTACTCCGTATTGATGACGGCCCTGATGTGCTCCTTTCTTTCCATTATTCCTTCTTGCTAGTCAATTTAGGCATTGTTCCAGAATCATTCCTTTATTATTATTACTCATTATTATTATTATTTTTGTTTTTATTATTATTCCTTGCATTCCAGCCGAAACCCAAACCCCAAACCCTCGTCCCATCCCTTCCTTGCAAAGATTGGACCGCTGCACCGCATTATCAGCCTATCCTTCTCTTCCTCCCTCCTCCACTACCACCATCCAAAGCCCTACACGCTACGCGGCCACCTTCTCCCAATCCCAATCCGTCGCCCACCCCGACTAAGTTGTTCGCATATATCAACCCATTCGCCCCATCCTTCCCCCTTCCTTGCTGGCCCATCATGGCCTCTACTTCTACCAACATAAACAGCAATCCCACTCCCGCGCAGGAAGAATTCCAAGACCTCCTTGATAAAAACACCGAGAAAGGTTCGCGAGTACATCCAGAGGATCGAGAGACCGAAAATAGCGACGGCGACGATATCGAGGACGAAGAGGATCGGTACCGAAACGCCCAGATAGAAGCAGCGATGCGCGTACCTACTTTGACAGGCGACGTGAAGTTGCCTCCAGCTAGCTTCGACTCAGGCCGTAGTACTGGTGTGAAGGGAGTCATCGCCGACGCCCGCGCTTACGAGCAGGCCCGTCAGAGCAAGTGGCGGAACAGGGTTCGCGCTGCTCGTCAGTCAGTGTTTGGGAGAGGCGAGACACCTCGGACTACAGGTTCGCATAGTGGCGAAAGCGAAGATGACGAAGGTGAGGATGCCTTTCTCCAGCAATGGAGAGAATCGCGAAGGCAAGAGCTCGAAAGGGAGGCGAAGAACGGCATTCGCAATAGGAGAACAAGCCCGAGTCTAAGGATGTTCGGACGCTTGGATGCCGTCGACGCCTTGGGATACTTAGATGCTATCGAGAAGGTGGGGAGAGAGACAGTCGTCGTAGTATTTGTGTACGACCACGAGGTTAGTGGATCTTCCGCGCGCGTAATAATTAGCGAGAACTATGTGCTGATCGGATGATAGTGTGAAGTATCGGGTCTCATCGGCTCAGCGTTGCGACCGCTTGTCACTGCCCATCCCGAGGTTCATTTCGTCAAGGTCCACTACGAAGACATAGAATTCGACAATGCCGCTGTGCCCACGATTCTAGCATACCGGAACCAAGGCGACCTGTTCGCGAACCTGACGGGCATCATTGACATGATTCCCGACGACGAGGACTTCGATAGTGATTCGTTAAAGAGGATTTTCAAGAAGCATAGCATCATCTAAATCTTATTCCCCTAGGCCTTTAGAGCGCGGATAGGCATTGTTGCTCTGAATTCGCAGCTGCAATCCGTACCGTGGCTGTTCAACCACTACCCCCGACGGCCCGGAAGTTACATACCCGTACATCGGGATTGTACTTCCTTGTTTTAGGACGTATATAGGAACTCGACGCTTGCGGACCTTTATTCTTCCAGATCTAGGAGCGACATAGCTTCACCGTTACCAGCTGGTCGTTTCTTGTCGTGCGACCACTTGGTTAGCTATGCGGGGATTTATTAAATCGAACTGGGCCATCCCCCTGAATCGTATAAAAGCTCGCCGGTGCGGATTGGCGGTTATGACGGTAGTGGTAATGACGATAATGATGGGACTGATGAGAGGTGTATGGTTGATGTCGTCGTGCTAGGAAAGGGGAGGGCTAGTAGGGCTCTGGAGCTGCTACTTCTATGATATCCCATTGGTGTTACTACGGCACAGGAGTATCGGAGGGGCGGGTGGCATAGATTCGATCTGGAGCGGCCGTATTGGCTTGGCATATATTCCTTCGTCGTTTGACTACAATGCTACTGATCGGTCGTATATGTTTTTTTGGAGTCACGACAGCACTATGCTACAATTTAATACTATACCAAATAGATCATGAAGCATACATAATGTAGGCTTACGTGCGTGTGTTGTCTTCGTCAATTGCCACGACGTTCCAATGTCTTGTTCTGCTTTATTCCGGAGCTATCGAATTCGTGTCTCTTAAGTTGTGATGTAGGTAGCTATATTGTACTTCGTGTTGAGTGATAGGGTTATGAGAATGTGGGCTACTATTCTAGACAACGTGTCCACGGTGCTGTCTGTGTTGAACGATAGTTCGTCTGTGCTTAAATTGGACGCCTTACCTAGGGACATCTTGATATCAGCGAGCCCTTTCTTGGGTATCTTGTCTTCAGTGGTGTTCAATGTTCTCAGATACCTAGGTAGGTATTATCTTCCTACATATGTACGCTAGTACGTGTATTTCTTGGCCTTTTTAAGTTTGCTCTTCCTGCTCTCCACATTTGGTTGGATATTGAAGGTTTTAGATACCTAAGATACTAAAGATAGAACCCGATAGTAGATATTGTGCCCAAAGGACGCGTTCCGTTGACTTCCGGTCTACCTGGTATATGCATATTAATGCCTGATAGATCGAGGTCGGTAAGTGATGAGGATGAAATCACGCGCGGCTTTTGTCATCAATTCGAAAGAGTCGAAGTCGAAGCCTCATGTATGTACTGCGTGTATATCTAGATATATGTACGCCCCTACATATGTATGTATGTAGTGTTAGTAGTAGGCAGGTAGGACATCGGAATCGTCACTCCAAACCCCCACCTCGTCCACACTCGTCCTCCACTGCCTAAGCCTCCACTTTAAGCTTATCACACTTTCCCCTCTATGTACCTACATACTATCAATCTTTCGAGGTACGTGTGTGTCATATGGTGGTAATGTATTTCACATTGACCTTAGTTTCTTCTGTCGAACGAATTGGGGATATAACCAATGTAGGAACATATTTGACCCTTAACATATGACTCAAATATGACGAACTGACAATGTGCCAATATCATTCTACGAAATCTTAGACACATTACAGTCAGGGTCCTATCGTGGGGATGTGTGTGCATGTATGAGGTATGTATGTATGTATGTATGTATGTATGTTAGGCGGTTTATTAAGTGAGATAACTCGCTCCTGAACTTGGAATCGCGTCTAGTGCAGATCTCCACATGACCTTATTACTGGGTACTTTCCTTTACATATCCCACATTCCCATGCCTGCTGACCCGGAGACAAATTGCAAGTAATCTTTTTTATATCGGCCTCGAAGCGTTGATTCTCGCACTCCAAGTAATCTTTTTTGATAGAATACATACACACTTAGCTACCTGGTAGACGGGTGTTTTTCGAACGTAAAAAAGACAATAAAAATAAAGAATTGTGGGCCTGTACACACAATGAGTTTGGGAATTGGATAAGGTACATATTTCCTAGTCCCAAAGATTGCGTCCTTCACATTGGGACCAATCCATTAGAGCTTAAAAGGTAAACCCCATGTATATCCACTAGGTAAGTACATTTAATATGTACATTCAATACCCCGCCCCCTCCATAACGTATCCGCGCGCGCCGCTATACGTAAGATGGGCAAGTGAAAGTCAGTGTGAGTCTCAATGGTTAATGTTGTAAGGCAGCTGCGCTCTACCCCAATACCTATACTGCTCATACTGCTCATATTCGTGCTCATGCCCGCCATCCACCATCCACCATCCACCGTCCAACTCATTCTCCGTTCCTCATTCCACCATCTACCTAGGCAACTATCCGCTGCCTACCTACCTATCGTCTAATCAGGTTCACACCCGCCTACATTCCGTAGTACTCGTCGCATCGATAATCCCAAATCCAAAATATCCCACTTCTTTCCCATCTTCCATTAGTCACATCACTGCAAGGCAGCGCCAGCCTGCCGTCGACGAAAGGAAACAGTGTCCGTGTTTTCTTGCCTCGCTTGCCTCGTCCAGCTTGTCCGGCCTGCCTACACTACCTAGGTACTGTTCTCCCCGATCCCATCTAACTTGCTGGAATCGCCTGCCTGCACACTGTCTGCATGACATCCTACCGCACACGCACAACCCTGGAACCTCCATCCCTCTTGGATACTTGAATTCCACTTACTTACCATCTACCATCTACCATCTACCATTTCCTCTTTACCACCTACCTCCTACCTCCTACCCTTTGCCATTTATTATCCTTTTTATTCTTGTTCTTCGAGAAAAGAAGAACCGAGGACATTTTAGAGATCTTACCAACATTTGCAAGGCTAGCTAGCTGACACCTATCCTCTCTCTGCTTGTCTAGGCATCTGACTACCTAGTCTCGACCTTTCTGGTCTATTGTATGCAACTCGGACACCTCGACACATTCCTCTCCTAAGGCATCTCATTCGTTTGTCTTATACGGGTATTCGCGCGATCCCTACCTCCATTAAGCCCCACATCATACTCTCTGTTTGTGTCTGTCTCTAGCCTATTTGATTTCTGTCATCCTCAACTGGTTTACCAATCCTTCACGGTAAACTTGAGGTATGACGTGATCTGGCAAAGGGCATCTCGCTTTTACCACGTAATGGAACAGCCCCGATCCTCGACACCTACCGATATACCGACTGCTGTTCCGCCTCCATCCGCCGACCGTGCCACTGATACTATCGCAGCCGAATCGAGTCAACCAGACAGCCTCGATCACATCTCCAATTCTGTGCCGTGCCTACGATTTCCCCGACCAGTAGGCAACCGGAAACTCACCAACTGGGTTTCCTCCAGTTCGCCCGACATTATGCAACCTGAAAATATCCCAGACGACGAGCCCAGCCTCGCCGAGCTAGGTTACGATGTTATCGGTACCGATGGAGAGAGTCAAGCCGAGTCGACCGCTAGCTCTCTTGACTATCAAAGACCTGATGATGTCCAGAGCCTGGGCGGCACCGATACCGGCACTGACGTCGACACTAACGACGCCGACACCGATTCATCCGACGAGGAGGAAGAGGAGGAGGAGGCCACCGCGCTGAATGACGCCGCTGTCATTAGCACAATTAGTAGCACCGTCGTCGAGTTTACTGGCGATGCCGATGACGAGGATGCCGATGTCGAGACTCTTGCGAATCAGAGCCTCGAGAACCCTACGGACTTTTCTCAGCATGGCTTCCCGGCCCTGTCTCGCCTCTCACAGCCGGACCAGAGCGAGACTCGGGAGATCTCATCAATAAAGAAGTCACCAGTTCAAAATGCCGAGTTGGGTGAACGTATCAAGCATGCGCTGTCATCGGAGCAGAATGAGCCTCAGTACCACGGTCTTGACACCTACCGTTTGACTCTCAGATACGTTCAAAGAAACAGACGTGCTCTAGTGGCTTTATCCGGGCTTGCTATACTCTACAGCCTCGCCATCACTGGCAGGTACTTACTATTTAGTCCACCGACTCCAAGAATTTTATCTACGGTCCCGGTGGCGGCGGTCTCTTCTGCTGCCGTTCCCTCGCCTACCGGGAGTTCCGCGACTACCCCAGTGACCCCGCCCACTTTAGCACTGGCGCAAACGCAAAAGGCCTTACAGACCGGTAGTAGCTCGCCGAGTAGTCTTATGTTTGTGCCATTCGGAAAGGACAAGGCACAGACAGACCTCGCTAAGCAACCTGAGCAACATCCCATCTGCTCAGCAGAGCTATATGATCGCAATGAGATCATGGTGAAGATCCCGCAGGGTTTGAAGTCTGCTTGGCTCTCAAGGGACGCCATCTTGATCGCGGTGAGTCGGGGTCTCTATGATATTCCGACTAAGGTATCCTCTGTAGAGGAAGGGTTTTTGATCGAAGTACCGCTGGAGGAGGCACAAGATGTGTTGGCGGTATCTATTGCGACAACATGGAAACCCAAGATCCAGGAGACATTCCAGATCGACTTTGGCCGGAATAAATTCATAGGTGCCTTGGATGCTGGCAAGCAGTTGGTCAAGGGGTTCGCACAGAGATTCGTCGACACCGTCAATGAGACAACGGCATGGGTTGAAGAGACCTACATTCCGGCCTTAGACGTCGTGTCCAAGCAGGTCTGTAGTCAGACATCGTCTGTTTCCGACTCCCTGCGACAGTCGCTCAGAGATGTTGGTAATGCCGTCCTCGGCCTTCCATCACAGATTACAGCCCAGGTCGCCGCCCAGGTCAAGCTACCGTTCAACAGTGACGATATGGCGCAACGCAAACATCAAGTGCAGTTGCAATTGATACGGGATGCTCAGGATCTACGTGACGAATTTGCTTTGCGTTACCTCTCCGCGCAGCTAAGATCTAAGCTCTGGTGGCTACGGGCACGAGGAAGAACCGAAGAATACCAGCGTTATTTATCTAAGGCAGAGGTTCATCTGGAGAAGAAAGTCGCCGATGCCAAGGTAGCTAAACAGGCGAGAGCCGAGCACATCAAGAAACTGATACGGTCCCGGCGAAAGCACGAACACCGTGACACAAGAGGTTCTTTCTGGCGTAAGGGCACGCGGCAATCCCATAACTGATCCCTCTACTTCTGAGCACTTTATATCATACGGTCGGCTAGGGCAACTCAGGAACGGCGTTGGGATTTAGTGATATAATGGTCTTTGCTATTGTTTTCCCTCTCGCCCTTGGTCTTTCCATCCCGACATCACTGTAGAGGCAGGCAGTTATCCTGCCGAATCTCCCATTTCTTCTCTTTTCATTCCCCTCGCCTTCCCGGCAATGCCTATATGAAAGGATGGGCGACTGGAGATATGACAGGAAACTCCGTTTCTTTTTCTTTTCCCCGTTTGAGTGTTGCTCGGGAACCAGGGTTAGGCGCAATACTTAACGGGTGTTTTCATCCCCAATCCCATTCGGCATCGTGACGGAGTGTGGTTGCGCTTGGGAACATAGGGGTAACATATTCTTCCGAGGGGCGTTGTCGATAGTGAGCACCGAGCTCGACGGCTATTGCGTTGACTTCTTAGTAATCGGATAGCCAGACTAAGACCTGAAGACCCGTAGGTAGATAACCAACCACTAGGACTCAGACAATGAATACATTGCTTTTATGCCTTGTACATTTTTCTATTTCACAATGGGACGTGAAATATGTTCGTATGCCTACTTAAGTTGTATTATATGGTCTTATAGGGCTTAGACGATTGCTAATCTAACGTTGTCTTGGAGTGGCCCCCATATTACATGAATGTGTATGGTTACCTAATTATCTCTCGCCCGCTTACATATCATGGTGTATCGCGTAGATGTAGCAATTCATGCCTGCCTTATAGAATGCTAGATCAATAGGGATACCTTCATGTTTGGGGGACAGGCTGACTGGCAGTTGCCAGATATCTATTTTCTACTATAGTACATAATATACCAGTTTGTGAGTAGATGGGCTCCTGCTAGGCCTAAATGCGTAGGTGGGGTTAGAGGTGATAGGGTGGGGTGCTTGGTGCCCGACCTAGGAAATCACGACTTGTGACGAGTCAGGTATTTGCTTCCAGCTTGATCTGCTACAGTATGCACAAGTGTACCCGCTAAATTGAATTGGAAAGAAAATACCTAGTACCTGGTACTTCCCTGTAGTAGAGAGGGGAGGGGAGAGGAGGGGCGAGGGGCAATTCCTGCCAATTCCCCACCCCCTCGTTTGGTTTGTTATTTGACTTGGGAACTATCACAACCGCAACTTTTCGCAATAATTTCAACCTAATACCACATACTACCACATACTTCTACCCAATCTTCTTGTTCCTTTTCGTACATTAACAAAGTTCGGTACGTGTGGTTTTACACATCATCTACCTGCATACTCCCTTTTGCATCAAATTACCTGCATCGTTCTAGATCTGGGTGCATCACGTAGGTACCATACTCACTGATCCACGTCGTGTTTGGAGTCACCAAGTCTTGGAGGTTTGTTGTGGCGGTGGGGTGGCATTTGCGAATACCTTTTGTTTTTTTTATCTTTATTATTTTTTTTCCTGTTCTCTTTACGTCCATTCTCTAGTTGGTCAAGTGCGCTTCCCTACACTTCTACGCTTGTTCGTCTTGCGTAGCCTAGCTATTTACGTTGCATACCAACCTGTCGAAATTCATCGGCATTTTTCCTAGATAATACGGCCTAACCCTAGGCTACATGTTAGCGCTTTCATCCCCCTTTTCATCCTCCACCGTCGCTTGTTGCAACGAAAAACACATATCTTTTTTTTTTTTTCTTTCGTGACATTCTTCTGACATCCTTGCCTAGCAGTATCACAACATGAGCTCCACCGAGAATACCGAACCCAAGCCGGCCGAGGCGACTGAGGGCAAGCCTCTTACCTCCTCATCTGTCTTCTCCATGTTTGGCGGCGGCGCAAAGAAGGAGAAGAAGGACGAAGATGAGGATCGTGGCGATGTTTCCGGTAGTGCCAAGGCCCAGCGAGAGGCCGCTGCCGCTGCTAAAGGTGATGACGAAGTGCGTACACACATTTTCTAACTCTCCTCCTTCATCATCATCACCATCACCACCACCATCATCATAATCATAATATGATAAGCGCTGATAAAGAGAATCCATGCAGGAGGAACCCCCCGAGTCAGAAGATGTCCACTTCGAGCCCGTCCTCAAGCTCACCGAAAAGATCAAGACTGTGACTCACGAGGAATCCGAGGAGGAGATTTTCAACATGCGATGCAAGATGTTCAAGTTCACCCAAGACGCCGAAGGAAAAGGTGAATGGAAAGAGCGTGGCACCGGCCCTCTCCGTCTGTTAAAACACAAGGAGAACGGCAAGATTCGTTTGGTCATGCGACGAGACAAGACCCTCAAGGTCTGCGCGAACCACTACAGTATGTTCTTTTAACCCTTTGTGCTACCTTAAAAGCGACGGACGGGAGCTAATTTTCACTGCTATATAGTTACTCCCGACATGACAATTGCTCCCATGTCTACTAGCGACCGGGCCTGGCTCTGGAACGTTGGCGCCGATGTTAGCGAGGGCGAGCCTGAGGCTATCACCGTCTCTGTCCGCGTAGCCAATGCTGAGAGTAAGCTGCGACCCTTTGTTTCCTCCGACGTGTAATTAATATGATTGACCCTCCCCCTTTAGATGCCCAGCTGTTTAAAGAAGCCTGGCTCAAGGCCCAGAAAGAAAACGAGGCTCGGTTTGCTGAGGCTAAAGCAGATGAGGATAAAGAGGAGGAATCCAAGACCGAGGAGAAGAAGGAGGAGCCTGCCGCATCCTCGTAATGGGTAGCGCCTATGGCGTGAAAGGTGGTTTAAACCGCCCATTTTACCGTGGTGGCTTAGAATCACGATGCCACTATGTTGCCCTACGCAGTGGATGTGTCGAGTGACCGTCATTCTCCTACAGCGAATGGTTTGGAAATATTAGCTCTCGTGAGGGACTTCACAGAACGGTGGTGGCCGATAATGATGACGAGAAGAGAGAAGAAAGACGATTAGATAGTCCAAGGAAGGATCAAACAACAACAACAACAACCCATAGTCACGGCATCTTTGTCCCTTGCGAAACACTTCACGATGAATACAACCCCGATCCTCCCAAAAACACAGTTCTGATATTGCCAATAGAAATGGTGGTAGGAAGTCTAGTGTAGAGCTACCTATCTACCTGTGTTTGGGCTAGATCTTTCAAGATTGCAAACACACGTACAACTTTGACAGAGTAACTACCTAGCTAGACTCCTTCTGTGGTGCGGGCTGTGGCGGTATGTGAAGGAATGGAGATCCATAACAGCACGAATTCGATTCACTGCAGCATTTGAATTTTGAACCGCTGAAATATATGTGAACACTGTGTATACCTTATAAGTACGAATCCTAGGTAGGTACTTAGGTATTGAAAGAAGTTGTGCCCCGTAGGTACGTAGTAGACATGTACCCAAATTAGAATGGAAGGACTGGCAAGCTTGATAGTCAAATTAAGGTAGTAGGCGTACGTTTCGTTCGGTTGGAGCGTTTAAATGGGATCACGTGACTTCGCGAAACCGTCAGCGCCGTGATTTTTACTTTGGCGCGTTTTTATTTCAGCTGAAGGCAATTACACTACACGGATAGCTTTGGCGACTGCCCCAGGTACACAGTTAGCAATTGCCTTAGGTGAGTAGAATATCTAGGTACTAAGTGTACATTTACCCCGCCTCCTTCTGACGGTCCTTACGTGTTTTTATTATCACAAAATACGTCGTCCACGGGATCACTTTCTATCTTTTCTCCTTTCCAAAACCCACATCTATAAAGATTCCCCTCTATTCCTTTTACACCAAATTTACCGGGTCCGGACACAACAAGCCTGATATTATTATTAGTCGTCATCTACACCCACTCTTCACATTTGTCGACGTTTATAACTTGAGATACTAATACCTACATACCTAGATAATTAGGTAATTTCTCTCATCACTGCCGTCAGTTATTACGTAATCGTATGTTGTGTGTTCGACAGTAGCAGTCATGCCGCGCAAGAAGAAGCAGCGCCAAACTCGACTCACGTTTGAGCCTGTTGGTTCTTCCGACTCTCCTGGTAAAGCATCGCCCGCCAACGTACGCTTCACTAAGGGTGTAGCTGCGAGCGGCGGCAGCTCAAGTCGCGCATCATCACAGCAAGCAATTTCCACTCCAGGCCGTCCAGGTATGTCAGCTTTCTTTCTGCTCTCGTTTATCTGAAGTGGATATTGGCATGTTTGATATCTGGGTATATGGAAGTTTATGGGGTTTGAAGAAATTTGTTGTTCTTTTGGGATTAGTAAATCTTTTGGGACTATTTGCCTTTATGAACACTTAGATAATAATCATGCTCACAATTTAATAGGCCCTTCCCAGAAGGCAGCGTCGCCGGTGAAGCTATCGCATGCTAGTTTCATGCCGAAACCTCAAGGCTCCAAGCGCCCTATTGCTGGCAATAGCTCTGCCAATGATTCTGCCAATGATTCTGCCGGCGAAGTTGAAGAAGAGGGTGCGTTCCCGAAGTCATCGCAGTCAATCTCAACCATGCTTCGCCAAACAGGCTTTGGGGCCGGGGATGTTGTTGGTGTTGATGATGGTGATGACGACGATGACGATGAACCTATCATACCAGCCAGCACGAGAAAACGTTCGCGTCCGAAGTTTATTGAACTTGAAGACTCAAGTGACGGTGCCGCCTCACCCGCTAAAAAGAGTAAGACTTCACAAATCACCTCTAGCCGGTCCAAGAAACCAACACCGAGTGTTTCTCCTCCTGTTCAGCGCCATCCACCTAAAAGCCACCGTACGGAGAAACAGAAGAAAATTGAACTTCTTCGCCGTCGACGAGCCGGGGAGAAGATCGACAGAGTCACATCGTCAGAAGATTCCGAGGAAGAGAAACGAGGTATTTATGATAGCGATTCAGAGGCAGAGTTTGGCGTTCTAAAAGAGTTTGACGACGAAGAAGAGCCAGATAAGGAAGAAGTTGAAGTGCCTGCTCGTCAAATCTCTAAAAAGACCGAGAAATCTGCAAAAGATGGCCAAAAAGGAAGCGAGGACGAAGGAGACGACGATGATCTCGACGATTTTGTCGTTGATGATGATGATGCTCCTCTGGGAGCCCCGGCCAACCTTGGTATCCCCCTCGAATTCACCGCTCAAGCACATAAGCCTCTTAAAGATCAATTCCCTTATGCCATCGAGTGGCTGGTTCACAATCGAATCAACCCAGCCTTCGATCGGAATGATCCGGTCTATACAAATGCTTGGCGTAAACTCAACGATGAAGTCCAGGGCCTCGCATCATCCAAGTTCGCATCCTCGGCTTGGAAGCCCGAATTCCATAAAGCGCTAAAGGGCAGACCAAACATGGTAGCTGAGTCGATGAACTACGACGAAAGAAGATTACACGAGGTCTGCGAAGCCTGTGGTAGAAGCAAGCACCAGTCTACCCGAGCGATCACCTTCTCGGGCCATCCGTACTATAAGGACACGCTCGGCGAAGTCGAGTCGGAATCGACTTCGGACTCGGAAGATTGCGAGGGCGACGCGAGTGATAACGAGTCTATTGATTCCCAGGGCATGACCTTACCTGCTGCGACAAGGAAATGGCATGTCGGTATCGTATGCTGCACAAACGCCGAGACGGCACATAGCTTGATCCACTGGAAACACGCACTGAAGGAATGGGTGGAAGAACGACTGCAAATAGAGGGATGGATGAAGGCGAACAAACTTGCGGAGCGAGAACGCATGGGGGACGGGAAACGACGCAAGCTTGCCAATAGCATCGTCGACGGCTGGCGCGAAAAGAAGATCATCGCGTCACTTTACCGTGACTTCAAGGCTACTTTGGAAGATGCTCGTAATAAGTCGACGACGGGTTGGCATTTGTTCTATGATTAGGGGGTTGGGGGGTTCGGGTTTGACTTACCTATATTCCTGCGGTGTAGCTTTCTAGTTGGTGCTTAAATCGGGGCCTACCTTTATGAGTCGTACCTAAGGGAATCGGGAATCGGAAATCACTCAGACCTGCCAACGACTTAAGTAGGGATAGCATATTGCTAAGAATCACGACGTGACGAGGTTGCGCGAAGTGTTTAGTTTATTAACGACATTGCTTCTATTTCATAACGAGCCCCTCTCGCTTTCCATCGCCGTGGCATTTGTATAACAAAAAAAAAAAAAAAAACTTATCTAATAGCTTTTGCCGTCTTGACAAATTCTCGTATCCGATCTAGACTCTGTTCGCCATCGGTCCCCTCAACGCCGCTGCTCACGTCAACGCCTAGAATCCTGGCAGCGTCTTCACCCGCGGCCTTGATTACGCCGGTAACATTCTCCGGAGCCAGGCCTCCTGCTAGTATAATTCGCAGTTCCCTGTCTCTCTCCAGCGCCGACTTTACGTCGACCGCGTCCAGGAGCTGGCCCGACCCGGACCCGGAATCAAACAGGGGTATGGCGTGGTAGCCCCGGACGCCGATCCCCGGTTCGCCCGGAGCAAAGCGCCGCAATACAGGCACGGGAATGGCGCGTGCCCATTCGACCGGTTCTCGTCCGTGCAGCTGCACGGCATCGAGTCCGTACCGCTTCTGCAATTCGAGGATTTCGTCAAGCGGCTGGTTCTGGAACACGCCGACGAGGAGGGGACGGGAGCGGTTATGGGATGTCAGCTTAGAGGCCGCCGAGGCGAAGAAGTCGCTGGCGGCATCCTTAGGGATTGCTATGGAGGAAGAGCCGGGAGTACGTCGGGAGAAGTTGTGGATAGCTTCGGAGATGGCTTTCGCGGCATCGTCGCTGACGGTGCGCTTGCGGCCCGGCACGAGAATCATACCGATTAGGTCTGCGCCCGCCTCTGCAGCTGCGAGAGCGGCTTCGGGGGTGCGAGTACCACAGATCTTAACGAACAGAGGGTTGGGCCGGGGATTTTGTTGGGTAGAGTTTCGGCCCGCGCAGAGTTGTTGGATGAATTGCGAGGCGTCAGGTGCACGCATAATAGCCTCGCCCACCAGAATGGCGTTAACGCCATCCTTATGGTTAGCAAGGACGTCGTCGTGGGTGTTGATGCCGCTAAGCGCGCATATGATGGTTTCTTTGGGAACTAAGCTACGTAACCTGCTGGTGGTGCTGAGGTCGACCTCAAAGGACTCAAGGTTGCGGTTGTTAACCCCGATAACCTTGGAGCCAAGCTTAACCGCAGTCGCCATCTCTTCCGCATTCTGGACTTCGACGAGGGGTTCCATGCCGAGAGATAGCGAGTACTTGTATAAGCGCGTGAGCAGTTCTACGTCCAACATTTTTACAATGAGAAGCACCGTATCCGCGCCCGCGAGTCGCGCTTCTAGGATCTGATACTCTTCGAATATGAACTCTTTCCGAAGCACCGCAGGCCGGTTGGGCATGGCGTTTAGTACTTGCCTTACGGCGCGAAGATCCTCAATGCTGCCTTTGAACCAGTCCGGCTCCGTGAGAACGGATATGACACTGGCTCCGGCGAGAGCGTATTTCTTTGCCTGCGACGGTGCGTCAATATCGAGGGCGAAAATGCCTTTCGAAGGCGAACCTCGTTTGATCTCGGCCATGAGCGAGACGTCGAACGGGCTCTGGCGTATTCGGTCGACAAAGGGAATTTGAGGAGGTGCGGTATTTAATCCGTAGGCAGCCTCAAGATCTCGTGGACGTAGCGAAGGAATCTCTTTTTGGGCAGTCACTGCTTCTCTTCGTCGGGCGTATATTTGTTGTAGGATATTGTTTTTCTTTGGATTTGACGGCAGAGACGACTTTTCGATACTGCTCTTCGCGATGCCCTCGGCCTGTGACTCCTTACCCAGGCGTTCGCTGTCGGCCCAGGTACCCCCTTGCATATGTAGAAAGTTTTTGATCATAACCCTCCCATCGGCTGACAGGATACTCTCGGGGTGGAACTGGACACCCTCGACGGTGTATTCCTTGTGCCGCACGCCCATTATGACACCTTTTGAGCCGTCATCTTTAGGTATCCAAGAGGTTACTTCGAGGCATTCTGGAAGAGTGACGTGGGTGCCCGCGAGAGAGTGATACCTAGTGACGGGAAGACCCTGAGCCATACCTGCGTAGACACCCTTGGAGTCATGGGCCAATGGTGAGGTCTTGCCATGAAGAATCTCCCCGGCGAACCTCACGTCACCTCCGTACACGTCGAAAATACACTGTCTGTACACAATTGGGTTAAGCAGTAAGCATACAGAGAAGAGAGTTCCCAACTTACTGGCCCATGCAGACGCCGAATATGGGGATCTTCCCGGCGAAGTGTCTGATGACATCTCGGCTTACGCCAGAGTCGCTTATGGGGTGTCCAGGGCCAGGGCTGACGACGAGCTGGGTGGGTTTCTTGGCTATCAATTCTTCGAGAGTGATCTGGTCGTTCCGATACACGGTAACGGTGGCGCCTTCGAGGACAAGATATTGATATACATTCCAGGTAAAGGAGTCGTAGTTGTCTATAAGGATCAAATTCGAGGCCGTAGGGATGGGAGGTGACGGATCAGGATGGTGAGGGGAGTGGTCAATGATGTCCAGAGATGTAGCCATATTTTAATTATCCTTTCTTTTTTTTCTTCTTATTTTTCCTTTCTCTTCTTTGGAACCTTTTGCTGGAGTCCCCTTGTTATACTATAGATGACCGGATAGACGACTTTTCTACCAGTCGAGACGGAGATTGGGGTATCCCGACTTCTATGGAATCAGGTAGTCTACCTCAGGCCAGTGTGCAGATCTGGTAAAACAACAGACGGAGTTTAGGATGGGGACAACAAATCATGCAGCTCTCAATGGCGTTTTCTACGCAGTAGTTAGTAAAATATTATCATGTTCGTGTAACTGTTACTGCTATTTCCGGGGATCGGAGTTATCTAACCTTGGAAAAAGCTAACTATCTAAGTACTCAGGTACTACACCCCTCCATGTAAGGCTGAGGCTAAAACCATATCGATAAGCACAGGTGGCTTGTGCTCGCCTATATGTGGAAACAGCTACCTGGTAGGTACGGAAAAGGTACATACATAAAAGAGTTCGTCCCATTCCACGCTAAGCTCTAACTGGTTCGATTATCATTGGGTACCTGCAGTTGAACAATTTAGAATTTCAGAGCTCCAGCTGTTAAGGCAGGGTGCTGACCTTTGCTTTTTTAAGTTATCGGGCAGTTAGCGTTTAAGCATTCTAAGCTTTAACAACCAACATTGTACTGTAAATTCGCGGTTTTCAACATTCTTCTAAAGCGCGTCGCAGCAAAAGCTAACACCTTTTTCTCATTCCACTACCTCACATGAACTCGATGCACAATCAACTGCGCATTGTCTGCTAATAGCTGCAGCAATGGCAGAATCACTATCCGATGACCGTTACCTACCTCCATTAGAACCATGTCTGAAGGGCGAGAATGTTATTCTGTAAGTGCTATAGTAATGATTGATACCCTGGTATGAGATATGGATGATGCGGATGAATTTTCATAGCTAACCAACCACTCTTGCTGGTCGCCTTAGATCATGGAAGATTATAGCTTCAGCATTGACGGACCCTTCCGGTCATCGACAGGGTAGTCGTGCCGTCCTCGACTATCTCACCGATCCTCTAGTCCAATCTTTCTTCACCAAGCCTGGCTCTGCTTTCGATCCCCCAGGCGACAAGAATATTCACCATGCAAGCTTTGTTAAAAAGACAGCTGCTATTCAAGTAACTCCTACCTCGAACGAGAAGTACGATATCAATGTTATCAAAGAAGATGCACTTTGGTTAAGCAAGAATGCTCGTATAAACGAGATCGCAGCTCTTCGAATCGTTGTTATCGAATTCCAATCGCGTCCTCGGAACCAACTCCTGGGTCCTATTTCGAATCAAGATGTCGCAAACTTACGGGAGGCTGCTGGCGCTGCAAATGCGCAAACAACTAACATCCTCCCCGGTTTCAGTATTGGAGGCACCTTCGACGCGGACGAAATACAAGCAAACTTCGAGGAGCCAGAGAGTCGGAAGCAGCGCATATTTCAGACTTACCTTGACGAATGCCGTTACTACGCCGCTACGAATGACTACATATTCACCTTGATGCTGCAGGAACACCTGCCTGCCTCTTCGACAACCGATGCGTCGAGAATGATTCGGAAATCCTATCTAGAGGCGTATGGCATGTCTCCCAAGCAGCCGCAGAAATCCCCCGGTGATACGCCTACCAGAACCTTTCACGCGCTCGTGACCCAATATTTGAACCTATTACCAGACTCTATATCGCGCTCCCAAGCTGGTATCGACACGATAGTAGAGGACAAGGGCCTCCTGACCGAAGAGCTCGCTGGACGATGGCTTCAGACATGGCTTACCGAAGCTCTTCATCGAATGGTTGTGGTCTTTGAGCTACTAGACTTGTCGAGCGATGTTTTCGTATCAGCTCCAGTGGCACAGCAATGGTTTTCCCTAGTCAGTGAATTTAGCTTCTTAGACCAGCTTCAAGCGGTAAGTTATTTGGAGACATCATAAGCTAAATACTCTGACCTTGCTAATCTTAATTCTGTTCCAGTTGCCAGATAACATATCTGAGTTGATGGTTCCGTTACAATGCCTCACATGCGTCATCTCCCTATCTGTCCTGAATCTGCCAAGGATGATGGCATTCTTCGAGGGGGAGGTGGACTTGAACACAGATGACGAATACCTCGCGTCCTCGAGTGTCCTCGAAATTATCCATGACGTCCTGGATAATGCGGTCAGCTTAGGTTCATCGTACGCCATCCCGGTATTGTTCGCCTGGGTCCCGGTAGTGCACGCTATGTTCTCGTCTTACCAAGAACGAGCTGAGAGGCGCGATGCTATCCAAAACGAGAAAGCGGTTGAAAACTACGATTCAGCTACGCAGATGATTCCAACCGCAGGCAGAAGAAATTCCGCCGGGAGCATCACCACGATTGATAAGCGGAGATACGACGATTTTCTCATCAATAAGAACTTCGACCGTGACTTGAAACGAATTGAAATACTCGCAAAGCTGGTCATAGATAAAGGACACGCCTACGACGTCATCACTGCAATGTCATCGTATCTCGGTGCATCTAACAGTGCCATCTTTCCCACTTCGATTGGTTCGCGTATGAGAGTCGCGTTTCTAGACCTGCTCAAAGTCACCTATCCTTTCGTAGGATATAAGGCGGAGCCGGTCTCTGCCCTGCTAGCAGTACTGTCTGGTGGTCAAGGCTACTGGGATCTTGGACGACCTAATAATACTCCTGCGGAGCACGATATATCTAACTTGGCTTTACACGACGAGACCATTGTTGAAAGCTATTTTCACCAGGCGCTGAACCGCTTTCCGTACGAATTTATGCCCTTTCTCAAATTGTGCCGGACCCTTTACTGCTCCCCTCATCTCACTGAAGAGAGTAACCATGAACTCATCCTTAGGCTACTACAGAAAACACCCACCCTCACGTTTGTATTGCCGGAATATTTCAATGAATACCATCTCACCGATGAGGAAGACAATTCCAATGCTATTCGCTTTTTTGAGGACTTTCCCCTTATTTCACCAGTCCTAAACCGGAGACAAATAGCGACGGAGGAAGAGCCGTTCATCATACCTGCGGGTACATATGGTCGTTTCATTGTAGACGAAGGGAAGATTGTGCAAGTGGGATATGAGCACTCCGCCCTGGCTTTACTTGGGAAGAGGTTAGATGCCAATCTCGCCGCGAAGAAGTATAACGTGGCGCTCGGAGCACTCGCTATAGACGAGGCTGCAGAGGCGATATCGCTGCTTGCAACATTGATACGCATGGAAGGCCTTAGAACTGCTAGCTCAGATGAAAAGGCTTCTGAGATATCAGAGACTGCGTTGGTTATCGTGGGCGAAGCTAGCCGAGCATTATCACGAACAAAAGACATCATATCGGTTGTTTGCGATACCCTGGACATTCTTCTAGATGGTGACCCGGATGACGAGGGCCTGGTCGCTCTTGTAGCCTGCCTGCAATTTTTACACGCTGTCCTACCGATCTGCCCGGGCAGAGTCTGGTCATATATGTCGCGATGTACCATCCTTGGCAGTCAAGGCCAGGGAGGCCGACTGGCTAGGCTGGTCGGAAACCTTGACTTATCGGGCGTTCGATTTGAACTACTAGTATCTTCTATGCGCCTCTTTTCCAGTCTTGTTGACAGTGCTATGAGCAGCTCGGTACGGCGGAAAACGAGCGTGAAGACAAATACTCGGCAAAAACAGAGCTACGATATCTGGCTAGGTGTTTCGGACAAGATAGTCTCCCAGATCTCCCTGGCGATTACCCGCGCAGCCATGGACGTGCTAGAAAATTCATCCACGTGGAGGTTTTCGTCCCACCTGGATCGAATGGTTCTCGTCCGTGACGTGGTACCTATAATGGACAAGGTCATCTCTTATACATTTAACATGGACGATATAAAGGCGAAGTCGTTCTTAATGTCAGCTCTCGAGCCAGCAGCCAAATATGTCATTGATAGTTTTTTGGCTCCGTCGGCCGGGAGTCTCCGTATCCAACCGCTTCTCGTAACACTGGTGGCTGCAACACAGCCCTTTGGCTCTACAGTGTATGCCAGCAAGACGGAGGTTTTTCGCGCCCAGACTGAGGCCGTGCTTGGGCTTACGAGAAGTCTAGTAAGAATAGCAAACTATTTTGATCAGCCTTCGACCACAGTCGAGCACCAGTTATTTAAGGTAACGCCATTTGTCGCCCGTGTCTGCGCCTGTCACGACGCCTTCAAAGGACCAGCCATTGAACTTCTAGAAGCATTGGTGATCAGCGCTGGCAAAAGCGCCGGAGAACCTCCTTCACTACTTGGATACCTCGGTCCACAAACATCTCGCTCATTCCTTCAACTCCTATCAACGCTGGACAGGCCCTTCAACCAAGCCCAGGAAGTTAACGCAGTATGGAGATTCTTTTCCACCATTGTTCGAAACAGGCAACAATGGATGGCGAACTGTCTTCTCACTGGAAAAACTCCTCGTGATGCTAAGAACGGCAATAGTAAACCGACAGAAGCATCGTCAAATTCGGTTCTCGCATCCGCTCTCGAACGGCTTGTGTCTATATCTACGATTGAGGAGTCCGAGGCACTCTCGATATTAGATTTCATCACCTCGGCCCAAAACTTCTGGCCATGGACCATCTTCACATTGCAGAAGAACACCAGCTTTTTAACCGAGCTTCGGAGCTTCGTCCGCGAGTTGAAACCTTCCTCCGTCACTTCTAAGGTCAATGCATTGCAAGCATGTAACGACGCTCGTATCGCTGCATATATTGCCGAGATTTTTGCTATGCAGCTCTTCCATCTTCGGCAAATAGGACAAGCGAGCACATTCGCGAGCGAACTGACACGGGATTTGGATTATTATCTACGAGATGGCGTAGCGGTGTCTGGCTACAACAGAGGCCTACATGTTAATTTCGCTCGGAATTTCAGCAACCAGTACGCCGGTTGTACCCTTGATAACTTCAAGCGAACTTTGCTAGAACCCCGGTCTTTGGGAGTTAGTTTCTATTATGCCATAGGCTTTGCGGACAGGATGCTTGGATTCGACCCAGGTTGGATTGGCCCTCGTAACAACGGGTTTAGAAGCGAGATGGAGAAGGCCAATGTTAATCTATCATTGGTCGATGCTCAAATCGTGAGTTTTATTTTCAGTTTTATCTCTGCCTTGACCCGAGTTATTGCTAACATATGAATAGTCTCTTTACCACGCCTGGGAATTTCTGCTGCTTGAATTGAGTACCTGCTTGCCGAGTAATGACACCTTAAAGAAGCATTCTTTACAGGTTGCTCAGCAATGCCTAGAGGCGAATGAAGATACACAGAGCCATGATCAGGTCTTCGAGCGGCTTGCCGAATCGCGCGTCAATCTGGCGCTGATGCTAGTACAGAGAGTCGTCGATAGCGCCCCATCTCCTGGTGATATTGCTCAACTCTTGACAGCGATATGGGCGACGGTCAGTAGTGTTCAGGATCCGTATTCACCAGAGAATATCTCGCTCCACCGAACACTTCTGAAACTGCTTTACGTTACATTGCGAGCCCAGGTCCGAGCACTGGCGAGTCTAGGATCTGATAAGCTTGGGAATGGCCTGTCCGCCGCCACGGTCTCCCAGACCGTGTTGAGCATACTTGATCTCGTCGTTGCCAGAGGATTCCGAACCCTAGTTTCCTTAGTCCACGATTCACAGCCCTCCATTTTGCCGGGCGACATCGCTATTATCAACGCTATCCTGCAAGCCTGCCTTTGCCTCCCAGGGATGGACCAGAACCAGACGCAGGTCCTAAATATCCTGGCTACTCATGATGCCGTACAAGCTGCAGTGTCTCTATACTCATGGGCAGATAAGTTGGCTGATCAGGGCGATCCCATATATGGTGAATTGTCGCTCCTTTTTCTACTGGAGCTGTCCACACTACCCCTAGTAGCGGAGCAACTGGCCTGTGACGGCCTGCTTAACCACATCACGTCAGCTAACTTAGCGACTTACTTACGCCGGTCAAACGTGAAGCCCTTTGCCGACTCTGTTGGGCTCCAGCGCTGCTACAGCATATGGGCCAAAGGCATAGTTCCTTTACTCCTAAACATCCTGACGGCCTTAGGCACCACGATCGCCCCGGAAGTCGCATACGTGCTCAACGAATTTCCAAATCTCATGCAATCCAGCGTTGACCGATTTGAACCGCCGGATGATGGTCGAAGGCGGGATCGCAACGACCGCGATTACATAACACTTCTATCGGTGTCCGAAATACATTCGCTGGCTCTCATGACGCGCGTACTGGGAGCCTTACGCGCTAATAATGCGAGGGACGTCCCTGCTGTTGAATGGGACTCTGCAGGATTGGTGGAGAGTGTCGAGTTCTGGATAGACCGTCGTAAGCTTCTGAGGGAGAGGCTGGTGACGCTGGGGCCGCGAGAGGCGGAATGGAGGACCATGCCGCCCTCTGACCGAAATAAGACTAAGGGGTTGGAGAACAAGCTTGAGGAGAAGGTAATCGAGCAGTTGGAACTTGTACGACTTGTGCTCAGCGAAGGTTTGGAATGAGTACGGCTTAAGGATATAGATGTGCAATGCTAATCATCGGTCCGTAAATAATGACATTCTCGCCGCAATGGCGAATCTACCCATTGCGAGGGTCCCAACCCTAAATGACCTATCGTGTTTCGCGTGACAATTTCTTTTGCGGCGAGATAGGGTTAGGCAATAGAAGGACGTACCCATTAAATTATAAGGACGGTAGGGTCATGGAAGAACGACCATTTTCATATAAGAAGTTGAGAAAGAGAATATATGTGGCCCAGTTTCGGGTTGATGTCTCCCCCCTTTTTCTAACTCCTGGGGTCCACGTAGTCTCCTATAGAGTCCTATTGTTACAGCGAGGCTATATTTTGACTTTTATAATCCTATGCCTAATGGCAATGCGGGAAATGCGGCACTCGAGCATTTACTGCCGAAGTCACCTTAACCTAGCACACGTCACGGGTTTCCCTCCCTTTTCACATATACATATAATTGGTTCGGATTCGTCATATCGCCTATCCAGCCCCGGATTCCCGGGCCCGTAATGTATAGCTACCACTCAAAGGAAGATACATTCTCTCGGAGGGCCACTGATCTACCGGAATCCACCCTGTTGTTGCTGTTGTTGAGTCATCTGGGCATTGTACTCTTGGAAGCGTTCGCTGAGACGTTGTGACAAGGCCATGTGCTTCTGGACGCAGCGTGTTACGCAGCCGGACTCACGACCCGTTAGTGATTTTGTGGTGAAGTCATCGACACATGACATGAAGCAATGATCAACCAAATTGCTGAAGAGCTATCCGTCTCTTGTTAGCAGGTTGGCAGGACATAGATGAACACTTGGAGGTGATGCGTGGAACGGAAACGACTTGACATACACCGAAGAAGACCTTCATCTGTTGCTTTTGCATACGCTGCTCGAGCTCGCGCGTCTCGGTTGCCGTTAATCTGTAGATCCGGCTCGGATTAGTTACGTCTTCTTGAAATTTTTCTCTAGCAGATTCTGCTCCGGCCAGGAAAGACATACCCGTCCATATTTTTGGAGTCGCCGAAGAAGGGTTAGGTTGGAAATGTGAGGAAGCAAGTCTTAACTTAACAGCAAGGCCAGTTAATTAATACTCAGAAACTTCCAAGGCTCAATTAACTTTCTAAAGCTTCGTAAAGTTGAACATTAAAGTGGTAACGTTATCTATGCATTGAACTTATCGATAACGACCACCCGGGTTTTCCTTGGATCCGGAATCGCTACTTCCATAGCGACTACCTAATTGGCTTAAAATTGAAATTCAATGTGCATTAGATGGACCCTTGTCCAAAGCTCTAGCGGGGGTAAGCCAAGACCGTCCGCTAATCGATTAGAATTTTTATCTTTTATCTTTTATCACTGGGGGAAAAAGAAAAAGGTCAGAATCGGTCACATAAAAATTCCTACAGAGGTATACAAAACCACCACGACATACGACGCATTTCAGGCTCATACTAAAAACCAGCAATCCAATCGCGATGCCAAAATCTAAACGATCTAAGGTCGTCTATATGACGCAAGTGAACAAGAAGACACGCGAAGATAAAGACCGTCTATTCGAAAACATCCGAAAATGCATTCCCGAGTACCAGCACTGCTTCGTCTTCAGCGTCGACAATATGCGCAACACTTACCTCAAAGATGTGAGACAAGAATTATCCGATAGTCGGTATGTCTTCCCCTATTATATATATTATACCCCAGCTAATACCGCTAGACTTTTTTTCGGCAAAACCAAGCTGATGGCACGCGCCCTGGGCCACGGTCCTGAGGACAGCTACGCAGACAACATCTACCACCTGACCCCTTACCTGCGCGGTACTGTCGGCCTGATCTTCACAAACCGCACACCTGATCAACTCCTCCCGTACTTGGCGACACTATCTCAGGACAAGGTCGACTTCGCCCGCGCCGGCGCCACCGCCCCGCGCGACTTCGTCGTCCCGTACGGCACCATCTGTGCCACCGGCGGCGAGGTGCCCGCGGAATACGACGTGCCCATCGGTCACACCCTCGAGCCCGAGCTGCGTCGGCTCGGCGTGCCCGTGCGCATGGTCAAGGGCCGCGTTGTCCTCGAAGAGGGCCCCGAGGGCCCCCAGGAGTCTGGTGGGTACGTCGTTTGCCGCGAAGGAGACATCCTGGACTCGCGGCAGACGAGACTGCTCAAGCTATTCAGCGTTTGCTTGAGCGAATTCAAGATCAAGGTCCTCGCTTATTGGAGCGCCGCCACCACCCAAGTCACCCCGGTAGATCCAGAGGCTATGGATGGCGTTGAGGATATCGAGGGAAGCGATTAACAAGGAGCCTAAGTGGTGGCCATTATTCCATTCCTCCTATTTTCCCCCTTCCCGTATATAACTCGTATGTGTGCATTTACGGCGATACCATTGGTTGCTGGCGTTCGGCGGAGGTAAAATAAGGGACGGGTACATGATTGGGATTTCACTGTTTCACCAGGGTACGGCATGTGTCCCTTAGAGGCAGACAATTAGAACTGCCTGCCAAAGACGGCCGCGGCTTTAGCTTTCTCTGATGCAACTATCTTACAATTCATCACTGTTTGAGAATACATCAAGCAAGGCCCATCTGCTGTTGTATTACATGCCAAAGCTCGTTAACTCGTTGCTTTTTCTTTTCACCTGTTCACCTGATGCCTCCCCCCATGACAAAACATCCCGGTCAGTAGGCTTTTTTTTCGTAGTCTCTTACCTCCGACCTTACCTGGGAAAAACAAAACATTCGCCTTTTTATTGCATACGACTTAGCTAGACCTCGCGATTATTCCCTACGGTCATTATAGAGTACATGTAAGGGCGTTTGAAAAAAAGAAAACAGCATTACCTCTCCGATTCTGGTAGCGATAGGGGGTTACGGCGATCCGGAAGACAAATGGGCATTGGACATCAACCAAGACTGAGCAAGGGAAAGTAAATTCCGATCTCACCGAGGCTGTTCGGGGAGTTTGTATCCCGTTTACCTTTTGATTGATCGCCGGGTAGTTTGGGAGTAGCTGTCGTCTATCCAGTAGCTTTCAAAACGATCTTACCCTTGCTTACCCTTGGTGTCGAAAGGCAGAAGGAAAAGTCGGGATAGTAACGTGTGTGTAGAAGTACGGAAGACAGAAGATACCCACCAAGACAAAGCGTCTCTTGTCTCGATAAGAAAACCGGTTCAGTATCGTCGCAGCTTGCGCGGATCTTCGTAGCTGCCTTCGTAGCCCCGTTTTCGACTCTCGTCCTCTCTCGACCTGTCAAGGTCCCGATGCTCTCGTCCGCCACGAACCGGCTCGAAGTTGGCGCCGCTCCGACGATCGCGATCACCGAATCTGCCTCCGTCGCGATGTCCGCCTGATCTATCATCATATGAGCGACTGCCGCTGCGCGAGTCATACCCACCCCCTGGTCCATTGCGATCGCGGTCACCTCCACCAAACCCACGACGACCACCCCAATTGGGACCTGCAGGGGCGTTAGGCGGTGGGTTGTAACCGTTCTGAGGACCGAAGCCACGATCACGGCCGGGACCAAGGTCTCCACCAGCGCTACCACCAGCGCCTCCACCTCGGAAGCCGCGATCGCGACCACCCATAAAGCCTCCTCTTCCACGTCCCTGGAAACCTCCGCGAAAACCGTCGCGTCCACCAAAGCCGGCTCCGAATCCAGGCCCTCTAGGCTGGGGCGGTGCGGCCTTGGAGTATCCGCGACCACCTAGACCACCACCAAACCGACGAGGCTTCCAGCCCTTAACTGTTCGGCCTCTTTCAACGTCGACCTTGATTCGGCGGTCCCTGATGCGGATGCCGTCGCAACCATCTAGAGCAGCTAGTCACACGTGCGCATCAACGCGCGTTTGTCAGTAAAGCCTTACCAATTATTTCATACCTCATCTCGACGGAAAAGGGGGAGACCAAAGGAAGGGGAGAAGGGGAAAGAGATCGGCATGCTTGAGGGCCAGATCTCGTGTGAGAGACATGGGCGAAGCGGATCCTGAGGTTCGAGATGGATAATCTAGGGGGGAATCAATGGCAGCATTACCTCTCATGTCTTTCTCACGTTCGAAAACAACAAAAGCATATCCTCGATGGGGCTTCTTTTTCTTATTGGGCTTTTCGTTTGCATGGGTATCGGTAACGATACGGATCTAGAAAATCGTTAGCGCTAAATGCAACAACACGGCAGAAAGGTACCCAGGTATCGCGTACGCGTTCGACAGGACCAAAGCGCCCAAACTCCTTCTCGAGGTCATGCTCGTTGGCATCGTAGCTGAGACGGGCGACAATCAAGGTCTTGAAAGGATCGCCGCGGATGTTGGGGTCGTCGTTAGGTTTATCTACCAGACAGACGTTAGCATTATCATTACTTTTTAGAAGAAATGAAGGAAAAATGAACGAAATAAATAAAGGAGATATAGAGGATGACGAACAGTTTAATGGACCCTCAGTTAGTATTTTCTCCTGTTGCATCTTCTTCTCCAGCTTCTTCCTATCGCGCATCTGCAGCCAGCTCTCGGTGGGTTTATATCCATCCTTGTCCTTGTAGGCAGCGAGAACAGGAAGATATCCAGAGAGGCCAGTGATCGCATGAGTTTTTCGCTGCTCAGGAGGGAAGTCGGGCGCGGGTACCCATCGCAAAGGTGGTCGCGGCGCGAAGAGCGCGAGGAGATTGGGAGGTAGCTTGTCCGTCATGATCGCGTATTTACTCTGCAGAAGGGATGCGAGAGAAGGATTTAATTACAAGAATAAAATAAGTTTGGACGGGAGGCGGTGCGATTAATGGTGAAACAAGGAATGACTCGAAGGTAGACAAGATAGACGGGAAAATCTCATTGATGGATTAGGTAGATGAAAGAAAAAGAAGGGCGATGATGTTTCGCGTCGGATTTCGATTTTGGAGTTTGGGAGAAGAAGAGAGTCGAGGAAATTGCTTGAAAGCTTTCCCATGAATGCTCCTGGCTCCATCTAATTTTTGATTTGACTGGTAAGAAGTACTCTGCAGTACCCGTAATTCTACGTAAGTACCTACGTACCTAACCTAAGGTACAGTGTCCACTAAGTACATTTAGAGTGGGTCAGTACATCCATACTTATAGGTACCTAGTATGTGTGCCACATACCATTTAACCGGCTAATAACCGACTAGGTAGTTATGACATTCAACCTCTGAATCTTCTACTCCAAAAACCAAAAAAAGATCACGACTGAGTATCGTCACCAAGTCAAAGGCGCAACAAAATGACAATCAGGGCATTGCAAAAGGTGTCCGTTGGACAGGTAATCAACAAATCACGCATATAACATTTTCATCTCACGGTTAAAGCGGAAACAAACTAACAGAATAATCAATATCAGAATGGCATTGGCGCCTTCATTTTACAATGCAAGAAGATAGACGTCCATTATTGCGACTATTCAGGAAGCTCCAGAGGAATGAAGTAAGATAAAACGGACCCATTTTAAATCATATTCTTTACGAAGTACAAATCCTAACCATGAATTTCATAAAGCTCCTTCATTAAATCTCAATTATCCAAATTCGCTTCCGCTCATCCTCAGATCGAATTCACCGTAGCTCCTCGGCCGCATAAACACCCGGTGCTCATCGGCCACTATATCAACGGCAAACAAAAGTCCATATGCGTGAAGAACATGGATTCGCTCCAAATACTCAAGAAGGTGCAATTACTACGAGATGCGAGCGGGGAGAAGATCAAGAAGGTCAACAAGCCAATCACAAGTATCAACGAGAGTGTGAGAGGAGTATGGAGTCCTTACCACGGCAGTGGCATGCCAGTATAAGAAATACTATGGAGGGTACGGAGAGAATTAGCAACCTTGTATAACTACGAACAGATGTATAACACGGTTGAAGGCACATAATATCACGAGACCAAGAACTTAGCCCGAAGAAAGCTTTTACGAATAATCACGAGACAATTCTATATTCGCCAGGCCCCCTCGATAATGGGTATATCTCAAGCTTCGGGGATGATCTTTTTTTTCATTTTATCTTGTGATATTTTCAGCTTGGTATAGCGAACAAGCAAACAAGCGAACAGGTGAAACCACTGCCTAGGCTTTTACAGCTCATGCTCGGGCTTAGGCGTCACATCGCCTTCCTCGTATGTCGTGGCTGATTGCTAACTTCTCTAGCTCATCTCTTTCACGATAATTTGCTGTTGATGATGTCCACAACTGTATATTTTATCAGCCCAATTCGGTGACATAGGGCCGGTCGATATCATAGATGGTGGAATACTCACATGCAGGCTTAAGACTAGCACCGCCGACGAGGAAGCCGTCAATATCCTTTTCCTTGCTCAGGTCTTTGCAGTTCTTCTCACTGACACTGCCGCCATATAGGATTCTAGTCTGGTCGGCAACGGCCTCGCTCACTTCCTTGGCCAGCCAAGCCCGGATGGAAGCGTGGACCTCCTGTGCCTGCTGGGTGGTAGCAACTTTGCCGGTACCAATGGCCCAGATAGGCTCGTAGGCAATAACAATCTTGCTCCAGTCCGAGACCTGGGCCTTCAGGGCCGCGAGCTGGGAGGCGATTACCTCAAGAGTCTTGCCAGCCTCCCGTTGATCCAAGGACTCGCCACAGCACCAGATGACACTAACTCCATTCTCAGTAGCATACTTGGTCTTGGAAGCAACAACCTGGTCGCTCTCGGCTAGGATAGTCCGCCGTTCAGAGTGGCCGAGAATGACCCAGTCGATGCCACTATCCTTCAGCTGAGAGACAGAGATCTCACCCGTGAAGGCACCGTTGGGTTTATCGAAGACATTCTGCGCGGCAACACCAATTTCCTTCTTGGCATGTTCACGGACGAGGAGGAGGTAGAGGGCTGGTGGAGCTATGACAGTCTCTAATAGTACGAGGTAAATGTGAGCAAAGCCGCGTTCTCGTTGTCGGGGCAGGTCTAGCAAGAAAGGGGTAAAATGACAGCGGAAGGAGAAATACAAGGGGGCTCACCAGTGTTGGGGTCCAGCTGAGCTTTGTTTAAGTTCTCGACAATTTCCGTGATGGACGAGATAGTCCCGTTCCTAAGCAGGTAGCAAAGTTCACGTTAGCTTCTAAAATAGAGCACCTTGGAACTTCGGCACAATAAATATATGGACATGGTACGACGGTCGCTTGTACATCATATGGGGGGACCCTACATCTTGAAGTTGCCGCCGACGAAGAACTTGCGTGCCATGTTGGACAATGTATACGGCTATGGATACAAATACAAAAATAGAGATGGCGGAAGCTTGCTAAGGTGGTGAGATATTTCAATTCGAGGTTGAATAAGACTAAACAGGTTAAATGTGAAGAGAAGAAATAAGAAAATAACTCGGGGAGAGGGAGGAGAAGCTTAACGGTGTTGATGCAAATCGAAAACGGATGATTTATTTGTTTGACAAGATTTAATAGGTCTAATAGGTAGAAAACAGAGGAAACCAGGTAGGTGAGGTGGGGTCTAGACGCAACTTCAATTGCCCCTCCATCCGCAGATGGTTAAAAAGGCCAAAAAAACCCCGCTATATCGTCACCACGAAATCGCTCATCCGCTGCTCATCAAGTGTTTTATACTTATGGACCCATATGTAATGCATCATTACGTCAAGTATAGTATACTTAATTACATCCCCAAGTTCTTTCCTTCGATGTTTTAACTTCAGAAAGTATATTTACATGATTACTTGCATGTGAATAGTTGAGGGTAGGTATATAACTCAACGTTATCGCATGTACGTATTATTTTTGGACATTACTCCGACCTATAACGGACTACTAAAAAAATAGACACAACATATCGAGGAAAAGGATAATGGGAATAGAACCGCAATTCACTTAGCCAACCAGGACTCAATAACGGAACCACATTTTGCCTCTTTCCGGTAGACTGAGATCGCTTTCGGAGCCGTCCGTCATGTAAGGGTTCTGGTATCGTCTACTGCCATGTCTTGAGTACGAGGATCTCTCGCGGTCAAAAGGATCGCCTTCCAGAACCGATCCTTGATGCATGAGATGTTCGAACTCTTTTCGTTGTCGAGCATCCGCATGACGAAGTACGGGTTCATAATCGTCTTCTTCGTCGAGCGATAGGCGATTGAACCGACTTATCTCATCGTCCAGGTCTCTCTGATGACGATATCCTTCAAGGTCGGAACTAGACATACGCCTTCCATATGGAGGAGTTAATGGCCGAGTTGCCGAGATAATATGCGGTCTGGGCCGTGACCGTTTGCTTTCCCGGTATGCTCGTTCCTGGGAAACTCGCGCCTTGTCTCGCCCGTGGCGCATTCCCGCCAAGTAAGCTTCGTCTCTAACCTTGTCGATGTCTACCATCGATGGCGGAGGCGGGCGGGGAGGCCCTGGCGTAACCGCAGACTGTACCCTTGACCTAGCCTTGACGTTGTGGTATTCTTGGCTCCCTAGGGAACGCCGGTCATGAATATTGCCGTCACGTATTCTGCTCTTATGCCTAGGCGGCATTCTGTCTTCACCACGACCCCTGGCGTGGCTTATACCATTTATTGGTGATCCGGGTTGAGAAGTATCAGGCGTCATCTGACTATCAACTGATCCATCCATTGATAGATAATTCGAGTAATCCGAGTCACTTTCGATATCACTATGGTTATCATGATTCCTAGCTGGATCGTTTCCTCTACCTCCACCTATGTCTCTATCACCAACCGCAACATTGTTGACGGGGTTAATCCCTTTAACGGCCCCGGGTTTATTGGGATATGGTGCGATGGGTGGCGGGCCACGGGCCCTATCTGGTCGAAACGGCGTGCTACCCCCTGAGTCAACAGCACTCGGCCGCTGTGCTCGCAAGTCTAAGCCAGGGTTTGGCTGCAGTTGTGGCTGTTGGTGGATGTGCGGCTGTTGATGGGGATTCTGATGCGAGTGCTGTTGCTGCTGAGGGTATGAGTGTGGGCGGACGACCTGACTATTCCGCAAGTTCTTCGCTTCCCAGAGCATAGAAATATCAACGTTCGGTCTAGGCGTGCGTTTGAAATAAGCTCGTAGAGAAACCCTCTCGAACGATTTGCTCTCGTGCCTACTACCTCGCCCGTAAGGCCGTCTCCTAGTAGAACCATAGCGTCTCCGGGACGTTGAATGACTTCCACCAGCAAATGCGATGGAAGGGGCAATCTCTCTAAGTTGATGGTCTAATTGGATCAGAACCCAGTGGTAGTTAATCGGATCGGAGTTCTGCAAAGCGAGATCTTCTTGCGCCTTGTCGATCTGACGTTGTAATACGGGGCTCAAGGACTTCAGCTTATCGGTCAGATTACGCGTATGCCTGTTCAAATGCTGTATTTCTCGAACAATTTCCCTTGGGGACATCCCAGGAACTCGAGTTCTTATCGCCCTATCCCAAGTGGGTCGCTGTGGTCTACCCTCGTCGTCGTATTGATTTCGCGTCGACATCTTCTCGAACCGGAAGATGGCGTATTCTGTGAGATCCTCTCTCATGTCGTCCATCGTTTTGAGATCACGGCTGACGTCTGATATCTCTACGGATGGTCCCCTAGCCACATCCGCCGTTATCCCGGCTCGAGTAGTACCTGGTGATGGTTGCACGGGTGGTAGCTGTGGACCAACCGGACGACTGCCAGGGCCAGTGGGAATGATGGGGGCATGAGGTCTATGAGCTCCATGTGGCCCATTGATATTAGCATCCCTCTGATTCCCAGCCATCATGATAGTAATCCACAGACTCGAATGGTGTACTTTGAAGAAAGGGGAGAAATATATGCGGAGACCAGATTCGAGTGTAGGAACTCCCTGATATTGGATCGGCTTATAGCATGTATAGACAAAGGATCCAATGAAACCTATACTTCGGATTTTCTGAGATCATAAGATTCACGGGGTAGCAAGATGATGGTGAATATAAAACTCCCCCCTCGGGGAAGGGGTATGGGCCATCAAGGGGAAACTGGCGAATTTTATAACAAGGTGGAGCGGGGTATAACATAAGAGGTCGCCAGTCAAAGTAAAGAAGGATTTTTGCACTTCCTGTCGGTTCAAGGATACTTAAAGGGGGGTAATAAGAAGTTGGGCGTCACCGCTGTTGTTCACTTTGGAACATGGAGGTCTCGATTTTGTCCACATAAACGTCTTGCATTATAGCACGCACCTTGATAACGCTTCTGCTTCACGTAGGTAGGTATGTTTTCTTATTGCCCTATCTTTGACAGATATCGACTAATCTACCTGCGTCGTCCAGTTAGCGTTCAAGGAGGTAAAACACTGTCGCCCTAGAAAGCCATGGGCTTGGGTTGACTTGGACAACCTCGCCCTACTTTGCCTGATCTTAGAGGCATGCTAATGCAGGCGAACAATATATCATCTGTTCCGACCTTGATAGCTCTCAAGCCGGGCGAAACCGAAGGCAGTCCCACCGAGACTCTTAAACCGATAGCAAGGCTGACAGGCCGACGTAAACGGCCAGCTGCAGCTCAATCCCGGTCTGACGGCTTTTGGCTGCATCTGTTACAGAGGTGGACCAATGAACTCTTGTCCGACTTGCTGCTTACCTTAATTTACGAAGGTCAACCTTCACCGAAGCTACAAAGCCGGGCGTTGGTGGTTGCTGATGACGTTGAAATCATGCACGAGAACTAATCTAGACCAAGGTGGACTGCGAGATTTTCTTGCTTCTGCGCCCGGCGGACAGACTTATTGCGAATCGAAATAGAACGAGTTAAACACGGCAAGTCTCATAATCATCGAGTTTTCGTTTAGCAAGCCATACACCTTGATATGTTCAATAACTCAATTCCCTTTTTTGGTTGGGAGGGTGGGTTTCCTTCGTCAGCTGTTCTTTTGCTCTTGGGTTGAGAGCGTCAAGGGCACACCGTGCGACCTTTGCCCCCTTTCCGTCGACAAGTTTCTGTGATATACGGATAAGGAAGAAAACGCAAATATTCGATATGATTCATCTTAAAACTACTCGCGTATATATATATAGTAGGTTCCCTTCACAATCATTACGTTCATATATGAAAAAGAGCGAGTTTGAAACCCTTTAGAATTTAGGCTGCGGCCGCTAACTTGACTGTGAGCATCCCGCGTGACGGAACAGAGACTGTGACGGTTCCATCAGAGAAAGCTGCCTCCACCGGGGCTACGGACCGAGTGTTGTCTGTCACAAAAGCCTCAGCACCTGCCGGAGTAAAGTCACTGAAGGAAACCTTGACAGTCTGTTGCGAGCCCCCAGAGTTCAGGAAAACGACAACGACGGAACCGTCCGTGTTCTTGAACGCGGTGATGCCGGTGCTAGAGACACTACCCGATGTGCTCACACGATAGGCTCCGGGACGTACAAAACGTGACCACATTGCGAATGCCCAGAGACGCCCGGAGGGAGTAAGCGTTTCACCGTCACTCGCGACAAGGTACGAAGATGCTTGAAATTGGTTAACCTCCACACCTTGCCAACTAAATTCAATCCCTGGTTAGTCTTGACCAAATCGCTTATCTCGTATACGGACAACTCACTATATGTAAGCAGACAGATTGGCATTTGCGAGGCCGTTATGGATCTTGTTGGCCCAGGTGAAGCCTTCGCATTGCCCCCCGCCACTGTACCAAGTCGCGCACCACCGAGACTGGAGATCAGCTGCTTCGGTCTGCCATGTCTTGAGGTTCGTAGGTATGACCGAATTCGGGTCGCTCGAATACATGTGGCTCGTTATGTATTTCAGGTATTTCTCCATGCCCGCCGAGACGAGACCTTGGGTGATACTTTTCTGGGAGTTCCAACCCACTAGGTACCGAGCGACGTGTCAGCAAGTTAGATGCCCAGAGCATGTCAGAGGGCAGCTAGAGAGCCTCGGTAAGAATAAGGACGAGGCAGGACGGGTATTCACTTACTTGCGTCACAGCAAGTCAAAGACACATTATTGAGCCCGTTCTTTTCAAGTGTGTCGTATAAAATAGGGATGAACGATGAGGCTTCATTGGCACCAGACTGCATCGACGAATAACTCGTCCTACGAAATCCACGTCAGGCTTTATCTCGAACCGAGACTGATGTAGATACCTACACGTAGTCGGGCTCGTTCAAGAAACCGAGTTGAGTGATAGGAATACCGCGAGCATTGTAGTACTTGACGTACTGCACCAAGAAGTCGGCATAGGCTTGACGCCAGTCTCCAGAAGAACAAGTATGACCAGGAGTCCCACACAAATATCCGCCGTTGTTCTCATTATTGTTGGTTTTCATGAAACCAGGGGCGCTCCATGCGTCTGCATAGATAATCTTCACGCCATACTTCATTGCCTGTTGGCTAAACCAGACCTGACCGCGATCATCATCGTCGAAGGTGTAATTTGCAGCCACGCTGGGGCCACCGGGGCTGTTCGGGAGGATACTGTCACTGTCAGTCGTGCCTGAGCCGATACGGTTGCGAATTATTGTGAGGCCTGCACCGGTGGTCGCGTTGAATAGGTAGTCTAGGCCTTGTTGTTGGGGATCCCCTGAAAGCAAGTCCCTGAACTCGGCAGCACGTCCAAACGCCTGTGAGACACCAAAGCCGTCTATCTGTTGAAGTAAGGAGGCGGCTTCAACTGTTACGCTGGTTTGGGCATAGGTCTGCCCTAAGACGACGACAAGTGCTGCTAATGTAAAGAGACAGGGCATGTTTTTCAATTATTTGGTCCTCTACGCTGCAAGTCTTAACTGAACCTGTACGAGTTATTCCGTAGAAAGGGCTGGGTCAACCATTCACTAAATAAAAGATTACATTAACCATCGTATATAGCCGGGCAACAAAAGCGTTTAAGGACAATCAATTTTCATTAACGCTTAATGTGATTCCCCGCAATGGCTAAACCATTGAGAATAGATCTAGAAGCTTGCGGCAGCAACTTAATTTATGTTATTAAGTTGATGTAAGTAATGGTAATAGTAGTAGTAGTATTTTTAACATGAAGTCCCCGGTCCCCGGGAACATTATCCCGAGTTTATAAAGCACGGGACGGCGGGCCATTTAACTTAAATTACGAAAGTTTTAAAACGGTTTTACATTTTATTTTAATTAAAATAATAAATATAAAAATATAATTTATAATAAATTATTTATATTATTTAATTCGTTTAAAAAATATATTATATTTAAAAAATTTTTAATTATATAATTAATTATATAAATAATTTTTATTTAATTAATAAATAATTAATAAAAATTTAATAAAAAATTATTAAATATATTAATTAATTTATTAATCGTGTTATAATATTAATATTTTAATATATATTTTAAATTTATCCGCGTATTTAATTAAATATATTTTTTTAATAAATTTAATTATTAAAATTAAAAATTAAAAAATTAATATATTAATTATTTAATTTATTATTAATTTAATTTTAAATTAATTAATTATTTAATTAATTTTTAATTTAATTTAAAAAATTAAAATTAAAATAATTAAAATTAATTAAAATTAAAATTAATTTTAAAAATTTAAAAAATAATAAAAACTTTTTATTTAATATATATTTTAATTATTTAAAAATTAATTAATTAATTATTAAATTATTTTTAAAATTAATTATTAAATTAATTTAAAAATTTATTTATAAATTATTTAATAAATTATTAAATTTATTTAAAAATTTATAAAATTTAAAAGTTTATAAATTAAAAAATTTCCTTATAATAAAAAGTTTATTTTTTTTTAAGATATATAATAAAGCCATTATATAATAAGTAATAAAAGTGGCGGCTATATAAAAAATACGTGTATTATATACGAAAAATTAAATAAAGTATTAAAATTAACGTTTAAAAATAATTTTTTTTTTTAAATTTTTAAGCTTTAATTTTAAATAATTATAAACTTATTATTTATTACTTAATTTTACTTATTTTATCCTTATAAAATTATTAAATTAATTATTAAATTAAATAATTTAACGTAATAATTTAACGTTTAATTCGTTTTCAATTAATTAATTACCCGTTTTAATTTAAAAAAAAAATTTAAATCTTTTAATTACCGCGGATTTTATCTTTAATAAAATCCGGACTTTATTATTTTATAATTTAAAAAAATAACGTTAATACGTTTTTATTTAATTTATTTTTTTTTAAATTAAATACTTTAAAAGTTTAAAAATTTAAAAAATTATTAAAGTTATTATTAATAAATAAATAACGATTAAAAAATAAATCGTTTTTATTTTAAAAAAAATAATAAAAAAATTTTATTTTATGTTTAATAAATGATTTTAATAATAATAAAAAATATATTATTTATTTTATACCCGTTTTTTTTCGAACATTTATTAATAATAAAATAAATTTATTAAAATAATTATCGAAACTTATAATTATTACCCGAAAACCGGTATATTTAAAAATATATTATTATATTTTTAATAATTAAAAATTAACTTAATACCGTTTTTTTTTAAAAATAATTATATAATAAAATATAATTTTTATAATTTATAAACCAAGGTTTTAACCGAAATATAATAAAATAAAATAAATTATTATATAAAAAATATAAAAATTTTTTATTTTAATTATTATAAAGTTTTCCTTTTATTATTTTAAATAAAATAAATTTAATAAAAAAGTTTTACACCGATTATAACCGTAATATATACGGATAATTAATAAACTTACGTTAATTAAATATATATAAATATTTATTCCTTAATAATATTATACGTTCTTTATAAAATAAATATATAAAATAAAAAATAATAATAATATATTATTTAAATTTTTTTTATAAATATATTAATATTATTTTTTAATATTTAAAAATATTATTATATTATTTATATAAGTTTTTATAAATAATTTAAAAAATTTAAATAAATAATTTATAAATTATTACGTATATATAAAAGAATTTTTAAAACTTATTAATATAATATTTAAAATTTTTAATTTTTAAAATAAAATAATAATTATTTTATTATAATTTTTTATAATAATTTTTTATAATAATAAATAATTAATAATAAAAAACCATTTTATTAATAATAATAAAAAACTTTTTATTATATATTTATTAAATTATTTTTTTTATAATAATAATAAGTAAATATTTATTAAAATATATTTATTTAATTCTTTTAAATTAATTATAACTTATTTTTTTTCTTTTTATTTATTATTTTCCATATAATAAAATACGGATATTTAAAAAAAGTAAATTTTTATTATTAATTTATTTTTTTAATTATATATTTTATTAAAAGTTTTATTAATAAATTTTTAATTTTTAATTTTAAACGTTTATTAATATTTTATTTTATATATTTATTTTTAATTATTAATTAATATAATTATTATTTTATTTTTTTTAAACGTTTTAATAATTATATATTTTTATTAATTTTTTTAATCATTTTTTAAAATCCGGGTTTATTATATAATAATATATATTATTTTTTAATATTATTTCCGGAATATTTATAAATGTAATAACTTTAAATAATAATATAATTATTTTAAAAAAATCTTTTTTTAATTATATTATATATTAAATATTTTATAAACTTAATTTAATAAATTATAAAGTAATATTTAATGTATTATTTATTATAAAATTTATATATTATTATTAAAATTAAAAATAATGGTTTAAATTATAATTATATTTTTTTATATTTTATTATAAAATATATAATTAATTATTTCCTTAATAATATTAAATTTTATATTCTTTAAAATTTATATTTTTTTATTAATATTATTAAAAAATATCATTTTTTTAATTAAATTATATTAATATAAATTATTATATATATTTAAATAATATAATATAATAAAAAATTTTAATTTTTTAATAAATTAAAATACTTTATAATAATTAATATTATTATATATTTTAATATTATAATTAATTAAGTTATTTTTATTTTACGTTAAAACCCGAGTTAATATAAATCGTTAACTTGGTTTTAAATTTATTTATAATATTAATTTTAAAACTTAAATATTTTTTTAATTTAATTTTTTTTATAAAAATAACATTAAAAGTTTAATAATTTAAAAGTTTTTATATTTTATAACTTTCGTTTATTATTATATATTATTATTTTAAGTTTATATATATTAAATTTTTATTTTTATTTTTTATATTAATAATATTTTATAACTTTTTTCTTTTTTATAAAATAATAAAATATATATTATTTATTTTTTATTATAAAATAAATATAATATATATATAAATATTTTTCAATTATAAATAAATCCGATTTATTTTAACATTTAATATTTTAATATTTTAATTTTATATATTCTTTTAAACTTAAAAATTAAAAAAAGTTATAAAGCTTTCATTTTATAGTTTTTTATATTTTTCTCGGGAATTTTTTAAATTATATAAGTTTAATATATTTATTAATATAAATATATATAAAGTAATTTAATTTTATATTAAATATTTTATTATATTTTTAATAAGTTTTTTTAATTTTATTATATTATAAAAACTTAATATAATTAAATTTATTAATTTTATATTTAAAGTTATAAATATTATATTTTTTAATTAAAAAAAAGTCATTTTTTATTAATTCTTTTTTATAATCTTTTACATTTAATTTATTAATAATATAAATAATTTTATTTATTATATAATGTTATTTATTTTTATATTTTTTTTATTTTTAATAATAAAAACATTATAAACATTTATTTTAATAATTATTATTTTATTAATATTAATAATAATATTTTTAATTACATTATTAATTTTAATTATAATTTTTATAATTTTTATAATAATTATTATATTTTTTATAATAATATTTATAATTTTTTTAATAATTATTATAATTATTATAACCAGGGTTGGAATTTAATTATTAATAATTAATTAAAGCTTTAATTAAAATTAAATTAATTAATTAAAGCCTTAATTAAAACTAAGCTTAATTAATTAAGGCTTTAATTAAAATTAAGCTAATTAGTTAAGGCCTTAATTAAAACTAACTAAGCTTAATTAGTTAATAATTAAAAAAAAACTAAAAATTAAAGTTTTTTTTTTTAATTTTTTAAAAAATTAATAACTTTTTTAAAAAGAATCTTAAAATTTCATTTTAAATCTTAAAAATTTAAATCTTTTTAATTATAAAGCTATTGAACTTTAAATTAATAAAACAAGTCAGTTTATATTTTTAATTTAAAATTTTAATAAAATGAAAAAACTTTTATATACTATGTTTTTAAAAATTATTTCTACTTTAAAAATAATTGTCACTTTAAAAGTAAATATAACCCTTTAAATTTAAAGTTAAACCTTATTAATATTTAAAGGAATTAAAATTTTAAGATTTAATTTGAAATTAATATTTAATTTTAAAAACTAATAAAAATTTTATTTTAAAATATTTTCCAACGTTCATAACTTTTATAAACTACCTTATAAAAATAAATTAATTCTTAAATAATTATATAACTTTAAATTAAAGATTTTATAATTATTATTTACTTATTTATTATATTAATTATTTTATAAATAATTTTATATTATAAGGATAAAATAAATAAAATTAAATAATAAATAATAAATTTATAATTATTTAAAATTAAAGCTTAAGGATTTAAAAGAAGAAGTTATTCCTAAACGCTAGTTTTAATACCTTATTTAATTTCTTATATATAATATATATGCTTTTTATATAGCCGCCACCTTTATTATTTATCATATAATGGCTTTATTATATATCTTAAAAAAGGATAAGCCTTTTATTATGGGGAGATTTCTTAGCTTATAAACCTTTAGGTTTTATATATATATTATTATAATTTTTAAAAAGAATTAAAAATAAAAAATATTTACTTAAATTAATTTAAAAATTTTTAATAATATAAGTTTCCTTTTTTTCCTAATACTTTTAAACTTTTATATTAATATATATCATTAAATAAAAAATTAA